TGCCTACAAGTGCCTACAAGTGCCTACAAGTGCCTACAAGTGCCTACAAGTGCCTACAGGTGCCTACAGGTGCCTACAGATTCCTCCCGCTCAAACTCATGCTTGACCCAGACTGAACTTGAACTTGAAAACTGCCATCTTATATTTTAATGTCCAACTATGGGACAGCATCGGAACTATGAAAAAACCTCTCGCAGTCGTAAACGTAATAATAAAGCCACAGTAAATGCTCGTGCACACCTGGATTCTACTTCTAGGTATTCGACAATCCACATACGACATTAAGCTGTTTCTCCTCATTTTCATTTTCCTTTCCCCTCAAAGTAGACAGGGTATTGCGTTCATCAATCTCATAATAGGATTCCAACCATCACAGACTTGAAACCTAGTCGGCTTGCTTGGAACGATTTTACAGCTTGTCGTAGTACTAGACGGAAGGTTAGCATCACAGCCGGCATTTGAATGTCAAGGGGGAAAAAAAAAACTTACGTTCTCGTAACCGGGGACCTGCTCCTTGAGACCCTTGCGCTTACGCATCTCAGCAACGATCTGACCAGGCTTGGTGGTGGCATCAAGAGGAGATCCACCAGGGAGGACAGCCCAGTGGTCGAAGACAGACTGAGGGAAGGCCTGACCACCGGTGGCCTGACGGAGCTCTCCGGGGAAACCGAAGGACTCGTTGACGGGCAGGTAGGCCTTGACGTTGAAGAGAGGAGTACCAGGGCGCTGCTCCTCGGTGTAGACGTGACCACGGCGGCGGGTAAGGACACCGTAGATACCACCCATGGCCTGCTCGGGAACCTGGATCTCGACGTTGAAGATGGGCTCCAGGATACCGGGGTCGGCAAGCATGGTAGCAGCATACAGGACACGACGAGCAGTGGGGATGATCTGACCACCACCACGGTGAATAGCATCAGCGTGCAGAGTAACATCCAGGATGTTGAAGCGGATAGAGCGCATGGGCTCCTCAGCAACGGGACCCTCACGGGTGGCCCACTGGAAACCGGAAACAACGGAATCCTTGATTTCGTTGAGGTACTGGACGGCCTTGGTCTGGTCAACCAGCAAGTTGGCACCGGAGGTGTCGGGACCGAAACACCAAATCTTACGGGCATCGGTGACATCCCATCCGAAGTCGTCAGCCAAGACACGGGCACGAGCCTTGAAATCGTCACGGGGGCTGATCTTGCCGGCCTCGATGGCGAGGGAGACCTCCTCGTCAAGGGGCTGGGCAGTCAGGTACAGACGGTTGTGCTTGTTGGGGGACTTGGACAGAGCAGTCATGCTGGAGGTGCCGCTGACGGTCTCACGGTACTGGACGACAGGGTCGGAGATACGGAGAGGAACACCAGCGTGGTCCTCCTCGAGATCCTTCAAGCAAATCTCGAGGTGAAGCTCACCAGCACCGGCAACGACGTGCTCACCGGACTCGGAGATGTAGGTCAGGACACAAGGGTCGGACTTGGACAGACGCTTGAGACCCTCGACCAGCTTGGGCAGATCCTGAGCGTTCTTGACCTCAACGGAGCGCTGGACGACAGGGGAGACGGAGAACTTCATGACCTTGAGGTTGTGGGCGGTCTCATCGGTGGTAAGGGTACCAGACTTGAGCAAGAACTGGTCAACACCGACCAGACCGACGATGTTACCGGCGGGAACATCCTCAATGGGCTCGACGAAACGTCCCATCATCAGGATGGTACGCTGGATGCTCTTGATGAAGAGATCGGTCTTCTGGCCGGGGACGTAGTTGGGACCCTGGATGCGGACCTTGAGACCGGAGCGGACGGTACCGGCGTAGACACGACCGAAGGCGTAGAAACGACCCTTATCGGAGGTGGGAACCATCTTGGAGACGTACAGCATCAGAGGAGCCTTGGGGTCACAGTCGCGGATACCAACGCAGGCAGCGTCGTCCTTGGGACCCTCGTACAAGGTCTCGGCACGGTACTTCTGGGCCTGGACGGGAGAAGGCAAGTGGATACAGACCATCTCCAACATGGCGTCGGCGGCGGGAAGGAACTTGCGCATGACAGCCTTGAGGAGCTGCTTGCCCTGGAGCTCCTTCTCGTCGTTGGCGAGCTTGATGTCGAGCTTCTCCAGAAGGGTGGGGATCTGGTCCTTCTTGTCGTTGTTGATGGCAGCGAAGATCTTGAAGATGGGGTCCAAGATGAACTGGTTGAAGGCACGCTCACCACCCTCGGGGGCCTTGTTGGTCCACTTCTTGGTCTTGGCGTTGAAGTAGTTGTCACCCCACAGACGCTCAAGCATCTTCTTGCGGTCAACACCGAACTTACGGGCGAACTTGACGGCGAACTGGCGGACAGTGAAAGCCCAGCCGTGGAGACCGGAACCGAAAGCAACGGTACCGCGGTCGGGGTAGACCTGCACGTCACCAAGAGCAGGGTCGTGGTAGGTGGAGATGATGACGTTGACGGACTCAATGGTACGGGAGAAGGACTGGTACAGGTCCTCCTTGGAGATCTGAAGCTCGAGCATGGAGCGGTCGACCTTGTTGATGATCAGGACGGGCTTGATACGCTCCGTCAGGGCCTGACGAAGGACAGTCTCGGTCTGGACACAGACACCGGAGACACAGTCGACGACGACCAGGGCACCGTCAGTGACACGGAGGGCAGCAGTGACTTCAGAGGAGAAATCAACGTGACCGGGGGAATCGATCAAGTTGATCAAGAACTCGCCACCGTTGGAGCCGGGGATCTCCTTGAGGTCCTCCTCGTCATCGAACTTGGCGTACAGGGAGATGGCAGTAGACTTGATGGTGATACCACGCTCCTGCTCGTCAGGACGGGTGTCCATGTAACGACCCTCACCAGCCTTGGCAGCAGAGATAATACCGGCACGGTGGACCAGGGCATCGGAAAGGGTGGACTTTCCGTGATCGACTAGAGGAGAGTAGGTCAGCGGTCGTGTTCGCAGCATTTGATGCCTAGTGTATCAAAAAGACATACCGTGGGCAATGACGGACATGTTCCGAATGTTGGTCGGACGGTCCATCAGAGACCGGATCTGCTTGATGTTAGTTCTCTCGCAAAAGTCCCCAGCTGCATAAACCGATCATGCAAGCGGGTGCGGGGGAGTCTTTGTCAAACGGACCTCTTCGATAGTGAAGCTATAGAAGACATTGTTAGCCTGGTATTTCTCATCTCAAATCATCCTCCACATGGCCATCGCATGTTCTTGTGATGGACCCATTCAGGTCATGAAAGGGTGATGGTGGGCAGCAGCAGGGGGACAACATACTTAACCATCTTGACTGATTTTTCAGATCAAGGCCGTAGAGGCGGGGTTGGTGATGTGTGGAAAGGAAAAGGGAAAAGAAGAAACGACACACAAGGGTCACGATCGAGAGCTAGCTCGACCTGTGAAAAAAATAGGACAAAAAAAGACCTATGTGCGAAGAACTCCTTTGACAGAGGGAGAGAACGATGGCTTCACGGCGGAAGGTGAAGAAGGAAAAAGAGAGGGAAAGGGAAGAAGAGGAGGAGGAGGAAAAGAGGGGAAATGGGAGAGAGAATAGCGAGAGGGCGGCTGGTGGGGCTTTGCAGTATTTTTTTTTTTTGTGGCCGATTTCAAATCTGGGATGTGCGTTTTTTCCTTGCCCGGCCGTTCGTTTTGTGACCGTTTGACCCGACTAGCGTGGGTGATGGTCCGCACTCACCACGAGGGTACGGACCTGTAATGATACCGTGTAATGGCCCATTTGGGTGCCCGCTTTTTTTGCCTTCTGGATGATTATCATCCATTCCATGGTGTGTTGGACCACCGAACTCACAGAATGACAGTAAAGAGCTGATTGAAGTTGATGGTTACGAGGTAGTCATGGCTAATGACACCAGACATGGAAATTCACATTGCAAACACCTTCTCCAGTAGTCCATGTCTCGCGGAAGGACTTTGAACAGCCCCAGTCTACATAGTACTATAGTACTTCCATGACTACTACCTTATACTGTAGCTATCAACTCCGGCTCAACTAGACCATGGTTACTCTCTCCCCAGCTACAAATGAGTAGCAGTTCTCAAGCTCTCTGAAAAAAAAAAAACCTTACAGCAGCTGCTCTTTCGATAAATCCCCAGCTCACATCTCCCAGCAGGTCAGCAAAGCAAGCAATGGATGGGATGATGGATAAGTTGCTCTTCTTCCCGAGGTGGCAACAAAACTCGGCTTGGGTTGATATCATGATTTCGGGGCAAGTCTGCTCTGGTTGGACCGTGGTTTTCTGGGCCGATGGAGCTACACAGTAGTCTGACGTATAACACGAAGAGAAGATCTCCATTCTGGTTGGTAGGCCATGTTGGCTGTCCGCTCAAATGAGTCCAGTAGGTAGTTCAGTAGTACTAATTCTACACATTCAATTCCACTCTCATGTTTGCCTGCATCCTTAGTTGCTCGGATGAAGTAGGGATCCATGTCACAGTCACGGTTCGTATGGTACGGTTCAAAGCCCCTCCTCGTGGGCGCTGACAGAAGTTCCCCTCCCTGCTCACCGCCTGACCGCCCATTGGCTGTGCGGAGTTCGGGATGGCGGGGAGTGCATGCATTGATACCGGAGTACATCACAGGCTGTACATACAGCAACCCCATACATACTCGTACATCATACATCATACAGTCGGCCAACCTGATGGTTTCACTTGCCCTTCTTCCTGAATATATTATAGTAGAATGTGTATCTCGTGAAAAGAATGACCATTATATACATTGCTTATTCGCTGGGCATAGGAAGAGAAGGTTCTATATACAGTCTATATTAATCCAGCTACGGGCATGCACCAAACAAGCACGTCCTTGACTTCTCCCCTGCAATCAGCACAGATACCACCTACTCCCCGTTCACATCGACATGTATGCTTAGGAAATTTGCGGGGCATCACGATGATCCCAATATCTTTGCATATGCATCCTCCACCTCCTTCGCAAGCTCCAGAAGGGTGACAATGATAATCTGATGCGTAATATTGGGCAGCTTGTCCCGTTGAAGCCCAATCCATTCCAATGGTGGGGTAGCTTCGCCCATGTCGCGCAGCTGCGGCGTCTCGATCACCGGCGTCTCCAACGCCACATAGCTATACTTCGACTGCGGCACATTGACCACCGCCGTGATCTTCTCCTGCGACTCACTCTTATCGCCGCCGCCTTCACCATTCAGCGCCCCCGTGATGCGGACCGCCGATGGAGGCAGCGGCTTGCCGAGGCGGGAGGCCAACGCGCGCGAATGCGATTCCCACATGTCCCGGATGAAACTGATGCGGGAGTAGTTCCAGCCAACGTCAACCTTCCCTTCGAACGTGCTTTGGAAGATATACTCGATTTGCTGGGACCCTGGAAACTGCCAGGTCTCCATTCGAGCCACAAGTCGCGGCACCTTGAGGATCGTGCCTCCTCGAGAACCGGTGACACGGCTGCCAATCTCACTAACCAGAAGCATTTCCTCTGCTTCCATGGGACCAGACCGAACAACATTCGAAAGAGCCACCCGCAGCTGGCCGAGTGTGAGACCAAGTGCGCTATGTATTTTGCCCTGGTCGAGGGAGACGTCAAACCGAGCCTGCGCATCCCGTGCTTCCAGCTTGAAGACATGGTTGTCGAAGAATGAGCGCGGGAAGACGCCCATGGTCACCACGTTGAGACTCACAACTACGCCTGTGTGCAGCGAAATAGGTGCCTCCTCCGCTTCCTCCTCTGGAGGCTTAGAGATTTCCTTTGAGCTAGCCTCGGGCTTCTCTGAGAATACGGAAGTCTTTCGGCGTAGATACCGCTCGACATCTTGCAAGGACGCTTCGTATGCTGCTTGTTTATCTTGTGCGAGTCGCTGCCACGCTTGGAATAAAGCCAAGGCTTGAGAGGCAGTCATGCTTGTGCAAAATACCTGCACCTGATCTCCATGGAGGATACTGAACAGTCGCTCGTTAGACTCATCTGCCGTGGGCCGAACATTGTACATGAAGAACGCGAAGCGAGAAATGTGAGCGATAAGGAATGGCTGGTAGTCGAAAGAGACTTTGACATCCAATTGGCCGAATGAAATGGACGCTTGGATGAGTGGGGTTCCATTGCCCTGCTGGTCGTGGGGCCAATTGATCGAGGTATGAACTTTCAAAGTCTGTAATTCGACCAGACCGCTCATCCGGCCCTTGCTCTCAATCCCCACAGTGTTGAAGCTGACGCAGAGAATCTGTTCCCATTCGGATGTCTTTTTAGTTGACAGCCAGAGGTCATTGATAGCGAACTGAGCCTTGCCCAACGTCGATCCCAGGTCCAATTGTATCTCCAGCTTCTCAATTGCGATCGTGGTATTCCAAGGAAAGGCAGGAGCCGCAGCAACTTGTTGGTACCTTTGCACGATATAGGCTTGCGTGTCTTGAGATTGCGATTGGAGAGCTGGTCCGGGATTAATGTCATCGTTGGATGGGAACCAAATCTCGCGGAAGAGCAGGAGATCTTGCACCTGCTTGGCGTTGAGGACGACGTTCATGGGACTGACTCGAAGAACGGCTGAAATGCCCTTTGAGCTCCCGAGATGCTTGCTATTCATAATTGACATGACCATAGACTTGACCTCGAACCTCGCAGTCGACTCGTTGGAGTAGACATGTTTCACGGATGCTTGCAACGAGTTGAAAGCCACCAGAAGAGCTATGAATCGTTCTTGCTCATCAGACTGTACCGTGTTGATTGTGACATAGACACTGTCAAACTGCGTAGTGGCTGCCACACGAGCTATAGGCTGGCAGCTTAAGCTAAACTCCTGTCTGCAAATTAAGATTCCAATGTTCAATTTGCAACGGCCTAGAATTGATCCTGGATCTGTAGGAGCAAGAGGAGTCTCTGACATCAGCTTCTGCGGTTGTAGCATCACCGTATTCGAAGGCCGTCTGGCCCTTGGATGGTCTCCCATGACCTCTTTGATGGTCGTTGTTACCTGTTTGACTAGGGGAACGAGACTAGGATAAAGCACATTCGTCGAGGCATCAACCTTCAATTCCGCATTAAGAGCCGGGTCGTTGCAGCCATTATCCTCGTACAGCACTTTCAAGGCCACTCCTGGAGCCTTGAAAGTTGCCGTGGCTATGCCATCTCCATGAACATACTGACCATAAGTGGAATGAGGAAGCTGGTTCCCTTTCAGACTTGCAGTCAGCATTGTCTGATGGTCATCTGTATATTCTCCCTGAAGAGATACAGTAGCTCCAGCGAAGTCAACATCAACTAGCACAGAGCGAAAGCGTTTGTTACCAAAGATGGGACGCAACTTCACACTGTCTCCGGACGGCTTCGAGACCAGTATGTTATTGGCCTCTCGTATGGTCCGAACAGCAGAGGCGATGGAATCGCGTATGATGCTTGCTGGGAGTATGAATTCCGAAGTAGCTCGCAAATCCAGTGATTTTCCAGCAGCCTGGAAAGCCAGTCGAACTTCCTTGCCCGCAGATGCGTACGCAACGTTAAAGACCAACTCCGGTAGTAGCGCCGAGTTCAGTGAGCGCTTCCGTCTATTACCGTGGACTGGTACCATCTGTAGCTGCATGTCTTCAATTCGAAGCTTGGCAGCATTCGTCTTCTTGTTGGACAGCTCGATCCGCTTGATAGAGAATACCAAGTCAGCCAACTTGTTGTCTGGCACTCCAGAAGACATTGTAATCATGTTCCATCCAAGCTGAATATTATGGAAGTCCAAAGAGTATACAGCATTGAAGAGTTCGCCGGAGGCACTGGTATCGTCTACCTCTATCCGAGGAATCTCCAAAGACTTCCGTTCCGCTTCTGTATGCCCTCGACGCCGTAGCTTCTTGAAGCGTTTCACTTCATGCGAAAGGTCCAAGGTCTTGATGCGCTCTTGGAGATGTGCAGCTAAGTCAACCAGCAACGCGGCACTTTCAGGGAATAGATCGACATTGAACTTGGTGCTACTCAGATGAAACACCCGTCTCAATTCGCCGTTGTCGCGCTTCATAGATGTTCCTTGAAGTCTTGCGTCAACATTAAAGCTACAGTATGAGTGGCTTGTTGAAGACTCTTTTTTCTTCAAATCCAAGCTTAGGTTCGAAGAGTCAACGTGAAATTCGGGATACTCCATTGGGTGCCCAGCCTCCAAGCCGTTGTCCAGGCGTAGGCGGACCATACCGAGTCGGATGTCCAGATCAGCAGAATAATGGTTGCCGTTGAGCGCTGGCGCTGTCGCATGAATTTTGGTCCCTGCCATTGTCATGCGTGCCTTGTAAAGAATAATATGTTCGTTAGAAGAGTCTTTCCGCTCGGGTGGAGATTTTCTGAGTGCAAGCACATGATTTAGATGAAGCTGTAAAATCTCCACATTCTGTTTGAGATCACTCATGAGATGTGAGAATTCTGGCCTTGTCAATGCGCCCAGTAGACTCCGCACAGCGCTGGCCTCAAGTTGAATGACTTCGATGGTCACATCCACTTCCATTTCCGTGCGGCCTGGTGCAAGATCCGCAATGATCCGGCCGTTGATGGGGGGGATCTCGATCACCGATAAAGAGTGCCATTGACCGCCCTCGTTTGATTGGAAAGTGTGAAGGTTTCTCTTCAAGTCGAAGTCAATCTCCATCTTAGATCCTTGTTTGGGCATTATAGAGGTTCGCGCCACCTCGCCAGAGATGATATACGTCAGCGACGGTAGGATACAGAAACTCAAACGATAGTCGTCCAGGAATACTGCGACATGGAACTTGTTACGCACCAACCCCATCGAATCTGAAGGGCCCTGTTGGTGAGTCGGGAACTCCACGCTGTTGACAAGCTCATAAATGAATCGAACCTCATCCTCTATGAGTCGATCAGCTATGTGTGCAAGGCTGAGCGGATCTTCTTTCATGTCGTAGCGAAGCTTTCTGCAGGATGCGGCGACCATCCATTCGTTAGTCACTACAGACCCGGTCTCCTCCGACACACGAGAGCCATATATATGTGGGTCGGTGAGTTTCCACATCATCAGTACTTTAGAGTTGCTGGAAAATTCAGAGTAGCAAGCGCTGGAGCTCAACAACAAGCTTGTTGTTTCAGCAGACTCTGAACTCCTAGACTTATGGACAAGCGAGCTTCTGAGCGCCTTGCCAGCCAGCGCTAGTTTGACATTGATACCATCGAGCGTCACCGACCCTAAGTCAGCCCCGAGAACGAGCTGTAGCTCGATGGGGTTCGGGCTATGTTCAGGCTTCGGTGCCGGTGGTGCGGACTCGAGTGTCACGGTTGACATGGTTTTCAGAACCCCTTCCACGAGGTCGAGAATTTCCCAACGTAAACGGAGACTGGACGAAGAGCAGTAAGATTGCACGATAATCAGTTCTCTCCGATCGTCGCGTCCGGCAGGTAGACTGTCTCTCGGTGCGTCGAGTGAGACAGCGGTCGCCATATCCTCTATCACGAAATCGCTTTCTCGAGGACCAGGGTCAATGGAAATACGGAACAATTTCACTGTAGAGGAAAATAGCATAGCGGCTGTTGCCGTCGGAGTGTCAGGCTCAAAGCTGTTCCACACGCTTCTCATCACATAACTTTTTTCGACATGCGCTAGATCCCACGCTCGCCATTGGTCGAAGCTTGACAACACTAGGTCTTTAGCATTGGATGGAAGCTCAAAATCGCCATGCAAGCATTTTCGAATCAAGGTACACGCTTGTTCAGATGGCAAGTGCTTGTATACGTTGCGCAGACGTGAGATAATCTTCCAAGAGTCATGCTGCCGCAAGTGAGTTCGCGCCACTCTGAGCACATTTGAAATGCGGATGAGAAAAGAGGGATCGGGAACGTCAGCTGCCTGTTGAGTGAGGAAGTAAACAAGGTAACGCAGTCGCCTCTCGCTAAGCGAAATGCTATGTTTGAAAGATGATGCAATAGAGTCAACCATTGTCGTTGTTCTGCGGACTAGGGAAGCGAGATGCTCCACAGACTTGGTCGAAGTCACAGTTTCGAAGGATCTGACTTGAAAGTTAGACCTTTGCACAGTCCCCGTCACGAGCCAGAAGTTCATATCGCTGAGCATGCAGGCTAGTTCTGCCTTCTCCTGGTGTGCATCAACGCGACTACCCTGGACTGAAACTGAGAGCCCGTCTGCAGCCACATGTACGGTCAGAGTCTGGTTGACTCCTGTTACAAGATCCCCCTTCCGCCTCTCAACCTTCGTCCTAATCTCTGTCTTTAAATGCGAAACCACTAGGTTGTACTCATCCTGAAAGCTAAAGTCGTCAGTGACAGCGGTGTTCGGATTAATCAGATTGACAAGCAAACAAGGTGCTCTAATGGCAATGCTTGTGCATTTTCGTGGACTCTTCATTGACTTCTCGTACGTCACGATGTCTGAAACGATGTCTTTCTGGAGAGAATCAATGATAGCACTAGGATGACTAGGCTGTAGTCTCTCGACCAATGAAGCTGCGACGTGGAGAAATTCAGGAAAGCAAAAGCCCCTGATGCCTTGGGGCAAGTCTATGGCAAGATTTGTGTGTGTTGACTCATCAATGCCGGGTGAAAAGGGATGGCCAGTCTTATCATCAGCGTAGTCACTCTGAACCGAGCTACCTGGAGAAACGGGTCGTAGAGGTAACTGGGAAGTATCGAACTTCAATTTGTGAAACGAGAACGCTGGTATTGACCAGGGGTTCGACGGATCAACGTAATCAGTAGAAGCAGCTTCAGAACAATTCTGGCCGACGTGCATAAGGTCGATATCCCTGGCAAGTACTGTTGATCGAGAAGAATTATGATCCTTTCTCTCCTCAAACTGGAATCCTAGGGGAGTTGTACTGTGGGAATGTTGTCTGCGGCCGCTCTTTGTGCTTGATATGTCAGAGGACACAAAAAAGCTCCTGAAGCTACGGTTGCTCCCTGTTGCTGAAAGCCGACGCAATGAGGACAGGCCACCGCCAGCACTGCGATACCTTGTGACTGGTTCAGGCATGGTAGGGATAGCGATCGTTGGAGCTGACAACTCTTCCCCACTCACCTGTAGTGAACGAGGTTCAATGTCTTCCCAATCAAAAATCAACCAAGGAGTGCGTTGCGTTCTTCGATCATGAAGCTTAACATGTTCCTGTTGCAACTTGCGGGTTCCATCAAAATCGGCCTTTTGCTGCACCATCCTGATGTTCAAAGTCGACTCGAGAAGAGCGATAGGAGCTACTGTTTGTTGAATTGAGCTTCCAGGTTGGTTCAGAGAATTGTAATCAATGGCAGTAACCGAAAGGTCAGGGACGGACAACGTCATCCGCTTTGAGAATTCTGTGTTCGCCCAGTCATTGAACCTGGTTGTCACATTACCAGTGCTCAGGAGTAAAGCGGCCTTGTCCAAGAGTATGGAAATATGAATTGCCTCAATCTTAGCTCGTAGGAAGGTAACATCATGGAGCTGCAACGGGTTAAGCAGAGGAAGAGCGTTCTCCTCGTTGTCAAAGGAAAAGTCGAAGCTCTTTAGCGCCCTAGCCAAACAGCCAAGGAAATTTGTTGAGCATTCCCCGATGATACGGCCGACATCAAAGTCCCAGTTGCAGACATAAGTTGGCTCTGCAGGGGGGAGACCAAACAAACGATGGCCATAAACAGTCACACCGTCAATGAACACCTGCGTGTCTGATATGGTCTGCGTATCCGCAGACCTGTTGGGTTCTAAAGCTGCTTTCAGCGGGGCAAGTGAGAATTGCAGATCCATATAATAGTTGGTAAATCGTAGGTCTGCCTCCAAAGATGCTGCTGTAAGCTTTATGCAACTTGATACATCATAGATATTCTCTGGGAGAAGAGCACAGGGACTGTCAACAGTAACGTGCACAATCACGTCAAGGTCATTCGTATTTCTGTGAGGATTGTTCGCCGTCCGAGTTGCGACATCTTCGTGTGGGTAAGCGAGCTCCTGGTACTCCTCTAGCGTCTTGAAGTGCATTTCCTCGCCGAAATAGTTTTCCTTGATGGCCATGAAGGACCGAATCAGGAAGCCAAAGAGGTAAAGCTTGGGAGAAAAGCCGTCAATGTTCAGTACTAGGGTGTCCACCAGATTCGAAGATGTAGTGAGATAATAGTTGTAGACACCGTCAATAGTCAGCTTCTCAAGCGCAGCGGTTGATTTGTTCGCTAGGAAAGCGTGCATAGTATCCCAGACAGGGGTCAAGTAATCAATACCAGCATCCTCAAGATTTACTTTGAAAGAAATCGCATTTTCCTCAGGTCTATACTTGTTCAGAGGAATCGTCACGTCGGCGCTCAAGCTCTCGCCCTTGATGGCTAACGTGCGGTTGTCGTCCAAGTCAGATGGATTGTTCACAATATTCATGTCGTTGACATTCAAGAACAACTGGAAGTTCGAGAAAGACAAGCCAATCTTGTAGATGAACGGGACAAAAGTGCAGTATTCCGGAGGTGGCCCGGATGCCCAATCGGAAACCAGGTCAGTCAGGAGGAAGATGTGGTCTCGCAGGAGGAAGAGCTCCATGTCATGGCTATGAATATCGAATCTCCAGGTACGGATGCTATTCCAGGAGAGAGGGACAGATAAGTCACAAGTGATCAGTTGCTTTGGACATTGCCACAGCAATGCATGATTGACACTGGACATCAGCTTGGTGCCTCGGAGATCAAGGTCAAGCTGGCTCTGAAATCCTGAAACAGAAGCTAACATATCCATCTTGTAGCGAATTGTCGAGTCACCAGCCACAACGAGTGACAACCACCCAAAAGGTCGTCTATCAGGACCAACATGACCTTTTTCACCTTCTGCACCACGCGACTGCCTCCTACTGTTCTGTTTTCTGAGCTTAGAGACACCCTTTATTGCGTCTGCACGGCCTTTCCACTGCCAGTCTTTCGATGGCTCCCGAGTAGGAATTCGCAGCGTAAGCTCGTCATTGATTTCGACTCGTAGGGTGAACACCGTAGTCATCCTCGGAACCCCAGGGCTCAGAGGCTCAGACGGCTCCGCGCTTCGAAAAGCGTTAGGGAAAAACACATTCTGCAAACCCACTCGTTCCCTGTCAGCCCAGGGACCATAATTGATGGTGCCACCATTGATCTTGACATCTATGCCCCATTCTGGCGGCGGGCCGCTGTTGATTCTCCATGTCGCATCTGGAGGTGACGAATTTTCCAGCGGCGGGCAGGTTTTGACGTACCCGGGCACGTCCCAGTAGTAAGCTACGGCCATCCCAGGGCTGTCAAGAATCGTCGAATATCGACCGTATTCGACGGGACTCCACTCCTCATGGTCATCTTGCGCGCTTTCATCCAGGTACCGTGAAAGTCCGACCCAGCGCGTATCACTGCCTAATTCAGTTGAGGTTCTAGGTCCGGAATCTGTATGCTTCTTATGCACATGGAACGATTCTACTGATTTTTGAAAGTAGGGAATCAGATCGCGAATGCTGTGCCAGACTCGGCGTTTTTGCAACTTGTAATTGAAGATGGTATTTCGCTTGCGCTTCGCCCCGACTTGGTCTTCTTGGGCTGAACCGAGACTCTTCGCGGCAGCCAGCTGGTTCTGTTTGAAATCTGGGTTTGGACGCATTTGAATCACAGGGTGGCTGAAATTGAAGGAGAACACCTGTCGGTACAAGTCGAGCGGCCCAGCATTGCACGCCTCAATCAGACCGGTGGCACTGTCAAAAGTGGTCGTTAAGACCGATCTCGTGTGCTCATTTCCCATGACAATGGCACCTTTGTCGCATTCCAACCTTATGGGAAGAAGTCGAAGAAATCGAGCCACGCCGCTACCTAATTCCTGCTCCGACCCAGGCGGATTCTGCGATTCAGCCGTACCCGGCCTCTCTTGACTATCGCCGCGAGCAGATCCAGGCACGGATGAGCCTAAATTACCATCCTTCAAATTCGGATCCAGTGTGTCACTCTCAGGATACTGTGGCTTGGTAGCAGAAGGAGACGAGTTGGATGGATTGAAGCCAGCTAGGATACCCTCGTAGGCTGGAGCTCGATTGTATATAAACCACTCGAGACCATACACCTTCGCCGTAATGCGACAAGGAAGGGAGTCCGCATTCTTTGGCCCGCCTTGTTCTCCGCTGTCATTTTTGCAACCGGCATTACCAGCAAGCCCGGATTTCTGTGCGCCTTCCGCTGTTTGACCATCGCATTGTAGACCCGTCACGTCTGTCTGTCTCACAGTGCGTTGCCAGTACTGCCATGTGATGAATCCACCATGTACAAAGATCGTCTCATTCACACCATGGTATCGAATGCCTTTGAAAAAAATCCGCCCACCCAGAGGTGAGATCTGAAGAGCCCGGATGTCGACATAGGCGCGGTAGTAATGCCAGGTATATGCACGGATTCCGTAGGAGAGGAGGGTCGCAAAGAGCCGATTGAAGTAGAGCAGGAAGAAGAGCACGCTAAACAGAATTATTAGTGGCCCAGATCCTGCGATCACGCGTCCCAAAGGTGAAACTCACAGAATGCAGGAGACAATCAGCTCCAGAAGGAAGAACCTATGCCGTTCATTATTACTCAAGCAAAGAATTGTTGCGTCAATTATACCAACCAATTGAAGCTCGGATCCGGGGTCAGGGCCAAAGACGTCAGACTTGTGCTGGCCATGTTCGCAATAACCAAGAACGTTCACCACCAGCGGACATGGTGACGCCGCAAAACCGCGATGCGCCTGGCGGAATAGTTGCAAGCAGTAACGATTGTCCCCCGGCCGGTTGAGCTGTGGATTTCCAACTAGTTGTCCATGCGCCTCTGTTTTATCGTATAGTGATTGCGACTCCTGATACGGAGCAGGTGTATTCAAGTAAGAGGCAATAATTCTGTGGTGAATGTATGAGCTGATAGTCACTTATCCTTGAGATAGTCATGTAGACTGGGGGGGGTGTGGAAAGGGGAGCTTGACCCGAAGTGGGTTAGACTAGGCGGTGGCTCCCTGAGACGGGGAGCGATGACGGGCCTGATGGATAAGGAATGTATCCATCGTCTACGCAACTCTCTCACCGCACACACCTCAAACGCACACGACACTGCTGGCCTGATTTCCAGGCATGCGAGGGGTGCTTGTTGAACAGTTTTGAGAAATTGCTGGATGATTTCCGACTGTTCTCTACCCACCACCCGTTGAACTGGATCATGCTTTGTGTGAACCACCATTGGGATTGACTTGCGGAATGCTTTGCCGGTGGTCGCATACATAAGCATACGCGGACAACCCAAACTGCGACATTTGTTGACGATGAGCATCACCACCACCTCCTTCGGTGGAACCGGCTCGAGCTTAGCTCGAGCTGTAGTGATAGTCGCAGGTGTATCCTCGCTGGTCGCTTCTCTGCTTTCACTCTTGTAAGAAGGATCCCCCAGCATCAACCCCTCTCCATCCCCTCCCCCTTGACCCTCAGGCAGACGGATATGATCTTGGTTCTAATACTATTCGCTTCAATCTATGCAGGTCCATATGGCTTCAAACGTACGACATTATCTTCGCTTGTATATCTACTCCATGCGCTGATCGATCGTTAGCAAAAATTATCGAAAACCCTTACTCCAGCGTTATGTTGTCCGTATCTTGTTGATGTTCGTATCCACTTTCTCTTCGTCCGAGAGCGGAGCTGACCCCGATGGCGCAGGGTCCCCATATATGCGGTGTCATCATGGGCCAGCATCATATCTTTACAGGCAGCGATGTGGCTGGATCCCATTCGTGATGTCTATGAGGTAGCTTTCCGTGTCTGGATACTGTCCGTCTGCATTGGTTAACAGGCTATTCCAGGCATTTACCATTTATACCTTCTTCCAGTTATTGATCAACTTCCTCGGTGGTGAACGGGCGTTGATCATCATGACACATGGACGACCTCCTGTACAACATGCCTGGCCTCTCAACCACATATTGCCCAAAGTCGACATTTCTGACCCTCAAACCTTTCTGACCGTCAAACGAGGCATCCTCCAGTATACCTGGCTCAAACCCATTTTAGCCATCATATCTATCGTAATGAAAGCGACCGATACCTATCAGGAGGGCTACTTGGGCTTGAACTCTGGGTATCTCTGGACCGGCATTGTGTATAACATTAGCGTTACCGTCAGTCTTTATTCTTTAGCTATGTTTTGGGTCTGCTTGCACAACGATCTGGCGCCGTTTCGACCGGTACCCAAGTTCTTGTGTGTCAAGCTGATCATCTTCGCATCTTATTGGCAAGGGTTCTTCTTGTCGATTCTGCAATGGCTGGGAGCTCTATCCAATGGTGTTGCCGGCTACACGCCCGACAATCTCGCGGCTGCCATTCAGGACAGCCTGATTTGCTTTGAGATGCCCTTCTTCGCTCTCACGCATTGGTATGCCTTCTCCTGGCATGACTATGCTGACTCGACAATCTCCGCCGCCCGCATGCCCGTCAAGTACGCGCTCCGTGATTCCTTTGGTGTCCGCGATCTTATCGAGGATACCAAGATGACGATACGGGGGGATAACTACGAGTACCGGCTTTTCGATTCGGGCGACCACATCATTGCGCATGCCGAATCTAACTCGCGTGTTCGACGTGTGATGCATGGTTTGAGATATGAACGGGGCGGGAAAGCCAAGTACTGGATTCCGACACCTGGGGAGATCAACAGTCGGACACCGTTGCTGGCTGGGTCAGAGGGGAGTAGTCGGGACCGGCGCAGTAGCACGCTGAGTCGCATGCATTCTCATAATGAGATGGAGGAGACCAGCCTGGATGAAGATGATGAGACACTGTTCACCAATGCCCGCGCATTGGAATTTGGCGATTGGAACGTAGGTCGCTTCCTTCCCTAGTTGATGGGATGCAGTCAGCTGACCGGCACAGTACCCCGTGATCACCGCCAACGTGGTGCCAGCAGAGCAGCGCCTTGCACGTCAGCGCGACTCACCACAGCGACAGACATCAGGTGTTGTAAAGAAATCCCGCAAATCCAAAAAGCCGCGCCCGTCCAGTGGCGATGACATACCTCGTAGCGCAGAAGCTTCTCGCAGTCCACGAACAAGCTACGCTGAGCAAAGAACCCAGTCCGCAGCCTCCTACGCTTCCCACCCAAGTCAAATAGTGGACCTTGTGGTTGAGGATCAGAAGGCTGAGGAAGAGGAACGACGACTCGTGCAGAGAGCATTCGGCTCGACAACAGTCGAACCCGAACACAGGCATTTCCAGTATGTGATTCGGGCCTAGACCAGGGTCTATGACACTGACGCTTTGCTCTTTAGGAGGCCCTCGGGCGAGCCCGTCGATGAACGGCATGGTGATGATATCGATGCATTGATCCACGAACACACGAACGGTGGGGAAGAGGAATCTAGCAGACAGGGCTGGGCCTACGGGGACCTGGAAGAGGACAATGTTTGGGATCGGTAGGCTGCGAAAAGGGAGCTTTACAACCAATGAAGTTGCATATGTGGTGAATGCACCTGATTACTGTAGTTTCGAGATTATACCATTTTAAGGGAATCATGTATTGTATAAGGGACTTGTACGATGATGATGATGATGATTGCAGAGGAGGCGGGCACTCGAGCCATGTGCTTTTGATTAACCCACCACCTTTTCTGTCAGGGGCATTTGGCGTAACGGAGGAGTGACTGATGTGACAAAAAGTCTGACGCTCGGGCTGGTGGTTGGTCGCCCAGCAAATGACGGCCAGCCATTACGCGCCCACCACGCTTCTTCCTCCTTTCTCCTCTGGATGGCAGTCACGGAGATGGTCGTTATCGATGGGCGGACTGACACTTAAGATGCAGGTGGCTGATCGACAGCCCGACACGCTGGCGAGGAGATGGGGGGAGGGAACGTTTGCGTCGCCGCTATTGGTGTGCCTCAATTGATTAGGGCAACAAGATGGATGGCACCACGACTGTCACATCTTGGACCCTATGCTTGCCCCTCATTAGTCCTCTTGGAGCTGGCGGATGCTCGAGCTTCATTCAACCTGAAGCAGTTCGTAGTTCGTAGGGTAGTTAGTCCCTTTGTGTCTGAGCTCGTGATGTTTGATCATCATCAGGTCTTTTAATCTTGCTGGTTCTTCGTCTGTTTATTCATGTGTCTATCTTTCTTTTCTTCCCACCCCCTCCTAGGCTTTCTCTCTCCCTGGAGGCCTAAGGTGGTTTTTGACTCTGCCCTTTTCCCTCTGTTGTAGCTGTCAATTTTGACTGTTTATCGTCAGCAGGCAAGCCTGACGTTTCGTATTTTTTTTTTTTTTTCTCTTCAATTGTCTCTGCTTAGACCCCCGCCCCCCACTGTCTGTTCTGCCGACCCACTGGATGATGGATCAACACTCTTGATGCGCTGGCAGCTATGAAGCAGGCAATAGAACAAGCAGGATCTCTGTTCACTGGCTGGACAGATTTCTGCTCGTTCTGCCTGTCCTCCGGGGACGACGAGAGTTTCCATCATCAACAAGCACTGCAGCGCAAAGGTGTGTATGTTTCTGTCGGTCTGGAAGTTTGGGGGTCCGACATATACTCCGCGCATAGCCCTAAGTCGTTCCCAGACCGCGCAACGAGAACTGACTGAAATTTCTCTCGCTCGCTGCAGGTGCTGAACGGGAGATGAAGATATGCCATACCCAGCAGCCCCGTCTCGTTCCCCCCATGAAGCCACTTGCCTACGATGCAGATCCCATCCCACGCCCTCTGCCCCGAGCATCCACATTGCCCGCCTGGATGGTGGTGAGCAAGAACCGTGCAAGCATGTCGCTAAAGAGGAAGTCGACCGCACCGATGCGCATCAGCGCACCGTCCGACTTTCGACGAGTGTCGAGCTTTCTGCCTGGTGCAGACGAATTCTCTCCGTTGGAGCTGAGCTTTAACGTGCCCGGCCGTCAGCTTCCAGATCTTCCTCATTTTGATGACTTCCCCTTAGAGACTGACCGTCGCTCCCCGATTGCACGGCCTCCTCGAGCCCTACCGGGTGAGAAAGGCCATCTATCTCAACCACGAGCCCAGCAAAGACCCTCGTCCTCGTTCCAGCTGCCTCGCAAGCCCGTTGGCTCTGGATCTCGTCGTTCGTCTCTGGGGGCTCATGAATACCTCAATGCTGGAGACAGACAGACCTCGTCGTCCAGCCCTTTCATCCCCCATTTCTCCAGTCACGATTCTGCCACCACAAGCATTAGCACAACTCTACCATCCCCCAATCCTCTGCCCTACACCAACACAGACCACCGAACTCCCCTTCGACGGCCCAACCACGAAGCTGCCACTGCTGCTGGTCCTGCTGCATACCGACCTCCCAGAACCCCAACCCGATCCAACTGGCAGGAGAGGCCCTTACCGTCGATACCCACCGAGGAGGACACCCCGCCATCTTCCAGGAGCACCACATCGCCAAGTTCACTGACTTCTCCCTCCGATGACCGTGATCGCACGCCACCTCGCGCCGGCCGAGTCACCCAGTGGCCGTTCCAAGCAACAAGTCCCAACAAGAGCCAGCATTCGTCCTCTCCATCCACTCCCTCCTGGCTGCAATCAGCTCTCACGAGCGAGAGCCTCAAGGGCACCTTTCGCATCCGCTCGCGCACTCTCAGCGGCTCAACCCTCGCCTCCTCCATCTCTAATTTGACGGGGGGGTTCAGCAAGCACCCGACTCCGTCTCTATCAAGCAATACTACTGTTGCTGCTGCTGCTGCTACCACCTTCACTGGAGTCGCAGGGGAAAAGGAGACAAAAGGTCCAATCCTCGGCTGTCCGTTCGCCCTCCGCCAGCCTGATGACCGCCATATCCACCCCACCATCTTTGAGAGCGAACATCACCAGCAGCAGCAGCAGCAGCATCATCAACCAGCCCGAGAACAACAGGAGTATGAGGAACTTCACGCCCAGTATTATGAGAACTACCGTCATTCTGCTGTCGGATTGGCCTTTTGAGGGGTCCTGTCTACTGTGGTCGACGGTAGACGCCGTCCTCACAACTTTTCGTTCTTCTGCAAAATGAGCATATTCGTCTGAGATGCTAGGATAACCCCAATCCCAGCTCATTCCCCTCATTTTCACCCTATCAACTTATTAACCTAGTATCAACCTCCCATCCGCACCATCCACGCACCCGGCAGTTCCTGCACAAAGTCAAATCTCCCTCCTTCCATAAACCCACTCTACTCGTTTCACGCCGCACACTATGAACTCCGAACCCAAGCTACCCACCGCCTTAATGCTCTAATACACGCCCACACACCCCTCTCTCGTTTTGTCGGATCTTTGAATGCTGCATGCTTGCGATGCGGTTGTTGAGAAAAGCCACGTATATATATATACACGTACCCGTTCGTTTCAGCCTGTATTCTGGGCTAATAATGATGTTGATACCCCCCACCCTCTTTTCACCCTTTAGTCCTCACCGCTTGCTGGAATTTACACGTCCGTGCTCTTTACGATTGCTCGCTCTTTCGGTGGGGGGCTGTGCTTGCCGGAGGGAGGGCGGTTGATTACGATTGTGGACATAGATTTGAGTACTGGTTATTGAGAATGTTCTTCCGCAGTTGCATGGTTTGGCTTGGTTCCTGAGGTTTAAAGGATAGCAAGCAGGCTTAATGACGGCCCCCACATGTGAGGCTCCTAAGGTACAGGTACTGTAGCGAAATAGTTTACGCTAGGAGGGATAATTAGAGAAGATGATTTGATTCAGCGGGATAGTGACCAGTCTTGAATCCCACAAATTCTATCGCGTAAATGTGGTTACCCCCAGACCAAGTACCATCATCTTCTAAGGGTCACTCATATTCCTCATAAAGTCTTCAGGTCCATGCAAGAGCCGCGGAGGCTGTCTCAATCAAAGTCTATACTATAAACAGACAAGAAAAAAAAATGCAACTAGAGTATACCCACCGTACCGCACACCTCACGAGGTCGACTTGAACAAATGAGGGAAACAAGTCCTCAACTCCTCGAGACTCGAAATCTGGAACTGCGACGCCGGCTCCTGCGGCGCGGGGAGTCCCGGCTCCACGAGATGGGCCACAGCCCAGCCGCGCTCGGCGGCGTGTTTGCAGTTCAAGCCGGAATCATCTACCCCAAGCGCATGCTCTGATTAGCAAGACGGCCTTCCATCACAGCACACGACTCAAGCCCCCCCCTTCTATCTCGGGGTGGAAAGCAACATACCAACAAAATAACACTCCTCCCGCCTCGACGCCCCAGCCTCTTGCTCGGCCTTCTCGTACATCTCCTGGCTGGGCTTGCACACCAGGGGCGTCTGCGAGTAATCGCAGAAGGTGACGCCCTCGAACAGATCCTCCACCTGGAGCAAACGCACCACGCGCTTGGCGTGGGTCACGTAGGCATTCGTCAGCAGCCACAGCCGCACCTTGCTGCGATCGATGTCCGCGAGCAGCCGCCGCAGCTGCGGATCGGGCTTCAGGATCTCGTCCAGCGGCAGCGCGTCGTCGACTTCGCGGTTGAACTCCAGCGGGTCGATCTTGTGGTGCCGCGTGAGGCCCTCGATCGCGAGCCCGTATTCCTTGTAGTATTTCATGTGCAGGTGGTGCGCGTCCTCGGTGGAGAGGGAGAGGTGTTTGATGAAGAAGTCGTCTAGATGTTGCGCTGACTTAGTGGGGGAGGTTTATTGGTTTCGGAGGGGCAGTGGAAGTACGCACTGATCAGTTTTTGCATCTCATCGTGAATGTTGCATCCTGTGTGCGACCGTATCGCGGGGTCCGGTTAGTCGGGGGATGTATGTCGTGTGGACTTGGTTCGTGTTGTCTACCTCGGGAGTACAACTATGATACCCAACATCGGCGGTGGTCAGTCAAATGCATAGGCAAAAGTGAACTAAAGCGGCGGAAGGAACATACGCAGTTGTCAATGTCAAAGAAGAACACTGGTCGCGGGTCCCGCGGTGACTGGGTATTGGCGGTCGTCATGGCTCGTCGGAACTGGGGATGTGGCACACGAGGAGGAGGAAACCGAGGGAATGGAGCGGCGCGAAGGGAGGTCGGGAATCGCGGGGACGAGAAGGCAGTCTGGATAGCGCGATAGGCGCCAGAAGTAAAGGATGATTGAGAACAGGCGCTTAGAATGGAATACTTCATAGCCGAAGCTGATGCGCCGTAGAGAAGATGAGTGGAAAAACCACTACAGAGACTCGTACGGAGATTATGCGAATAACTAAGTAAGTAACTTAATGGAAGATTGATGGATGACTCGTTCAATGGGAAACTCATGGCTGCAACTGCAAGCATTCATTCCGCCCGGCTTTTCCCCGGCGAGTTTAGCGCCGACTCGACAACCAAGTTTACCAACTCTCTCTCTCTCTCTCTCTCTCTCTGTGTGTGTCTCTCTCTCACTCTCACTCACTCTCTCTCTCTCCCCCCTTCACTTCAACCGATCACGGCATCTCCTGTCCTTCACCACCTCGGTGGACGCTCAACTCCCTTGTCCTCTAACCCCCTTCTATGCAGTTTGAAAAGCACACACACTAAATAAAAAGGAAAAAGGAGAAAAGAAAATCTCAAGCAAGGAAAGAAGGAAAGAGGAAGACAATAGCTGGTCCCAGTGTACTGCACTGGACAGACTGTCAACCCAGATCGCATCTTTAGAGATTGCAACCGGGACCGGTAATGCAGCAAGGTCAAGTTGCTCGCAATTAACCGGGTTTGATTCCACAACTCGCACGACCAGCTGAACTCCCGCCTCGGAGAGCCATTCCTAGAGTATGGCTACAGCTCAGCTTTCCACCTCAGGTAGTGGTGTACCTACTAGGTTACCTACAGATCAGGAGGCGCAGGAGTATGAGAAGATCCTGAAAATAAGTGACGAAATCTTTCTTGGCACTCACCCTAGATTGAAGGTTCCTCAGCAGTTTGTGCGCAAGCCTGCTTCTCGCAACCCCCCTGCCTCCTCAACTCCCTCCCAGGTAAAGCCAGGAGAACCGCAGAAGGCTTCTCCCAAGAAGTACACCCCGTCCGCCCCTTCGAATGCCAAAGCAGCCAACCCATCGAGTGGTGGTGCGGCGGCCACTTCGTCGGGTGCGCCGGGGGCTTCGCGTATCATCCCCAACCCAGCCTCGGAAATCGATCCCATTTTCCTGACTAAGTCGGATGATCTCGTTCGAGCAGAGCTGCAGCTTCAGCGCCAACGGGTGGAGCGAGCGCTCCGGGAGCAGCTGGAGCAGAAAAGGCAGGAATCTAGGCAGAAGGCCGCTCTACAGGACGCGAAGCCGGACTTTGACGTTTCTGATGTGCTCGTCAAGGCCTTTGAGATGGTCAACCCATCTCCCTCGGTCGATGGCCGTGGCAATGGAGAGCCCAGTGACTCCTTTGACGAGAACTCGTTCTATTCCAGTAGAGCTCCTGACTCGCCTCAGCAGGGTGACCCGCAGGGACCGTCTTCAGCCCCTCAGTCGACCTCTGAGGAGCCTGCTACGGAGGGCCCAGTAGAGAACTATTCAGATGAGTTGCAACGGCTTGAGGCCCTCAACCGAACTGGATTGGATCAGGATATGCAAGATACTTACCCCGTGACAGGCCATCGAGTACCCTATGATCAGAGGCAGCCGCACCATGGCGAGGTTGACTACGCATCCCGCAAGTACCCAACCCAACCCCAATCCACCGACGCGTTCGAAGAGCCGGAGTACTCGCCGCCGGCCCCGGGGGTCGCGCCTATGGAAAGGGAAGACAACCACGAGGCACATAGAGAACATCCGGCTGGAACCAAACGACGCGCGCCGGAAGGCCGCCCGGTGGAACGAGCCCGCTACGCTCGAAGGTCGATCTCGCCCGGCGACGATGTCCGCATCGTGCGGAACCACATCACCTCGCCTGCCGCTCCACAACCATCTAGGGTCTCTCCGTTGGCCATCACCAAGGTTTCCTCAGTCCCCCAGTCGCGTTCGGATTACGCCCCCGAGCGTCACACCAGCCCAGATGTTCCTGCCTATCCTTTGACTTCTAGAAAGCGTAGGAGACTGCATGAGGATCGAGACCGTTCTCGTCCATCGTACAAGGCTCTAAACACCGGGCCTGCCGCGGAAACATACATCAAGGAGGAGCCCGTCTCGCCTCCACCGTTTGCAGATGACCCACAGGCATACCGAAGCCGTCACCCTCAAGAGCGACCTGTATACATAGACATTGCCTCGCCACAGTATACACCCGTGATAGAGAGAAGAGAAGCGCCCATGAGGGAGTCGGGCTACGAGTATGAAGTTTATGACGCGCACGCAGACCCTGGCGCACAACGGACGATCTCCAGACTCAGTGTGAGACGCCCGATGCGCGACGATCAAGACCTGCGACGAGTCGCGAGCCTTCAGCACCAAGCTCGGCAACCTGAATACGCTCGGGAGTACATTGACCAAGCTAGCCCCCATACTCTGCGGGCCGGATCCTATGCTATTGTGGAACGCCCGGCACAGGAACGAATCCGGTTTTATGACGAGGTGCCTCCGCCGCCTGCACGACGCTATATCCCCGCTGCAGAATCGCCCATGTCGCCTCGACTCCGTGAGGCATACTACGAAGAGGAGGCGACGGGTCGCATGATGGCACCACCGCCGCGCCGGATCGTGGTCGACGAGCACGGCAACCAGTACTACGAGGCGGTCTCGGCCCCGCGAGTGCAAGCCATGCCTTTCCCGGCCAGCCGAGCCCCGCGAAGTGACGTATACGATGACCGTGCGGTGTCTTTGCGCCATGCGAGCTTGCGCGCAGCGTCCGTCGTGGAAGACCCCTACGGCGGTCGGAGGTACGTACCGGACATGCCCCCTCCGCCCAAGGCTTATCGACGCGTCACCGACTATGCTCGGCCGATTCCAGGCGAAGGGCGACCGTACACGGGTGCGACCACCGCGGCCGTTGTCGCCGGGCAGGACGAGCGGGATGTGTATCCTCCGCGTAGCGCCAGCGTCCAAGTGGCCGAGTACGCGCCCCGCCGACCCCAGTATTACCTCAACCCTGAAGAAGCTGAGGTGCCGCGGGAGCGGATCGTGCGGATGCCGAGCGTGCGTCCACCCGCGGCGGGCCGGTATGAGGAGCCCCGCGAGATCATCCAGCGGGTGGACAGTGTTCGCCCGGGCGGAGTGCGCGACGTGAGTGTGTATCTGGATGACGGTACCCGTCCGCCGCGGGAGTATGTGGAGCGGCCCATGTATGTTGCGACGCGGCCTGTGATGACGCGCGAGGAACCGATCCGCTACTATGAGGGGGGTGTGGCCGCGAATCCGGAGCGCGTCGTCCTGGAGGGAACCCCGCGGGGGGATGTAGTCCATCGAGCCCCTCCGCGATACTAGTATCTTTATTTTTGCGGTTGATGAATTCTTTGATGATCACGTATATGGTCCATCTGTGCAAGACCCTGTTGCGGGGCATCTCGTTGTACTTACAAAAGCAAGCAAGCAAGCAAGCAAGCAAGCCAGGACTGGACATTCATTATATTGAGCATTAATTGTTGTGGGGGACTAGCCTTCGCCTAGATTGATTTTCACACATTTTCATAGTATATAGAATAGTATATAGCATCAACTCACTCCAGCACGAGTTCGAGCGGCATTCGTTTTATCACAAATTCCCAGGGTTTTGCAGACCATGCACAAATTAGTACAATCGGTAAAGGTAGCTGTTCCCCGTTAGACCCACCATGTACCCCGTAGATACCGACTATTGTTATCCCATTGAGTGATCACTACGCCATACTCCTTTCCTCATTTTTAATAATCGGGGTGCTAGTCCATTACCAGCGTCTCTTCCTGATGAAAACGAGATCGAACAGACAACACGAGAGACTACCATGGTGGCATTTAGGCATTGAGTCTGAGGTCCGCAGACTGCTTATTGCCGTGGTGTAAGTACTGGGCTAGTCATCAATCTCACCTCTGTCTTCGCGACTGTGTTTATTGTAAGTAAAGTCTCTCAAGGTGTTGTTGGGGGTGGGAGATCGATGACGTCGTTGGTTGGTCCGAACGTTGAGATCGATCGAAGGTGCGGGTTCGGGTAAAGACCTACAGGACTGTAGTACTTTGTAGTGTGTATAAAGTGTGTAAAGTGTGTAGTAGAAGCATGAGCTGATGGTTATTTTACAGGATCTACGGAGTACTCAACGTATGGATAGAGTCCAAGGGTCCGTCATGTCTGATACCGGCCTATAATATTGAAAAGATCATTCGGGTGATGGGCCACGAATCGGGATTGCGGGAGTATTGCCCTGGGTTTCAAGATTGTGCCAGTGAGAGAAAATCAGAAACTTACCAGACAACCCAGCAGTTGTCGAGTTTCACTGGAGGAATCAGTGTGTGTGATTTGGGATGGGGTGGATTGTTCCAACTGTTGATGGAGATACCTTCTTTGTATAGTGTTGGTGTTGCTGACAGGGATTCTGTTTCAGTTCCTAGCCAGGATAGTTGGTCATCAGGTATTCAGTTGTGTTAGCAATGCGTGAGCATCAATCAGTCTTTGTACCGGTACAGCAATCAATCCCTATAACAGGGCCAGGCCAGTAGGGGAGAACAATGGAAAATGTCTGACCCTCTGACTGAGTGTCCGGCTGGATTGGCCGGGCGGAGACAACAAGTCATGATACACGGTGACGCAAGGTTGCTGGTGTTTCACTTTGCCTTTCCATCATCCTTCAATCCGGTTTGACGGGACCCGGACTGCATACCGACTACTCCGGACTAAGGTAGTAGGTAATCATTGAGTCTGGACGACAGTGGTATATTTTGGTTCTACTAGTTTTTTAAACTCTTTTGGATCGAGGTATTTGCGCCCTTCAAGCACCTTACCTAACCAACCTACCTACCTCCCCCCCCTGTGTGGTTGTCGGGTAGTAAGTAGGAAGAATGCCTCTGTTACTGGGGGAGAAACCTCTGGATCCAGACTGGCAGGTATGTAGTACTCCGTCCTCGTCATAGGCCAATGCCAATCCTGCCAGGTGAGCACAGCCGCAGCACCAGCAGCAGCAGTAGCTCGGATGGGGTGATTCGGACGCGTGGCAAACTCGACAATAACAACACGATCTTTCACACTTTACGGAGTACTCGGTACTTGTTCAGCCCCATTGGGGGCAGTAGGTGTCGACCAAAGAGAACGAATGTTGTCTTGCTCAATAGGACCTCCTCATCATCCCCCATATCTGTTGCAGTCAAGGCAATCCAGGCGAAAGAAACTTGACAGTCACGGGCCGGACTTGATGATCGTCCTCTTTCCTTGCACTTCCAAGCTTGGATCTCCAGTTCAACCGGGTCTGGGATTCTTTCGGGGAGGGGGTGCCAATGAGTAAACTTTTCCCCGGTATTCTGGCTTTGCAAGTTAGGTGTGGTGATTGTGTGTGTGTGTGTGTGTGGTGTGTGTATGTGTGTCCGATGTCTTCTTCCACCTTTACTCTCATATAATTATGGTCTGATTACTGTGTACGGAGCCATCACAGATAGAGGGTCCAGATACAGTCCCGGGTTGACCCCCCCAATACTTACTTCCGGGCATTAACACCACACGTGACTGCATCAATTGCAGCCATGGAGTCTCTTGCATCGCCCAAAAGGGACCTGGCGGGTGAACCGTGCAGAGAGGGAATTCAACGATGCTGATCATGATGAAGAACCTCTTCATCCTGAGGGAGTACTGCATAAAGTACAGACTGAATACTCCCTACTGTGTACAGTACTCAGCTCGTAGTGCTTGTCTCCTAGCGACCATGGAGAGCACCAGAGAGAATGAATCTCCTTTGGGCAGGAAATGAGTTCCTCTTTTAAAATTCGCTGGGCACAAGTCAAGTCAACTTTGGCTTTGCCCATCCTTGTCATCAACGAGGGGGAATCCCAGCCTGTTTTCTTTTTCTCTTTTGGGTCCCGGGATGGAATGTTTGGTGGGATGTCGACTGTCAGCCTCAGCTTTTATTCTTCGTGATTGAGTCAGGCTGGCAGAAACTCCTGCTACTGCTCAAGGAAGAAGGGGGTGGATGGAGGATCCCTAGTCGGACTAGTCAGGACGATGATGACTACTATTTTGGTAGTAGGCAGAACTCATTAGTCCTCAAGTTAGACACAATTAGACACCGTTAGCCTGCTTCGGGTCACGATCGTACTTTGGCCAGACAAATGCCAACATCGGGCCTAGACACTGGGCTGAGTACCCGCCATGTCCCGCCTGAGAGAGAGAGAGAGAGAGAGAGAGTGAAGAATACAAACATGGGTGGATTTGTCAATGTACTGTGTAGTTCTGCTCAAGGAGGTAAGTTAGGACATTTATAGCACACATAACTTATCACATCAATTCTGGGAGTCAAGCACGAGGGAATAATAACTCCTTGAACGATCAACATTGATTGATGATTGATTGAGTTTGGGTAACTGGGGGTTGTAACTATTTTGTTTGTAGTTCAATGCAGAATTACTCTGTGGGATGCCTGAGGAAGTCAGTTCTATTGATCTTCTATCTTCTTGTCATGCACTCATCCAAAACTCACTTCCCCCCGGGCTAACTTACTGTCAACTTGGAGGCAAGTCTGAATTCGGCCAGTGGAATTCCTCCCTCCCTCTCTTGTTCTTCTTGTTCTTTTGTGATTCATTCCTCTCCCTCCCTTTCAAACAACTGACCAAAAACTGAATCAATCAATTTACTTACAATCAATTTAGCAATTGTCCAAGCCGCCCAACACCCGTTTATTTTTTCTTATTTTATTTTATTTTATTTTTTTGGGGACGGTCTGCTTTCCTCTGATTCATTTCCCTTCAATTTCCCAATTTCTTCATTGCCTCCTCTTCATCTTATCGTCTCCATCCTTTTTACTCTTCTGCTAGTCTATTCTCGAACATTTGCTTGGTTTTCATTATCTATCCATTTTCAATTCTTTTTTGGTGTTTCTCCGCAGTCCAATCCACCCGCGCAGATCCAGTTTGGTCTTTTTCCCACCCATTCCGGATTCTCCCCCCCCCCAAAAAGGCGCCCTTTCGCCTTGACTGGACAGTCACTCACTCCCTCTCACTCTCTCTCTCTCTTTTGCTTGCTTTGCTCTCCCTCCCTCCCACTTCCACCACCACTGCATCTCCTCCCTCCTCCTCCTCCCCCTCCCTCCCTCCCAAACCCAACCCAAACCACCCACCCTACTGTCTTCCAACACCACCACCACCACCTCTTCTCTTCTTCCGCCTTTCCCTTTTCCCTCCCCTCTTCTTGTGCGCCCACCTCCCCTCTTGTTCCTTCACACCCACACCCACCCATCCACCCCCCCCCCAATCCCTGTCGAGAACCGGCAACATCTAAATTTCTTGTCTGTCCGCCTGCCTCGACTTTCTTTTCTTCCTCCCTCTCCATTTAGCTCTTCTTTTTCTTCCTCCACCCACCCTCGCTGTTCCCTTCCTGCCCCTCCTCCGGTTCGTTCGCCAATTCTCTTCCCTCCGCTGCTCGACTACAACCCCCTTCTCTCCCCTCGACTCGTTCAAGGGGCCAGAGACTCAACTCCTCCTGCCATGCACAAAATCTCCAATTTTACGGGTCAGGCCCGTCATGGCTGGGAGCGAATGACACCCACTTTCGGCATGTCTCGACCGCATACCGACATGAGCTCCCACTCCCTCCGTCGACCGCATGGCGCACCTCCGATGACTCCGCCCACTGGAATTGATCCCACCGTCAACCTCTCCTTCAACGTCCCCTTCTCATCCACCTTGGCCGGTCCCGACGCCGACGATGTCCTGCACGCGAGTCCGGGGGCCCTGCAGCGCTGGTCCTTCCCCGAGGGCACGCCTGAAGGAACCCCAGTTCACCAGCTCCCCGTCCATGCCAGCAATGTGGAGGCTTTGCGAAGGTTATGTCGTCAGATCACAGAGAGCAGTAACGGTCGGGTAGAGGCTGTCGTCACGTCTTCGGAGCCCAAGACAGTGCCATCACTACAACGACGACCCCCAGGATTGGCGACCAATGTCTGCATCACCGGCGATGGAGAAACTGTGCGCAAGATGCGGGCGAGGGTCCTGAACGAGACGCCGATTTTGTTGGTACGGCCCCCCCCACCCTCGACCTGCTGACCTTGTCTCGTCACGGCGTCTTCTGGTAGCTGGCTTGACACTAATGATCCGGGCTTATAGCGTTGTGCGACCGTGGATGTTGACGTGCACCTCATCATCGATGGATCGACCAAGAATATTCGTTCGAGCGTGTTGGAACATCTGGATACCCTGGCTGCCTACACGGGGACCGACATCTTCCTTCTCAACCCCAAGATTCGCGACAACGATAGTGCTGTGATCTCCTCGTATGGCTATGCGTCCGATAATGGGTTGGACCAGCGCTTCCGAGTGTCCATCTACGGGGATATGGAGAGCGCGGAGCATGCCAAGACCCGCGTCCTGATCATGATCGATCAAATTGTATGTGCTTGTCATGGCAAAGGATACGGTCGGAATTACTAACGATTCATAGCTCAAACGTCACGTGGATGCCATGAAGCTGGAGCTGACCATGCATACCTTGGTCTGCGGTCGCACTCGCAAGAACATTAAACTGATCGAGGCGGCAACCGGAACGGCGATCTATTTCCCTCCGCCATTTCCGCGCATTTTTGGATACACGCCCCCCGGTGCCCACCGTCGCAGCGAGGATGAGGTGTACATTACGGGTGATACTCAAGAGCAGATTGCTCGCGCCAAGCAGAAGCTGCGGGAGCTCGTCATGGGGGTCAAGATCTATGTGAAGGATGTCATTGTCAACTCGAACAAGATTGACAACATCTTGCTTGACCGCCTCGACAAAGTCCGGAAGGTGATGGAGATGAACGGATCTTATGTCCACTTCCCCCAGCTGGGCATTCAGCGGGGCGTGGTTCGCATCCAGGGCACGGAGGTTCTGCACGTCGAGCGCACGGTTCGCGAGATCATGGCTCTGGTATGTGGTGCTTCTTGGATCTGGATCTATTCGGCAGTGACTAACTGATGTCGTAGGCTGGGCAATTCTACAGCGCCTCGTGGTGGATCATCATGCCCGACCCGTCCCAGGGCGGATTCCGGGCCCCCTCCGCCACTGACGTGCGGACCATGCTGTCGGATATCTGCAGCAACTCCGGTGCTGAGGTCAGCTTCGACAACTTGACTTTCACCATCAATGGCTCCGATGACGCCGTCAAAGCGGCGATGATGGTGATCAACCAGATTCCGTTTGTTCAGCGGAGCCAGTACCAGATGCGCGTCAAGATCGAACTCGCGAACGAGCACAAGGAGTTTGTTAGCGGCAAGAAGAATGGCAAGATCAACAAGATCATGGGCCAGAGTGCGTGAAACCGACAGGTACTGCTTGCAGGGAGCACCAGGCTGACTTTGCTAGGCAACGTGCAAATCATCTTCGATGGGTTCAACGAGTACAACTTCTACATCGATGTGTGCGGGAACCAGTACGAGTCCACCAAGAACGGCCTGGATTTGGTCGAACAGGAGATGCCCGCCTCGATTTCTTTCCATGTGCCCGACCAATACCACAAACGGATCATCGGGATTGGTGGGCAGCATATCCAGCGCATCATGAAGAAGTACTCGGTCTTCGTCAAATTTTCCAACGCTATGGACCGCGGCGGCATGGGTAAAGAAGATGATGATATCAAAGTCGACAACGTCATCTGCCGGACGCCTGCACGCAACGCTCAGAGCCTTGATCTGGTAAAGCAGGAGATCATGGACATGGTCGAGAAAGTCGTAAGTCGAGCGCCTCTGACCATGTCTGCCCTCTCACTAACGCAGGACAGGATGCCGAGTATGTCTCGGAACGAGTGGTCATCAATCGATTGTACCATCGTGAACTGCTCGCTCGCATCTCCGAAATCGATGAGCTCGAGAAGAAGTGGAACTGCAAGATTGAGTTCCCTAGCACGGAGCTTGCTAGTGATGTGGTGAACATCTCCGGCCCCGAGTACCAGGTTCCCCAGGCGGTCGACGCCTTACTGGTACGGTTACTCGAACCTTCTACCCTTGTACCGCGCTAACGAGATGATAGGGAATGGTTCCTGAGAGCCATGAACTCCTCTTCCAAAGCTCTGCGGAATTGCGAGACTTCTTCAAGTCGCCCGAGTTCCGTGAGGATGTGTGTGCCAAATTGAAGGAGCAGTACGAGGTGGATACCACTGTGGACACCAGCTCGGATCTGCCGACGTCTGACAGCGCCTCGGGCTCCTCTTCTCCCACTTTCGGGCCTGAAGACCGCGTGGTCTTGGGGTACACTCGCAATAATGCCGGCGGACTGAAGGATGCGATCGACTTCTTGATCTCCCGCCTCGTGGCCCACGGACTTGACGCGACCACCGTCAAGGGCGCCATCCCCCGCCCCAAGTCTGACTCGTTTGAAGAGTCTTTGCCCTTCTTCGACTCCAAATTGTTGCAGCACGCGCCTGCCCCCCTTGTTACCGACTCTCCCACCCGACCCAACTTCTCCGATGAAACCAGCGAGCGCGGGTCGATCTTCGAGCGACTGCGCAAGCCTGGTAGTATCTCTTCCTTCTCCTCGTTCATTGGTCGCAAGAACCACTCGGGATCTCCGGGATCCTTCTTCAAGCATGCGTCCAGCAATGCGTCGAAGGCGTCCTTGGTCTCGATGGAGTCCCGAGACAGTGGCTACCGCAACCCGTGGAACGATTCCGGCGTGAACCTTGCCGAGGACGACCTGCCGGTCCTCGGAAGCTCTCACAGCCACAGCAGCAGCAATGGCTGGCCCGCGCGCTTTGACACGAAATTTCCATTCGGTACCGCGCCGGGGGACATGACACCCAAGCATGACCCGCGCGCCTCTTTTGACAGTGGTCGTCCTAGTACTTCCAATTCTACTTCTGGATACCCGGCCCCCATCGGGCCACCGCGTTAAAAACAATGTCAATTTGCAGCAGTATACCCCCAGAGACTTTTCTAGTGTTTGTTTTTATGTGTTGAACTTTTGAGATTTGTTGTCAGCGATTCTGTTTTTCGGATTCCCCTTGATACCACAGAGTGCATGCATGCCATGAAGACGCCAAGGAAAAGAAAAAGATATAAAATTAGGAAGGGGAAAGGTGCAGCATACAGGACGGGACTTTTGGTCCTGTTGGTCTTCTTCCCTTTCGGTGATATTTCTCCTCTCTCTGTCTTTAGTTTGTTGTCTTTTTTTTTTTTTTTTTTTTTTTTTTTTTTTTTTTTTTTTTTTCTCTTTTTTCCTTTTTTTTGATCTTGATCTTGTTGAGTTAAGCCAGGGTAGGGGAGATCCATAGGGGCTTGGAGTGCGATGAGAGAGATATCCGGGAACACACATACGGCTTGTTTCTTTGCCTTGAGATATTCAGATATGATACCAGTGAACGAGTGTATAGGATGGAATGGCATTGATTGTAGTTGATCTATCTGTGATGTTTGGACTGATTGTGCAGAAGGCTGTTCAGGACCGTCGGTAGGTTAGATCGCCTGACTGCCCACTCAGTTGTTCAGTAGGATTACTGTCGAGTAGTAGGTCGGTCTGTGGAACGGCAGCCGCAAGCCCACCTTTCGTCTTTTTTTAATACATATTAGATGAAAGGATGGGGGGCATGAAATAAATGAGATAATCCATGGACAGAGTATGGAAAAAGATATGATAATGGTCCCAATTGATATGATACATACATCAATCAGAGTGATACACCTTACCTAGTCGTTAGTTATGTGTTTCCACACCGCAGCACATCCATCCATCCATCTATCTGTCTGTATCCATCTGTCTGTGAAGTGAAGGGAAGTGAATGAAGTGAATGAAGTGCCATGTTTAGAATCCACACAATCCAGACCCATTCAAATACTTCACCGGATAAAACACCTTTGGCGCCCCCGCCACAAAATCCACCGAGATCACTCCCCCCGTCGCCGAGACATGTCGCTCGCAGCCCAGCATCTCCATCACCTCCGTACCAGGGTGGTACATGCGTGTGACGTTGACTTGGTAGTTGCTGCTACTGCTGCTGCTGCTGCTGATAGACTCCCCGCTAGAGTTGTTGTTGTTGGTGGTGGTGGCAGTGGCAGTGGTATCCCCCCGATTGCTAAACGCAGAAACAATCTGCATTCCCTCCGTCCCCTTGCGGGTGATATAAGTCGAGCCATCCAGGTAGAGGGTTTCACTGTGGTTGGTCGGGTAGCCCGGGTCTTGGAGGAGGGCGTGGTGGCGCAGGTGGTTGAGGGTTTTGGTGAGGGTTGCGAGGGTGGGGTTTGGGGGTTGGAGCCAGTGGGGGCTGTTGGGGGTGTTTGGGTGGGTTTCTTGAGATTGATATACTGTTGATGGGAGGTTTATGGTTAGGTTACTTATGAAGTGTAGTGTAATCAAGGAGGAGGGAAGGGTTGATATGAACGTAGGGGGGAGAGAGAGAGGGGTTTTGGGTGTAGGGCTGGCTGGGGAGGAAGACATACCCAATGGAATCCCGTCGGTCAGCAGGGTAAACGCCAAAGCGTTCTGGGCGAGCTGTTTGGCATGGTGGTTAGTATAGGTGATTCGTTGGAAACGACTGTAAAAGAGCTCACTGCAGTGTCATTCTGAATCGATGCAAATCGCGGCACATCATGGTTCTCGGCAAACGTCGCCAGATGCGTGTAATTCTCACACTTCTCAATCACCGTCTGCAGACTGTTCACCAGCCCCGGCATATCCCCCCCCGGCGCAAACGCCAGCGTGATGGGCTTGTAGACCGCGTAGTTCAGCAGCCCCGAAACCGCCTCATCGTACTGGCACATGGTCGTCGCGTCCACCGAATCCACCTCCCCCAGGGTGAACACCCCCGCCGCGCGCGTGAAGTCGCTCAGAAACGCCGGGTCCATGTGGTCCGTCGCCGCGATCCGCAGCCCATCCACCGAGTAGTTGCTCACCAGTCCTTGGATCCACGTCTGCAGCGTCGTCGACACGCGCGCGTCCTCGGTTCTGAGGTCCGGGAGCGCCACGGGTCCGTCGGCGAGCCAGCACGTCTGGCTGGTGGTGGTGGTGGTGTCGCTCATGTTGCAGTAGGGGTGATAATACCCTTCCTCGTTAAACGGGTGCAGCCGCGAGTAGTCGATGGTCGAAGCGTCCTCCTCCGCCACCGCTTGCGCCATGTTGTTGAGGGTGACCTCCACCATCAGGTACATCTCCCGTCGGTGCAGCTCGTCCGCCAGCGCCCGCAGCTCCTCCGCCGTCCCGAAGTGGGCGTTCAGCGCGTACAGGTCCTGCGGCCAGTGGCCGTGCCACGCCTCGCCCGCCGAGGTGGTCTCGGCGATGTTCTCGACCACCGGGGAGATCGAAATCGCCGTGAACCCGAGATCCTGGATGTAGTCCAGTTGGTCGATGATGCCGGCCCAGGTGCCCCCGCAGTATCTGGTGGGATCGCAGGGCGCATCTGGGCTGTTGTGGGGGCGTGCAAAGCGGTCGGTGAGGACTTGCTAGAGGGCAGGGGTTAGGGGGGAAGTGGTGGGACTTGGCCAGGGAAGGACGATGCACGTACGTAGATGGATCGCTGCGTCCAGTCGTCAATTGAAGGGGCAGCCAGCGCGAGGCTGGCGACGGTGGTCAGTAGGCCACCTGTGTAGATGAGGCGCGTCATCTTCAAGTTGCTTGCTGAGTTGGATGGAGTCTTGCAGGGGAATCGGTGGGGAACCCCGAGGTATTTAGAGCCTGCGGGGCTGGGAATTGGATGCCAGGATATGAGGCAGTGGTCAGGCGAGGAGGGAAGAAAAAGCTGGATACGTAATGCATGTTTATATACTCCTGAACCTCGCAATCTAGCCCTTGCTGTTCTGGATCCATGTAGTACTGAGGTTGCATCTGTTGAGAGGATAATTTGTGTTCATCCCTCACCTTCGGACTGAGACAGACATCCATCCAGACACACAGAAAGAAGCACCAGCTGCCAACTTGGTAGGTTTTTAGGAATGTGACAACAGCAAGGGATGGAGAGGGACAAAGCAGTTCGAGTCGGGGGATCTTCTTGTTGTTGTTGTTTGGGAGGGTCTGGAGCCCTAATGCGGAGGCGGAGGCGGAGGAGGAGTGGATTGCCTCAGGCTTCAGGCATCTGCTGCAGCCTCAGGCCCACAATCCCCCTTCTGAGCAACAATCAATCAATCAATCAACTCTCCCTCACACCAACAACAACAATCATTATCACCACCAACTTCTCCCTCCCCTTCTACCCCCTTGCCCCTCCTTTTTACTCCGTACTTCCTCTCTCACTCAGCTCATCCATGCTTGAACATGACTGAACTAATCCCCGGCCATGTGGTCACTCTCACCGACGGTCGGCAGGCCACCGTTCGGTTCGTGGGCACAACACACTTCGCGCCTGGTGACTGGGTAGGCGTTGAGCTCGACGATCCCACCGGGAAGAACGATGGCGCCGTGCAAGGCGAGAGGTACTTCGACTGCGAGCCCGGCTTTGGCATGTTTATCCGTCCAAGTGCCGTCGACGCGATCATCGAGCAACCGCCCGCTCGTCCACCTCCAAAGCCCGCCGCATCGAAAACGATCACCACCGCGCAACCCACTCCAACCCGCGGGCGAGCTCAGAGCGGCATTGCCGCTGGTCTCAAGAAACCCAATGCGCTCTCCACCGCCAACACCAAACGACACAGTGCCGGGGCCGCAAGCCCGACCTCGGCGCTGCGAGGCGCCGCTCAGCGCTTGTCAACCAAGGTATATCCCAGCCTGGGTCGGGTCGGAGAATAGAAGTAAAGCTGATGGCTGGCCCGCCCACTACTCTAGTCGCCTACGAAGTCCCCGACGAAGCAACTGTCGGGATCTGCGCTTGCTTCCAATCGCTCCTCGCTGAGCAGCACCCCGCGACCGGCTGCAACCACTCCCAAAGCTCGCCCGTCCATCAGTTCTAAACCATCTATGCCGCCTCCACCGCTCCCATCGACCGCCACCCGCGCCTCCCGCTCCTCGATTTCAGCTCCTGCTTCCAAGACGAGGAGACCGAGTTTGCACGCCACCCCATCGGCGCCTACGGGGCTGGCGAAACGCCCCGCCTTGCGACCAACAGCGCCCGGCAGACCGCCGGAAGATGTGGAGGGTGACACGAGTTCTCTGTCGGAGGCCCTTGACGCTGAAACACCGGACGTAGAGGGCGACGGAGATCAGGATGACCCGGGGCTCAGGTCTATCAGGCCTAGTCCCAGCGCCTCGCGGACGGTGAGCGGTAGCCAGAAGCAGCCGCAGCCCTCGTCGCAGCGTCTCTCGACCGCTGGAGCTGTATCGCGGGAGCTCGATGAATTGAAAACCAAGCTGCGAGTGATGGAGAAGAAACGGGCCGACGATCGCGAAAAGCTCAAGACCCTGGAGCAATTGCAGTCGGACCGCGACAAGTTTGAGGGGATCATCCAGAAGCTGCAAGCCAAGTACCAGCCCCAACAGCTCGAGATTGGCGAGCTCCGCAAGAAGCTGAAAGAGTCGGAAGCCCGTTTGGAGGAAGTCGAGCGTCTTCAAGCCGAACATGACTCGATCTTGGAAATGGCTACTCTGGACCGCGAGATGGCCGAAGAGACGTCCGAGATGTTTAAGCATGAATGTGAAACGCTGCGGCTCAGGGTTGAGGAGCTGTCATTGGAGGTTGAGGTGCTCCGAGAAGAAAACGAGGAGCTTGGACAGGCCATGACCCCGGAGGAGAAGTCGAGCCACGGATGGTTGCAGATGGAAAAGACGAATGAGCGTCTGCGCGAGGCGCTCATCCGTCTCCGTGACATGACCCAGCAGCAGGAAGCCGAGCTGAGAGACCAAGTCAAGGAGCTCCAGCAAGATCTGGAGGACTACACTGCGATCAAGTCCCAGTATGAGTCGACGAAGGAGAAACTACTGGTGTCCGAGAACAACGTGGAGGACCTCAAGCAGCAGCTCGAGACCGCTCTTGGCGCGGAGGAGATGATCGAAGAGCTCGCGGACAAGAACTTGCGCTACCAGGAAGAGATCAACGAACTCAAGGCTGCCATTGAAGACCTGGAGGCGCTGAAGGAGATCAACGATGAACTCGAGTACAACCACATTGAAACCGAGAAACAGCTCCAGGAGGAGATCGACTACAGGGAGAGTCTATACAATGAACAAAACCGTAAGCTCACACAGCAGGACGAAGTCATTGAAGATCTCGAATACACTCTGGTTCGGTTCCGAGAGCTAGTCTCGACTCTGCAAGGCGACTTGGAGGACATGCGGGCATCACAGCAAATCTCCGAAGCGGAGGCTACCGATCTCACGACGCGTTCGCGTGCCATGATGGATCTCAACCTGAAGCTGCAGGCATCAGTCTCCAAGGCGCAGACCAAGACAATTGACATCGAACTCGGTCGCATGGAGGCGGAGGAAGCCACGCACCACCTGTCTATCCTCAAATTATATCTGCCAGAGTACTTTGACAGCGAGCGTAATGCGATCCTTGCGCTTCTCCGGTTCAAGCGTGTCAACTTCAAAGCCTCGCTGATGAACAACACCATCCGCGAAAAGGTGGCGGAGCAAGCGTCGGTGTCCCCCGCCCTCGAGGAGGTGTTTGTGGCCAGCGACGTCATGGAAAAGCTGCAGTGGATCGCGGCTATCTGTGATCGGTTCGTCAACTATATCACTACTTGCTCCGCGGAAAGCTTCGGCACCATCACGGGTGCCCTCTTCGAGCTTGAGCCTGTGGAACGTACGCTGAATTTCTGGATTGAAGGATTGAAGAAGAATGAGATCAACCTGAAGAAATGTGCAGTCGAGTTACAGCGATCAATTGCCCTCCTGGCGCATCTTGCCGAGACACTGCTGCCGACGACTCTGGAGACATTTGCGGACGAACTTTGCATGCGCTCGATGCTGGCTCAATCCTACATCGACCACAGCGCTTCGACCATCGCACGACTGAGGACCCTACTGCAGTCCAAGGTTGCGGTCCCAGCGGGAGGCGATGAAGAGAGCGCATTCCTCTACAACAAAATGGAAGGGATCGTGACACAAGCCCGTGGCCTGAAAGTCGCTATGGGCAAGATCTACCGCTCCCTGGACGAGCTCCGATCCAGATCTCTGGCGCTTTCACCCGACGTGGCTGGTCCATTCAAACAGGCCGAGGAAGCAGCCAAGGATCTCTCTTCTCTCACTCGACAGCTCGGAGAGACGATCGTGTTGCTCATCATCGACGAAAGCCGCACTGAGTCCCTGAGTCTGGAAGAAGCACTCAAGACCATGTCGCAGATCTCCACACTCTACGCGCAACCTTCAGAAACAGGCAGCGAAAGCAGCGATGCGACCTCTCTCATCTCCAACCGACTGCGCAGTCTAGGCGGGTCCCTCGAGGAACTTGACTCGATCACATCCGACCTCTCGATCACCTCCGAATTTGAGAAGCGACCATCCCCTTGGACCATCCGCGCCGAGGAGCTCAAGTCCAACAAACAAACCTCCCCCGATGCGGACGAAGAGATCCGGCGGCTGAAGAACGAAATCCACGAAGCCTCCACGGCACTCGGCGTCAAGGACAAGACTATTGAGGAGCAAGCCATCAAAGTCGAATTGGTCGAGTCCCGGATGCGCGAAGCCAGGGAGAAGGCTTCCATGGTCAAAGACCTCGAGGCCAAGATTGAAGAGCTTCAGTCGGCCCACTCGAACCTAGAGTCCACTGTGCATCAGCAGCGCGCCGGCATTGAGGCGCTCGAGGCGGAACGCGACGAGCTCAAAACCCGCCTCGACAAGGTCAAGCGCATCTCCGGAACGACCGGCGCCACGACGACCGCCGAAGGCGGCGTGGTCATCGACGCCGGGCTCTCGCTCGCCACGATGCGCGAGAACGAGGCCCTCCGCGCCGAGGTCGAGAGCCTCCAAGCCGCCGTGCGCTACTTCCGCGAGGAGCACCGCCGCGCCAACATCCTCGACCCGTACTCCATCCAGCGCTCCGCCGATCTGCACTCCTGGCTGGACGTGCCCCTCACCCAGAGCCACGTCTCCTCCCCGCGCCGCGAGAAGATCCAACACACCGCCTCCGAAAGCCGCGACGTCTTCACCCACCTGCTCAAGCTCACCCAGGACTCGCAGATCTGCGATCTCAAATCCACCGCGCCCCCAACAGCCGCCAAAGACAGCCCCGCCTCCGATCCCTCCACCACCACGACCGCACGGGTCACCTGGCGCCCGAGCAAGACCAAGCTCCGCTACCACGTCCTCCAGCAGCGCGAGAACTTCGAGGAGTGGGCCGACTGGCGCGACGAGATCATCAGCCACGAGCGTGAGCAGGACCGCGTGGCCACCGCCAAGAAAGAACGTCTCGCGCGCAGACACCGCGCCGCCGCGGCCGCCAAGAGCTCCGTCTACGGCGCCGCAGCTGGGTTCTCCCAGGGTCTGGGTCATGGCATGATGGGCCGTGCTTGGCAGATCCTAGGCATGGAGCACGATGGGGCGGCCGGTAGGAAAGCTGCAGCAGCAGCAGCTGCTGCTGGTGGTGGTGGTGGCGGCGGTATCGGCGGCGCAGAGAGAGGTGCAACCATCGTAGGTGGACTGGACCTGGGTGTTGGTACTTCTTTCTAGATGGTGTTGTCATTTTCGCACTGGATCAATCAGCCTTCTTTCTCTCTGTCTTGTCGACAGGTATCATCATCCATTCCACCTATTGAGAAAGAACACTGTCTGTCTGGCAGGACAGTCTGGCCATCGAAATTGTCACACCTGACTGACCACCTTAAAGGGAACCTTCGGTTTCCTACCTCTTTTCTACCAAAGCGTGGCGGGGGACATGATCTCACAATCTCCATTTCAGCCCAGCGGACAACCAAAACAACCCACTGAGCATCGGGTCCAGCGCTGGACTGTTGGATTTCCTCCTCCTGTTACGTGTGCTTCAACTGCCTTGTCTTGCAGGTCAAGTACAGAGAGTGAGAAGTTTGCATGGACATAAAGCAGGGGCTGAAAAAGAATCTGAAAGAGAGAGCGCGGCTACTACCGGCCAGAAGACCTACTTATTCGATCTCCTCTCTCTCTCTCACTCATATCTCCATCCTTCCAAGTCACCATACATGGCCCAAGCCTACCTGAAAACACAACCAGCCAAGATCACCCATCGCTATATGTCTATATGTCCCATACCATGGTATTACCAGCCAAAGGGAAAGGACGGACAAAAATCTCTACGTGAATAGCCACACAAAGTCCAACAACAGCAGCAGCAGCAGCACCACCACCACCACCACCACCCCACCACAAAAATGTACATCGCGAATATACAGTACATACATACGATAATGAACATCAATTTGAACATAACCATGAATGCACCTATGTGTAATCTATGCATGTACACAGAGAAACAAAATCCCATGTACTACTCACAAAACACATGCGTGTACTGTACGTACCTAGCTAGACATACACTCCGGGGCAAACCAAATGACCTAGTCCCCATCATTTGCCTGAATACTCCAAGAAACATACCTACCTGCATTATACCCCAGAACCCGAACTCCAGACGCATGAAATTTGGCTTCAATATGTACTCAATTATTGCCAGACGACCAAAAACCAGAACGAACGATAAGATCCCCCAAACTGAACTCATCTAATATGGATAGAAGATGTCTGGTACGATAAATAAGAGGGATTACAAGAGCAGAAATAACAACGAGAAAGAAGAAGCTTTGTCCGCTCAAAATGATACATCCTTAAGCACAGGAAGAAACAAGGAAGAATAACAAAGAATAAGACATCATGCCACGCACGTGGTAATGTACAAACGCCAATGCCGGAGAAAGATGGAGCGAGGCTGAAAAGAGTTTAGAGATAACAACACAGCTTGAAGGTAACAAGTAGGACATGTCAGTGGCAACCGTGTCAAGAGTGTCAGAGTCGAGGGAGACATGAAGGTGAGGTTGAAATCTGGGAGGATACGGCGTCCTAATTGGTAGGGAGGGAGTCGGTAGAGGGCGTATTCATCATGAGAGTCGGGAGAAAACAGTATCAGGTCTGAGAAGTGACGAGGTAGCTCAAAGATGGCCGGCGAGAATAGCCTCAGTTGCTGTGAGGGAAGTTAGTCGCCATCTCTTTCACACCCAAAGGAACAATATTTCTTACCCGAGTTGATGTATGGACGCTTGGCATCCAATGCGACGCCGAATCGGCGCTCGAGCTCCTGTTTGATGCTCTTCTTCGTGACCGTCATCAGATCTGCCGTGCGCAGGATTTCCCGGATCTCGGCCAGGATTGCATCGTCGCTGGGCAGGTGAGACAGGTCTTCCATCTCCATGTCCATGTGCCGGCTCATAATCTCCGACTGCGCCAAGGACATGCGGGAGGAGTAGCGGGGCAGGCCGAATTGAGACATTGGCCGCGAGGGCGGGAATCCGTACTCGGACTGCATGGGATGGTAGGACTTGGTGGCGTAAGAAATGCCAGAGACCTCGGAGCGATCGTCTCGGGAAGTTTGCGCTTCCCAGAGTTCGGCCTGGTACTCATCCCATGTCTTCTTCGGGATAGAGGACGGATCGAACTTGCCTTCGTCGGAGATGACGACCTTTTGACCCTTCTCGCCGGTGATGACACGAGTGTTACCCCATGAGAAGTCGTCCATGTGCCAGAAAGAGTACAGGGGCAGCGCCAGAGAAGAGATTGGAAGACCCAATAGGTAGATGAGCATCCATCCAAGCATCTCCCACTTGCGACGGAAGATGAAGATGAGCGCCTGGAGACCGTAGATGGCAGCGAGAAGGACAAAAGTGGTCCAAGGAATGGTGGATGTGTCAGTGACAAGGTAGTAGATCATATACCCGATATAAGCTAGGGTGACTGGCTGAATCACGGTACTGAGCAGATCGACAAAGACGACGAAGCGCATACTGAAGCAGCAGAAGCCACAGAGTTGCTGAAGGGGTACCAGTTCCATCAGATTGTGAACGGTGGAGTTGATCCAACGACGACGTTGCGACAGGAACACCGCGAAGCTCTCCGGCGCAATGGTCCAGGCCTTCGCAGCGATGATGTACTTGGTCTTGAATTTGGGATGGAACTTCATCAGGAGCGTTGTCAGGTAACGATCTTCACCCAGATGAAGCAAGTTCTTCATGTGGAGTGTATCAACGCGGATCTCGGAGTAGGCCTCAATGATTTCCTTGCTGACGAAAAGCGGCTTGCCACTCTCAGCCGACCGGATGCGATACATTGTGAAACAACCTGGCAAACAAGTAACCGAACCGAACAGACTCTCGAAGGCCTTGATCATGTTGTGGGAAATGTAATATTCGTAGACCTGCATCATGGTGATGGCCGAATGTTTGGCGTTGGACAAGCCAGTTTCACCGCACAGACCAATGATTTGGGTATCAGCCAACAGCGTCGACACGAAGCGGGTTGCTGCATCCGGGGCCACCACAGTATCGGCATCGACCTGTAGAATGAACTCATAGAACGTCGGGTTGACACCGATGATGTTGCGAATCTGGTGATACATTTCCAACTCCATCGGGCTCATAGGCAGGTTGTAATGAACACGGTTGAGGAATCGCATCAACACCATTTGAGAGTCACGCTTTCCTCTGTTACCAGGGCGAGCGACCTCGGAAGGCTTTCCGACCTTGACAACCACAAGGAAGGGCACAATGTGGCCCTGAACCTCATAGAGACCCGAATAGATCTTACCCATGTTGTGCTGTTTCTGCCCTTCGCCCAAACTCTCGAAACTGAGTGGTTCGGGATCCACGGATTCCGGGACTCCGAGAATATCCAGGACGATCCTTGGGGTAGGACGGTCGTTACCCTGTCCAATGATCATACCATCGCAAATCACAACGAGAAGTTTCCGCTTATCATCATAGCGCATGCGAGCCATGGAATCAATGGCACGGCGCAAGGAATCTTCGTCTTCCGTGTAGGCGGGAACTTGACAGATGATGAACTTGTCAAGGTTCTCCGGCAGGTTCTTCCTGGTGAATTGTAAGGCAGCCAGGAATTTGAACACCACGATGGAGACGATGAAGATGGAAATGGCCAGAATGAAGTACCGCGCAAACTGACATTGAGCCGAATTACGGGTGTCGACATGTCCCACAAAGAAGAGATTGTCCAGGCACAGCTGCATGCGCTGACGCATGACGTCGGAAATCTGCAGGTTATCCCAGTACTTCGACAGATCCCGCCCCGGAAGGTCTTCGAACAGAGCGACGACCAGAGGGCTCATGAAATCGCGGTTGACGTTGTCCGGAACTGTTTTGCCCGCCGGGGCTTCCACTCTCCGACCTCCTGCAACGTACGTCGTCAGATCATAGACTTTGCCGTTGATATGGCCGATGTACTGGGAGTCATCACCCAGTGTCTTGATGTATTCTGGGGTATAACCAACCCATCCCTTGAAATAGTTTGCTCGGAGCATAATCATCTGTTCCTGGAACCAGTCTGGCCGGTAGTCGTTCGTGAAGTAGCGGAAATCATGATATCCCTTGTTGGTGTCCGTGGAGCTTACAGTAGTCGCCGAGCCCGATACGTTAGTTGCGGAATAGTCCAGAAGCACCGTAGGGTCAACCTTGCCATCTGTACCGGGGCACAAAGCAGACACCTGCACCGGGAATAGACCGGTGGCATCGGTTCCTGCATATGTCTTCAGAGATTTTTCGGGCACAATACTGGGATAGTGGGCTGGCATGAATTTGCCCAAGTTGAACACCACACCCCGGATCGCGACGAAAGAGCTGTGCCCATCCTTGCCGTTGTGTGAAGACAGTTCAGCGGACGAATACACATGCTGTGTGGGGCAAATCAAGGAAGGGAAGACGACAATGAAGAAAATGGCAACGAGACAGCAGAACCAGATGATCAGGTTGATCGCAAACTTTTCACGCCAGGCGATTCGCACATCCTTGCGCTTCATACGACCGAGAACCTTGATGGTGAAGTCGGGGATATACCACGTCAGCAGGTAGACCAACGCCATCCACCGCTTGCGACTACCGGATACCGGCACTTCTTCGATCTCTTCCATATTCTTCTCGTTGCCCTTTTCGAGCATCTGCTCACGGGTATCCAGATTCCGGAACATGTCTCCCGAGTTAAAGGCAGAAGCACCGGCCTCGGAACGCCCATCCAGGTCGCGGCTTCCAAAGTACCCGTGTTTTCCCTCCTCGCCGTATATGAAACCTCCCGGTGACTGATCCGCTGGACCAAGAAGTCGGACTTTGGAATCATGATAGTTGGCAGTCTGCGGGTGAAGTAGGCCATCCCCACCCTCATCGGAGCCTTCGCCCGCCGCGTAGACAGGGACAACGCGCTCGCCGACCTTCGCTAGGTCCGCCCAGCAGCGCTCGCTGAGAAACACACCTGTGCTGCCGACGCGAGCTTCATTCCCGGGCCATCGCTTCTCGTCGAGGACAACCTCGGCTTTCTCTCTATCGCTTCCCACCACAGCATTGCCAATCTCAGCCAGCCCCAGGAACTCAGCGAACGGAAGGAAGACGCTGAAATCTGCGTTTCTCAAACGCTGGCTGATCTCCGTGATGCCGAACGTTTGAACTTGCGCGCGGACACACTTGCTGTCGAACTGATTCGCAATTCGTCGATCGTTAGGCTTCAGGCAGAAAATGAAGTAAGGGTTCAGGTTGGGAGAGCTCAGGCATTTGTTGACAATGTCTAATGAGGACAGGAATTGCCCTGCAGCGCCCTGGATCCCGCTGGCAATCATCGCGCTCTTGCGTCGTCCAGAACTTCGCGAGGTACTATCAGCCTGACTCTCATTCTCATCTCGATCCTCAATAGGCGGAGGTGCATCAAACATAGCTCGGGCAGCCGGGCCATCCTTACGCCTGGCCATGCTGGGCATCCGCAGAGGCTTCGAGCTAACTTGCGCTTGCACAATGGCGGTCTTCTCCTGAGGATGGGTGACCGTGTGCAGAGCCTCCTGACCGAACAGGTCCCTCACAAATTCGCTGCTCGTGGATTTCATGAGGTTCATCAAGTCTCCGGAGATCATGTCCCCGTTCTCTTCCAAAAGACCATGAACCGGGTATTCGACCTCTCCTGCAAAGTGCTTCACTGTGAAGGAGGTGCGTGCAAGCTGCGAGACCATGCCCGTGGCGTGGCTGGTCGTTCCAACGGTGATGGCGGGGTTCTTGTTCTCAAAACGTCTCCTGATCGATTCGAGGAATTGAGAATCGGTCCGTCCGCGCCTAGTCTGGTCGTCGAGGATACTCAATAAGCCATTGCCGGGCTTCAACAGGCCCCGCACCGTGTCGATATTGTCGAAGTAGCTTGTGGCCGGCACGGAGACCTCTTCGCGCTCCAACTCGTCCGCCTTCCGGTCAAAGAAGGACTGCAGACAGAAGTTATACAGCGACTCCGTCGCCGCATTGCTGAGCAGCTGATCCAGCGTCGAGCCCGTCGCGCTGACCTGAGAGAAACCTGGGAAGTCGACGATCGAGACGGTGTTGGCTACACTATCCTCCGCAGCGCAAATCTTCTGGTTGACGGTTTCAATCACATACGCCACCAGGAGAGAGTAAAGGGTTCGAGCCAGGTCATCCGCATTCTGTCGTGCTCCCTTGGGATCCAACATAACCGTGACGCGCTCCCGACGGATGGTCTTGGTCTTGTACCCAAAACTGGTCTCGAGTTGGTCCACACCGAGGCCCAAGAATGCCGCAATGATCTGCAAAACATCCTTGTTCCGAACAACGGTCACCTTCTCGCCACCCTCGTGCGAGTAACCGCCCGATTCTTCCGCCCCGGTCGTCGTGGCCTGCCCACTCACGAAGTCCAGCTGTCCCAGATGAAGGATTGTCGCCAACATCTGACATAGTTCTGCAATCTCACTGCGCGGGAATTCCAGCTTCCTCAATGCAGTCTTGAAGTGCTGGAACCCGTCGGCGTCGTTGATGCCCACCTTGAGCTGGGTGGGATGACCCAGATACCTCCATCGTTTGTGGCCGATCGAGGCTGAGGACAATTTGCCAGCGGCGGTCGAGACGTGGATCGAGTTGTCAAACCCTAAATGAGCCTTCTCGGCCGCACTCGTTCCGGCCAGGAGATAATAGAGGACGTGAAAGCTCCGTTCACCAGTGGGAACAGAGGCAATGCGACTGCGCTCCAATCGATGGTCGATGATTTTACCACCGATCAAGGTAGGGTTCACCGAGGAAGAACCATCGTACTGGAGTTCCAGAAACAAGCCGGCTTTGGATGCAGTCGGGGTAGTCAGGGACTTGGTCGTCGTCAGAGTGTCGAACACGAAAGCCGCGTAGGACAGCTTCGAGGACAGAGGGGTGGAGGAGAACGAAAGAAAGGCGGATACGATGTGAGAACGAAGGGTGGTCTTTCCGGAGCCACTCTCGCCGCTAAGTTGAAGTAATCAGCTTTTGTTCGGATCGTGATGGCTACCAGGGAGCTTACAGGAAGACGATGGCCTGGTTTTCACCCCGGGCCCCGAGTCGAGTGAATGCCCGCCTCGCCAGGTCCTCTGCCTCTCCCATAGCACTGCCCTCTTTATCGCCATCGGGACCTTTGGCAGACGAAGTGTAAGTGTTGAGACTGATCAAGGCCTGCGATGACAAGCGAGCGGTTGGTAAGCCGACATGGAACCTATAGTGTCACCCCGTTAGCGACTTGCATGCCTCTGCAGAGAGCTCTTCACGGGCTGGGTTACCGGCTGGCCAGGTGTGCAGTCAGATGTGTGTCAGATTGCAGATGCGAAGGTAACGAGGGTAGTGAGGATTGTGCATGGGACGGAGTGTGTCCCCCCGTCGTATTTCCCACCATGATGTTCGTGGGGTTGCAGCCTCAAGACCCAGGTTGCGGGTCAAGGGCCAACAGCGGCTGGAGCAGATCTTAGTGGCGACCTCGAAGGGATCGTAGAGAGGAGCGCAATGGATTCAAGGTCGAATCCCGTGGGAGACTCTCTTGCTATGCTCGGCGAAGTAAAACGCGTGTTGTTCCAGGCCCAGGAATGCTGCAATTACCTCGTATGGACAGTACTTGAGAATCAGACGGAGTGAGATAAGTACAATTGCTGCATTGGTCGTCGCAGGATCGAAACGAATCAAATGAGGCCTTGAACTGATTATAAGGTCAAAAGTAGCGACGGAAGCAACCCGCAGACTTTGGGAGTTGGTGGAGGGGGGAATTTGGTTTGAAGCGATCGTGTATGGCGGACGCCAGGTAAGATGAAGCGAGAGTCGTAGGAGGCGATGGGGAGGAGATTAAAATTAGGGATTATCGAAAGCCAAAAAGAAAAGAAGAAATAAGAGACACACAACAGGACGCACAACAGACACAACTGCGAGATTGGATTGAAAAGCGAAGGAGGAAGAAAAAGAAGAGCAGAGCAGCAGAGCAGCAGAGCAAAGCAAGCAACACAAGTTTCACGCCTCCTCGCAACGGACGGTATCTTTTTCTGGGGAGAAACAGACAAGACAAGACAAACGCATCGGACAATCTTGAGTAGGTCCGGTAAGTAAGTATATCACCGTATGGGGTAAGTTCGTATGAAGTGGAGAGGGAAAAGACGAGAAGGAAGAAAGACCGAGAAAAAGAGGGGACCACACTTTGAAAATTACTAGTATTCAGTATTTTTGGGGGGGAAGGGAATTGCTTCTATTGTGGTCAACCCCGGGCAACCTGCTCTTACAATAGCAGTCTGGAAACCCACTAACTAGTCATTTCAATTTACTGGAGTTATCAGTGAATATTGAAAGCCATGAATACAACATAAATATATAAATATTCATCTATCCCCATGCTGCGAGGGGAGAGAGAATTATTTTTGGAGGCTGCATCCTGCACCTGACAGCCGGAGGGCCCGCGGATCCGAACCCACAGAAAACCGGTTGGATAAAGGCGTCCCTGGATAGTCCGTAGAATGGTCTGGCTAAAGGTACGGAGTACGGAGTACTGTGTAAGCTGACCTCTGAGAGGGAGGCTTGGAGCGAGGGTCGGGGGGGCCGGGCCCTGAGGTTACCAAAAAACCTTTGCCTGTAACTTTACTACTAACTATAGTGTATGTGTATGTGTATTGTGTAAATCATAAACAAGAGAGACCCATAATTACCACTAGGATTGGTCTTTTGTTTTCTGCCGCGGGTCTCAGATAGAATACCTCTTCTTCGCTGTTCTTTACTGTCCACCAGGGCCCCCCCCCCCTCCTCGAGTCGAAATTAGAATCACCAGCTGAGAATGTGAGACGAGGACCACTCGCCCAATGCTGGCGCAACAGAAACAATCCCATGTCAATCATTCAGCGCCACCCGCGCAGGATCGAAAAGGGGGGGGAGAGTGGAGGGGGGGGCTTCAACTTCCCTGGCAGGTGCAGTCAGGGCGGCCTCGACGACGCGCGGATTGTTCCATGCATCGTATACGATGTGGACGATGTGGACGATGTGAACGGTGTGGACAATGTGGACGGTGTGGACGGTGTGGACGGTATGGACGGTGAACGGGTGGACTCAATAAAACCCATGCAACATGCACAAGGACAGACGTGCAGTCATGACGATGAATAGGGACAGTCAAAGAGCGCTACAGGATCTGATACTTTGGAGATCCTTCAGAGAAGAGAGACATTGAATCATAAGTAGTCAGAATGCGATCCAGTCGGACGGTGATGCCAAGTTTGCAAGCACCACCATGGGATCATCCGGGAGACCCTGAGTGGTTTTAGCCGTCAGTACGGAATATCAACCCAAAAGGAAGAATTCGGGTGGAGTGGAGCGATCATTCGATCTCATTCCTCCATTGAGCCAAGTGTGAAACTAGGAAGGGAAGGGAAGGGGGGGGGGCCGGTTTTCTTACTGAAATCTTTGCCTCTCTCTTTGCCCGGACCCATGAAGCCCATGGAAGTTGGGGGAGGACGAGAGAAAATCCTCTCCCCCGCCCCTTTCGTTTGTTTTTCTCCTTCCTCTTCTTCCTCCTCCTGTTTCTCCAAACGAAGACAAAAGGGTTCATTAGTCATCCGTGCACCCTTGTTTGGCCCTCTTTTCTCCTCTATTCTCCTCTTCCTCTCTCTCTCTCTCTCTCTCTCTCTCTCTCTCCCACTCACGCTAATTGCTGCAGTCGCAATTTATTGATATTGATGGGAGGGAGGCAAATCATGCGAGGTGGTCAGAGAGCAACACTCGGACTCGCTGGGAGGCAATTGTTATTATTACCTTAGTCTCTGTAAACTAACTATCGAACCGAGTCAGGCTTGACTTTCTTACACGTATCACGATGGTTGGGACAGTAGTCAGACTGAGATCCCCACCGTAGCACATTATTACTAGGGCAGGTAAGGTAGGTAGTTATCCCGCCATACTGACAAAAATAAATCCACGGCCGTAGCCAATCCGGAATGAAAGGATGCAAGACTGTCTTTGAACAGCATATGACAGCTACCCCTCCATGCTGGAAGAAGTGCCAGGAATAGCAGAGCGGCGAGACTGTGAGGGTGGCAAAGCAGAAACAGCCATTCGCTATTGGCCTCTTTGCCTGAGACACATTGGTGCTGAAGAGTCTTTTGGTTTTTTCTTGTTTTTTCTTCAGTGCTAGTGGGAGTGAGACAACACAGGTTTTGTTGCCAAATATAGGGATCCTCTTCCAGGGTCTCCAGCCATGGATCATTCCTACTCCGCCTCACCGATTGGCTGCAGCCAAAGTACGTTAAGCCAGCCACATAACATTGGTCAGGCGCTCGCTTTGACGAGGGAGAAGTCAACTAAGAGTCAACTCAGAGTCACCCAAGAGTCAACCAAGAGTCAACCAAAAGAAAGATAAAGACACATAAAATTACTTACCGGTGAAAAAGAAAAATGGAGACCCGAGGGAATTAGGGGGGACTAAAGGAGGTTCACTAGTTGACCATTTCACCCTCCGAGTAAAGTCTTCTGGCCCAAATACGGAGACTACAATGAACTACCCATGGAAATAGTTGTGCTGCTTAAGATCTGTCTGCTGCACTTGTCCCCTTAGAGTTAGCTAGTTTGGGGGGGGGCTCGTAACTGATACCAGGTAGTCTCCCCTTCGTTGTGATTGCAAATTACTCTCCGATACCACCGCTGGAACTCGAACTGTGGCCGCAGGTTGGCGGGTATTTAGCTAGTAGTTGATCTAGTATTCACCGCGTGGACGGTCTCACACCGTACATCCCCAATACCATTTACTTACAGGAGCTACTAGGGGTCGGCGGTAAGCGGTAACAACCACCCCCCAGCCAAACCCAGTAATTTTCAACCCTCCCCCGTGCCGACCCATACCTGACTATCCCGATCGAGTCAAGGGCCCACTGAGTAAAGGTAAAGTAAGTATTCCCACCCGTCGGTACAAACAACATTCGATCACGGACGGCTTCCTCTTCTTCGCCTTTGCTCTTCTGCGCTGTTGCTTGCATCTGTCTCTGTCTTCATCTTTGGCTTGGGTTCCCTCGGTTGCTGCTTGTGTTCTGCATTCGTTCTATTCTGTTTGGCAGTTCTTCCCCCCCATCTTCTGTCGCTATCTCCTCTAGTCCTTCGCTTTCTCGAACCCTGCCTGATCAAGCACCTTAATCTTAATTGATCGATTCCTCAAACATTCGCTACTGGATTCCCGTCCCTGACACTCGCTCAGAAGACATTCACCTGATCCAGACTGACCATTCCAGAGACCATCTTGGGCGCAATCTGCAGCATTAGCACAATTAAACACGGTTGAAATTTTCATTTAGCGTGCTTCATTCACAGATGCTCATGGCTTGATTGCCCGCCAAACGACGAGTCAGCCAACAAGACTCATGCTATAGTCAGCCACTCCGTCTACAGATTTATTTGACGCTGGATCTGGCTACTCGGGGCGAATCTCCTTCTCTCACCACGATCCTGACTTGGCTGTTGTTTGCTGTGGTACATAGGAACAGCAATCATGTCCACTCGCTTTTCCGTCTACTCGAGCCATTCGGCGGGTATGTCGACGGCGCGGCCAGGCGCTCACTCCCCGAGCCCGGTGACGACCAACACCCTGCTGAATGCGCTACATGCCTACTATAACTCGGCCCAGCCTTATCAACTCGATGCGGCAACAAGCTTGGTGGTGAACACCTGGGTCACCGCCACGCGGGCCACCTCGAACGGCCCGGATGGAGGCACAATCGACCGGGAGCTCGCCCTTCGCGCGTGGGAGCATGCGCGACGACGAGCGGAGGATGGCTGTATCGTGCTATGGTATGCCAGAACCTGCCACGAAGAACGTTGCCATTATTGTGCTAACCTGCTACAGCTCCGCACATCAGTCGACTCCGTCCATTCTGGAGCCATTCTTGGCAGCCCTGCCGCTTTCGACCCCAAGCATCACCTTCACCGCGCTCACAGCTCTTCGACCCTTCGTCTCCGCTGTCACATCATTTAATCCCTCCTATTCGCTCTACTCCGCTCTTGCGGCCCGCTACTCCTTCAACCTGAAAGGGGATATTGTAGGACTGACGTTGTCGCTGTCGACCTCCGGGATCAATGTACGCAAGGGCCTGCTGGAGATTGCTCCGGAGCCCGGTTTTCGTGCATTTGACGTCTTCTACTACCTCCTAGCCTCCGTATCGACTCCCGCCGAGCGCGAGTTCCTGAATCTGAAGGATGTATCGGAGTACTCTCTGCTGAAAAAGTCCGGAACCTATACGCCCCCATCTTACCTCCCAACAGCGGACGATGCGGCCGCCGCGGAAGACTTCCGGGCCGCGCTCAAGGCCATCGGCATCAAGGGAGCTTCCTTGCGTGGCTTGCTGGCCACCCTGGCGGGGTTGCTGAGGTTGGGCGACGCAGCAGGATTGCTAGTCGATCAGGAGGACTTGGAGGAAGCATGTGAGGAAGTTGGCGGTCTGCTAGGAATCGACCCCGAAGTGCTGGCTCACAAGTGCTCGACCGATGAGCGGGAGGTGCTCATGGCCGGGATCTACGAGGCCCTCGTTGACTGGGTGATCAGCAAAGCGAACGACGCCATCTCAAGCGAGCTTCAAGCGATGCTGGAAAGTAGCCCCAGCGTGAGTGGTGGCTCGGGCCCTGGAGGCCAGTGGACCGACGACGACACCGTTGCCATCACCGTGGTGGATGTCCCTCGCCCTGCCCTCGGAAAAGCATTGGCAATGCGAGAAGTCTTCGACGATAGCATTGGGATCAATGCGGAAATGAAGGAAGATGGCGTCAACGTCCCTCCCATTGGCCATGCACTTTCGAACGAGGTCCACACGGCAGTCGCACAGGTCGAGCCCGATCTTGGCATCACCACCGGGAATGCCTGGCGCGAACGGGAACACGAGGTCGCGCGGCGACAGGAAGTACTCGAGAAGGTTGGTTTTGAAGTGGACGCGGACTCCTTCCTCCGACGCCTTCTGCTTCCTGTCGAAACCGAAGGCATCACGCTGGGCCAAAAGGGCCGCTTCGACCTGATGACCACCCTGGGCAGCAGCCGGGTGTGGCATCACATCTCCTTGCATCCTACGGACGAGCTTCCCGCGAGTCTCAACCCTACCCTCCCAGCGGTCGGCTGGTCGGCGGCGGCGATTTCGCGTCAGTTGCGCGAATGGCGACTTGCTGAGTGGGCGAATAGGCGTCTGAAGCAGCTCGACTTCACCGCGGACTTTGACGTGGATGAGTTTGTGAGCCGCTATCACCGGCTGGGCTGCGCGGACGGCAGAGATGGGGTGGAGAGCTGGTTGGTGGAAAGAGGTTGGACCAATGGCGACTCATTCGTCGGTCACCAGCGGATCTGGATGCGCGAGAACGCTTGGTGGGAGGCTGAAACGATGCTCGATCTCAAACCTGACGAGTCGCCGCCAGTCAACCCCTTTATCTACGACAGCACCATGCTCGACCCGCATTACGCTGGAACCCCCGTGGCAGAGTCGACCAGTCTCCTGGGCAGCCGCGACAACCTGCTGCAGAGACAAAGCACACTCGTGCCCAGTGTGCATGGCGGCATCGCCAAGTCCACTGCCCCTAGCGTTCCCCATACTCTCCACATGAGTGGCGGCGACTACGGCCTAGGCAACAAAGGTGACACGAGAAAATGGGACGAGGATTATGCCCGCTACGAAGGGGAGCTTGATCCGGAATTCGGAGATGGCAAGCACCTCGAGAAGAAGCAGATCACCAAGGTGCGACGAGCTTGGGTTGCCTTCGTGTGGGCGTTGACCTTCTGGATTCCCTCCCCTGCCCTCCGCTGGTTGGGTCGCATGAAGCGTCCCGATGTCCGCATGGCCTGGCGAGAGAAGTTCGTGCTGGTCTTCCTCATTCTGCTCTTCAACGGCATTGTCTGTTTCTATATCATCGCTTTCGGCGATCTCTTGTGCCCCAACAAGGATAAGGTGTGGAACGAGCAAGAGCTCAGCTGGCACGTAGGCAGCGACGACTTCTACGTCAGTGTCCATGGCAACGTCTATGATATCAGCAAGTTCTGGAAGACCCAGCACAGTGATAACGGGATTGACACGACCACGACCAACATGAAGCCGTTCGCCGGAGAGATTCTGGATCCTTACTTCCCTCCCCCACTGACTCGATTCTGCAGTCACTACGTGACCAGTCAAACCATCCAGATGGAATACAACGACACGAGCGCGCTCGAGTACTCGGATGCGGAACACAACTGCGGGTCATACGAAACCCCGAGCACGACCACCAAGCTGCACAACATCACGTGGTACGAAGACATCTTCCTGCCCAAGATGAAGGGTTACTATAAGGGACCCCTGGTGTGGACGAGAGAGAAGGTCAAGAAAGAAGCTGAATCCAGTTCACGATACTGGGTCATTGTCCATGAGAAGATCTATGACCTCACGGATTATTTCTATACGGCGGATTTGTTCGATGACACCGACGGCTATGACTATCTGCCTGATACTGTGACCACACTCTTTAAGGATTATGCTGGTGAAGATGTCACGTCCAAGTGGGGAAACTCCACCGAGTTCCAGAATGTCCAGACCTGTATGGACTACGTCTTCTACAAGGGCAAAGTCGATTTCCGCACCAGCCCGAGATGTACGGTCAACAACTGGATCTTGCTGGCGTTTACAGTCATGATCTGTGCCGTGATTATTGTCAAGTTCCTTGCCGCCCTGCAGTTCGGGACCAAGCGGCGACCGGCTCCACAAGACAAGTTTGTTATCTGCCTGGTCCCTGCCTATACCGAAGGTGAAGATGCGTTGCGGCAAGGGCTGGATTCCCTTACTGCTCTGGAATACGATAACAAACGCAAGCTGATCTTCGTGATTTGTGACGGTATGATTGTCGGTGGTGGCAATGACCGACCGACGCCCAAGATTGTTCTGGATATTCTGGGAGTGGATCCCAAGATCGACCCGCCTGCTTTGCCTTGCAAGTCGATTGGACAGGGCAGCGAACAGCTGAACTACGGCAAGGTGTACTCGGGGTTGTACGAATATGAGGGCAATGTGGTTCCGTACATTGTGGTGGTGAAGGTGGGCAAGGAGTCGGAACAGAGCAAGCCCAAGCCTGGAAACCGTGGCAAGCGTGACTCGCAGATCCTTTTGATGCAGTTCCTGAACCGCGTGCACCACCGATCCCCTATGTCGCCGCTCGAGCTGGAGATCTTCCATCAAATCAACAACGTGATTGGCGTGGACCCGGAGCTCTATGAATACTGTCTGATGGTGGATGCCGATACTAGTGTCCGGGAAGATTCGTTGAATCGGCTGGTGGCGGCCTGTGCCAACGATGCGCGGATTGCCGGTATCTGTGGCGAGACCAGTCTGCAGAACGAGGAGCGGAGTTGGTGGACGATGATCCAGGTCTACGAGTACTACATTTCACACCACTTGGCCAAGGCGTTTGAGTCGCTGTTCGGCACGGTGACGTGTCTTCCGGGCTGGTAGGTGATTTGGGTTCCGACGTGAAGGAAAATGTACACTGACCCGTCTTAGTTTCTGCATGTATCGCTTGCGCACCGCCGACAAGGGTCGCCCACTGATCATTGCCGATCAGGTCATTGCCGAATATGCCGATCCCGAGGTGGACACCTTGCACAAGAAGAACCTTCTGTCTCTGGGAGAGGATCGTTTTTTGACGACTTTGATGACGAAGCACTTTCCTCACATGTCCTACAAGTTCATCCCGGATGCCTATGCTAGTACCGCGGCGCCCGAGACATGGTCCGTTCTTCTTTCGCAGCGACGTCGATGGATCAACTCCACCATTCACAATCTGGTTGAGGTGGCGGCTTTGAAGGACATGTGCGGCTTCTGTTTGTTCAGTATGCGGTTTGTGGTCTTGGTGGATCTGGTTGGCACCCTGATTCTTCCGGCCACGTGTGTCTACCTGGGATACCTCTTGTATCTGGTCGGCAGTGGCACGGGTCAATTCCCGATCATCTCGATCATCATCCTGGCCGGTGTGTACGGTCTGCAGGCGATTATCTTCCTGCTCAAGCGGCAGTGGCAGCACATCGGATGGATGATTATCTACCTCTGTGCCTATCCGATCTACAACTTTGTTCTGCCGCTGTACTCGTTCTGGAAGCAGGATGATTTCAGTTGGGGTAACACGCGTATCGTCATTGGCGAGAAGGGCGACAAGAAGGTGGTTGCGGTGGCGGACGAGAAGTTCGACCCGCGCAGTATCCCGCTGCAGCGCTGGGATGACTATTGCCTGGCCAACAACCTGCCGGGCCGCCGCGGCGACTTGGGCCTGAGTCAGGAGAAGCTGTACTCTGGGCGCTTCGGGGACGAGATGGCGATGGAGATGGACGACATGCATTCGCAGTACTCGTCGATCAAGCCGGCGTCGACGATCCTGACGGGCTTTCCGCCGCACGGGCGCCACAGCAGCCCGTACATGCCGCCGCAGTCGCCTGCGCCCTTCCTCCATACGCCGGGCAACCGTCAGTCGCATCTGTCGAGCTTTACGAGATACACGGACCACCCGCACCAGAGCAGCCACAACGTGTCGCGGCAGATGTCGATGGGCAACATGAGCCAGTTCCAGGAGAGTGGGCTGACCCACCGGCACAGCGTGGGGCTGATGCAGAGCACGGACAATCTGCTGGGGGGGCGGCCGAACTCGCGCAGTCCGGTTGGGTATCCGTCTCGGCCGGTGAGTGCGTTCGACTTCCGCGGGGGGAGCGGGCCGGATGAGGCGTCGATCACGGAGGCCATCCGGAGTTGTTTGGCGGAGGTGGATCTGGACACGGTGACGAAGAAGCAGGGTGAGTTTTTTAAATCTGGTGAATGGAGAGGTGAACAGCTGCTGACGGTTGACTTTTTAGTGCGCGCGTTGGTCGAGCAACGACTGCAGACGACGTTACTGGGCGACAAACGAAGTTTCTTGGACAAGCAGATTGATCACGAATTGGCCAATATGTAGTGTCTTATTATTGTACTAATCTTTTATACATATGTAGTGTGTGGGCATTCCGGTGGTCTTGTTTGGGTTTATTTAGCGAGATTTATTTCAATCATTTCCTCGGGTTGAGCTGCAGAAGTTGCTTTGTAGTACTACAGTATTAGAAGCAGACTGCCGGGGTAGCTCTGTGCGTCTGCATTTTCTGACTGGTGGTAGTCGGTAGTATACTGCGAGAGAATAGACTGGTTGCAAGATAGATCTTCATGCAGCACAACTACTACTTGGTGGCTTGACAGGGATCGTCCGACTGCCACATAAAATACCCCGCCATCACAATTAACCATCGCTTCACAACTACGTTACAATCTCACACTTGGCACCAACCCCAACCCAACTACTAAACTAGAATTTCAACTCAACCCAGCAGCAGCATTTGAAACTATGTCCCTCCCCGAACCCCTTGACCAAGATCATCCACCCTTACCCTCCTCCTACACCACCACCATCACCACCACCACCACCACCCCTCCTCATCCTCCCTCTCAATCTACTCATCCTCCGCAAGAACCCCCCGCCTCCCCCGCCACCAAACCCTCCCTCGAAGCCCAAACCGCATTCACCGCCACCCTCCGCAGCGTCGGCCAAAACTACGAAACCCAGTTGCGCGAGCGCGCCCGCACCCTCCACGACAACGCCGCGGTGCTCGACCAGCAACAGACGAATCTGCAGCAGGCGACGGCGGCGCTGGCGAAACAGAACGTGCAGCTGGGCCGGGTGGCGGATTCGGCGCGCTCGGCGCTCAAGGAGATCGGGGATGTGCAGAATTGGGCGGAGGTGATTGAGCAGGAGATTTTGGTGTTGGAGGAGACGTTGCGGTTGGTTGAGATGGGGGATGGGGAGGATCACGTTGATCATAGTAAGGTGGATGGGGAAGAACATGGGACTGGGGATGGGAATGGAAAGGTAGTTAGGGAGGAGGTTGCTAGGGACTCCTCGGATGGTAATGAGATTCGTGAGGATGAAGTGCCGGTCAGACGTGGAGGGTGGTTTCGATGGTGGTGAGATTAACTTATGTTGTTAATATTCCTCAACTTGATGTTTACTCCGTATTGATTCTATGGTTCTATATATATGGTTGCATAGAACTTGGACGCGCCCGCCCCGCTTCTTACTACACCACCACTAGTAAGTAGTTATCTTGTATCATCAAGTTCAACTTATCAATTGCTATTGCTACACGGGCAGTATTATCCCCAACATACGTAGTCAATTAAACCACTGCTCACTCCAACCTCCCCAAGGACACACTAAGATCTATCTAGTAGTGCCTCCGAGGAATCCTTCCCTCGGAAGTATCGCCTTAACTCCAAACTCCGCTCACCATACCAAGTATATAGTCATATACTCGACCTCCCCAACACCATCCACCCCTCTTTAATCCTCATCATGCCAACCTACCTCATCACCGGCGCCTCAACCGGCCTAGGCGCCGCCCTCGCCCACGCCGCCCTGGCAGCCGGCCACACCGTCCTCGCCACAGCCCGCAACCCAGCCCGCGCTGCAGAAGCCCAGCCAACCCTCACCTCCTCCCCATCCCTCACCTGGCTTCCCCTCGACGTCTCCACCGCCGACGCAACCGCCACCCTCGCCGCCGCGCTCGCCGCCCACCCGCCCGTCGACGTCGTCATCAACAACGCCGGCTACGCCCTCCTGGGCAGCATCGAGGACATGAGCCTCGAGGAGGTGCACGCGCAGTTCGCGACCAATGTGTACGGGGTGATCAGCGTGCTAAAGGCTGTACTGCCCCCCATGCGGGCGAGGCGGACGGGGACGGTGGTGAATATCTCGAGTAGTGCCGGGGTAGACGGGTTGGCGGCTTGTGGGGTTTATGCGGGGACGAAATTCGCGTTAGAGGGTGAGTGGTTTTCCTGCCTTGGAGGAGATTGCGTTAGGTGCTTTGATTCGATTGCTTTGGTTGAGGTTTGGGTTTATTGTTGAACGCAATCTGATGTGACAAACTGGGTGGGATAGGAATGTCGGAAGCTCTATCGCGTGAACTCGCCCCGTTCAACATCCGCGTCCTGCTCGTTGAGCCCGGCACTCTCCGCACGAGCTTCTGGTCAGCCTATACCGAGCCGGCGGCGGGGATGGATCCCGGCTACAAAGACACGCCTCTGGAGACGCTCCTGACGAAGTTCAAGGCGAATCGGGAGAGCGGCGCCGCAGGGTCGGACCCCGACAAGGCGGCGCAGCGGATTGTCGAGCTCGTGGATGGCACGGGATTCGGGCAGGGGAAGCAGGGGTGGCTCCGGGTGCCCCTGGGGGAGGATTGTTTCCATCGGTTCCAGGCGAAAATAGATCTCCTCCAGAAGAACCTGGAGGAGATGAGGGAGGTGGCGCTTTCGGTGGGGGTGGAGAAGTGAAGTTCGTGAGTCCAATTTTGGTTTTAACTTAGCATAGCAAAAAGGTTGGGTTGTAGACCAGTCTCTATCCAAGTGTCAATGCCAAATGCCAGGACCAAGTGTCAATCATTCATCCATCTCCTCGAAAAACCCCCTCCACATATCCAACTGGTTGCGCTCCTCCTCGTCATCCCACTCATCCCACTCATCCCACTCCCCCAGACTCATCAGATGCCGCATCGTCGGCCGTCCGTGCGGACAGTTCCACGGCTTGTCGATGGTCCCCATATTGCGCACCACCCTCTCCATCTGCCGCGTCGTCAGGTTCTTCCCGATCATGATGCTCGACCGACACGCCCGCATGGCGAACATCGTGCGCACCTTGGTCGGCCGCGGAACGTCTTCCCCCCCGGCGTGACTCGGCATCTCCGAGAGCAGCACGATCAGCTCCTCCAAATCGCGCTCCCCAAAGACCACCTCTCTGCTCAGCGGCAACGAGACCAGCCTGCAGCGGCGGCCGATCGGCTCGTCCCCGCTGTCGTCCACCTCCACCACGAACCCGTTTTTCTCCAGCGCGGCCTGGTTCTCGATCACAATCTCCTCCTCGACGGCCGTCAGATCCAGCTGCTTGGGCCGCACCAGCCGCTGGTTCTGCACGACAGTGTCGGCCTGCAGGCGCTCAAAGTTGTACTTCTCGTCCGAGGCGTGCTGGTCGATGATGAACAGTTCGTCTTTGGTCGTGCGGGAACCGGGATCGTGATGCGTGCGCGTCGCCAGGATGAAGCCCAGGTTGAACTGTCCGATGATCCGCATCTGCGCAAAGTCGTCCTTGCTGACCGTTAATGACAGGCGTTCTTCTGCGGTCGGGGAGGATGTTGTCTTCTCGGGCCGGTGTTCAACCGACTTCATGCCCACGCGCCGGCAGGTCTCGATCTGTCTGAACCGAGCCTGGAGCTGGGCTACGGAGCCGTCGACATGGGTCACGAGGTTGACGGTGGAGTCGCGGTGCGCGGCGCCCTTGTTCATCTTGTTGGCACGCTGCTCGCTGTTGTGCGGGAGAGCCGCCTTTTCTTCGGCTTGTCGTATCAATCGCTGCACCTCGGCCTCCTCGTGTTGCTTCTTTTCCGCCTCCGTCATGTCTTCTGCGGCTGGTGTGGCGGGCTCCGCTGCCTCGTCCGCCTCAGGTCCAGTTTCATAGTCAGAGTCGCCAGGGTGAGAAGCAGGCTCTTCCATTTTCTCGGCATCCCCCTCGTCCACTCGCGGAGCTTCCATCGCGTCCTGCTCAGCCTCAGAATCATCCTCGATCTCTGCATTCTCAGAATCATCCTCGATCTCTGCATTCTCAGAGTCATCCTCGATCTCTTCACTCACCCCCTCCGCCTCACTCTCATCCGCCAACTGAGACCCCGGAGCAGCAAAGTCCCGCATATGCTTCCCGAAAATGCTCGGCCGGGACGGCGTGTGAATCCGTCTCTTTCGGGTCCCGCTCGACCCAGTGGCCTCGCTGAATCGCTTCTTCGCCCCGCTCCCTATCACGGACGTGACCGTGCGGTTGTTGATCGTGATCGTCGCAATCTCCGCCGGCATGCGTCTGGGCCGCATCCGGTCGAACGCGTTCTGCACCACGCTCGGTGTTTCTGGAGATGCCATGGCGTCCTGGGTGGAAGGGATCGGGGCGTCAGCCTGGATGTCTTGCGTAGATGGTTCATCTGCGGCGGCCCGCTCGCGAGTCTCGGGCGGACTGTCTTGAGGTACGAAGAGTTCGTTGTCTTCTGAGGGCAAGGGAGACTGCGTCTGCGGTGCAGTGTCTTGCGTGGAGCCATCAACCGACTCTTCGACGCGAGTCTCTGCAGCCCCCAGTCCACTTAAGAAGCTTTTCATGCGGTCTTGAGCGGTGGCAGTCGTCTCCGTAGCGTGCACCTGGCCGTCTTTCTCCTGTTCACCATCCCCCTGACCATCCCGACTATCCCGCGTATCCCCCCTCTGCAACCGCAGCTGCCGTCCCCCTGCCACCCCCATTGGCACCCTCTGCTCCGCCGCCTCAAACAACTCGCCCAACGCCTCCTTCAACCTCTCAATCAGCATCCCCGCCTCATGCAGCAGCACCGTCCTCTTGTCCGGCGACACATTCACATCATACGCCCCCGTATCCATCTCCAAGTCCGCAAACACAAAGGGCGACTGCGCGACATTGTAGGCGCGATACACCTCATTGAACGCCTTGGCGATCTGCGGCAGCGCGCACGGCCGCGCATTCACAAAGAACATCTGCCGATCCGGCGTTTGTCGTCCCTCGCCGACCACCGGCCTCGACACATGTCCGCGCACTTTGATCTCCATTTTGGTTGTGTCGGTCCCGAGCTCCAGCGCCAGGTCCAGCGGGATCAACGCTCCCAGCGTCTTTGCCCCGTAAACATTCGCGATGTTCTCTCGGGTGGTTGCGTTGCCGCGCGTGCTGAAGACGACCACGTTGCGCCCTCCGCTGCCAGCAGAGGAGGCGGAGGAGGCGGGGTGGTTGGTGATGATATTGCGCACGCAGAACCGCACGCGCGTACTGATGCACGCGTACGCATGCAGCAGACCCACCACCTTCCCGTACTCCCGTTTGATGTTCTTCTCCAGTTCGCGGCGGCGCACCGGTAAGCCCCGGAAGATGTGTGCCACCGACGCAGTCGTCCCCTTTGTGCCGGCCACCATCTGCGTGCGGCGCAGGCGGCCGCTCGGTTCGAACTCCAGGCGGGTGGCTCTCGGGGCTTGGTGCGCTTGCGCCGTGACGACGTGGAAGCTGGAGAGCGCGCACAGGGAGGAGAGCGCCTCGCCGCGGAAGCCGAAGGTGTGGAGGGTGGTGAGATCGGTGAAGGTGGTGAGTTTGGAGGTGTGGTGTTTTAATGCTGTCCCCCAACAAGCACACATATCGATTAGTAAACATGTAATGTTCATGATTGAGGGTTTGTATCCTGGTGGGTTCGAGCTGGGCTGGGCTGGGCTGGGCTGGGGGACATACCCAAACTCTCATAGTTCTCCGGCGCAATCCCGCTACCGTTGTCCTGCACCTCGATTAGATCGAGTCCATTGTTTTTGAAACGGACTTCTGTATCCACCCAGAAAATAAATCAGTTATTGGCCTTAGGATTGGCTTGGTTTGATAACTGCCAGACAAGAGATAAACGTACCGATCGAGGTGGCGCCCGCATCGAGACTGTTTTCAACCAGCTCCTTGGCGACGGAGCAGAGGTCGGTGATCACCTGGCCGGATTGGATTTGGTGGACCTAATCGTTGTCACGGAATTAGTGATGGCTGAGATACCCCCCAAAAGAAAGGACGTACTGAGCGGGCCTCGATGGCCTTGATGGTCGCCATCTTCATGCCATGGTTGTTTTGGAGCCGAACACAGGCGGAGTGTCAACGCGGGAGATGCGCGTCGGCCACTTTACGCGAGGTGGGCCGCCGATAACTAATCAGCGGGCCTCCCCGCTGCAGTGGGTTCCGAGTTATACCGCGATAAATGAAATGGTACGTACTACAAAATACCTCGCATGGTGAACCAACATCACATACGGTCTACAACAGGCAGTGTACCCATAGTAACTCATATAATCGTGTCAAGCTATATACACCGGCAAACGAACGACGAATCGCTAAGCAACACCCAAAAGAAGATACGGCTTGAGGGGCTAGACTACTCCCCCCTAGTAGGTATCGAAGCGGTCGGGAAGAACCACCGGGGCAATCAGGGTCCAGAGGTAAATCGCGTAACACACCCAGGCGCTGATGATCTTCACCCAACTGGCCCAGTAGGTCCGGCCCACCGGCGCAAAGTCGTCCGCCGCCTCCGGGTCCAGGTTCTGCGTGAGCAACGTGGCCACCCAGGTGGTCGCGAGGAAGAAGATAATGTGGAACAACGAGTAGTTGTACTGGGTGGAGCCTTTCTCATCATCCTTGGTGTCGTACTCGTCCTCGTCGTCGCTCTCGTCGAGGGCACTGGCGGGCAAGCTCCCACTGGCCACCGCCGCACGGAGCACCTCGGCCCGCATCTCACGTCGGCTGCTGGGCTGTTGGGTCACGAGACCATGCTCGTTGTCATCTGACTGCAGCTGCGAGTAGCTGTGGCCGCCCTTGGAGCCCAGCGCGATGCCCTGGGTGGCCGCCCGGGTGGTCGTGTACGCGATCGTGGCCATCGTGACAATCGCTCCCAACACAATGCTGGCCGTTCGCGTGCCCCGCGCACGAATCAAGGGGTTGCAGTGCCTGTCATCCGGCTCCATGGACACCGCTGACATGGTCAGGTAGGTGCAGTAGACCGTCACCATCGCGGCTTGGGCCAGCCCCGCGCGGGGGTTGGACTCCTGCACCATGGGCTGTACCGAGATGACCGAGATAATCAGGAAGATTACGAGATTGATCTAGAATTCCAAGTGAGCACGAAGGGACACCCCCATGGAATGCGAAAGGTGTATGTTACTTACAGTGATCGCGGCCTGGTTCATCGAGCACCCGCTGTGGGCGAAGAAGACATACATCAAGATCGTCATGGCCAAAGACGCCAGGTACATGCCCACGGTCGAGCCAATGAGCAGCCCGCGCCAAGTCCGCGAATCCTGGTCTTCGATCTTCTGCAGGCAGAGTTCAGCCCACGAGTGGGCCAAGTCCACGAGGAGGATCAGCCCGAGCAGCAGGAACAGCATGGCGCAGAAGAAGGCGATGTAATGTCCATAGACGAAAAAGAACGATTCCGGAATGAAGAATGACGTGACCACGAGCGCGAACCACAGGATGATCTTCGGACCCCAGAAACCATTCTGCAGGACTGCGCGGCCGTCTTTGGAGGATTGCACCCCCAGCAGTGCGAGAGCGAGGATCAAATGGAACAGACCCAGACCGAAGTTGATCCGATGCACCGCAACCCAGCCGTGACAGTCCTTGCCATCACATCGAATTTCCATGTAGTCCAGAGTCATGTGCTGAAGTTTCTTGAGCGCCCAGGGGGTGAGCATAATCCAGGAGACGATGGAGTTGAAGAGGAGGATGAAAGCGTAGGCGATTCTCGTCGCCATGCTGTGCACCTGTCAGTGACCGGCCGAGGGTGTTGCGGAGTCATCCGTCTCACCTATTCTGAAACTTTCCACAAGCGCTACATACTGCGGAGCAAGTGGCAGCACCGCAACAAGAGGTTGCGAGGGTGATGAGCTGGATCGCCATTAGTGGGCAGACAGGCGATGAGGATGGGTGATTACGTACCGTGCTGGCGCTCGGGATTGCCAACAAGGGCAGAGACAGAAGGGCCCCCATGATGTCGACCCTCAATGCCTCTGGAAGGAACTTAGGGGTGGAGAAGGGGTTGATATGAATAGTGTTGGAGAGTAAGAGTGAAGAGTATTGTATAAAGACCAGTGATCAGACTGCAGATCAAGCAACTGCAAGGCAGGCAGCAATGCAGTTGGTGAGTTTATCCAACTGCATCTCGCCCTGTCGTCATGTGAGGCACACCGCCGGCATCGGAGTTACTGCCTGCAAGCGGTCAGGCCCCCTTTTTTTGCCTTATCGGCGATAATCAGCGACTGGTCCTTGACACTTTGGCTGCAACTGCGGAGTCCCGTCAAATCCACTCGATTACGAGTCCCTCTTCCCCCCCCCCGTTAGAGGGGAAAAAAAAAAGAAAGGTTGGAGAAGACACTTGGAGCAAACGAAAATCTACTCCGTACTCCGTATTCTCCCTCTCTCTCTCCTGCTCTGCTCGATCTTTGCTGTTCTTTTCCCCTCGTGTGCTTTTTACTCTTCCGACTCTCATTCACTCCTTATCAGTCCTCTCCTATCATTTTACCCCATTTCCCTCAGATTGGGTACACTCACTACTACACATTCGTTTGCCTCAATTGGCGCTATCATATGTCATATACTAACTAGCTGATCTATCGGAAAATACTACTAAGACAGACACAGACTACTAGCCCCCCCCGTCTTCCTTGCCGTCGGTCTTCGTCTTGCGGTTATCGTGACGTGATAACGTTTCTCCTCTGCACCATCCGTGGAACAACTCGGAGTCCCAATCTACAAATAATCAAATCACTGGCTGTTCTGCAACTCCTCCTTCCCCACCTTTCTAAAGAGTCTTTGCATGTGAAGCTCGACTGGGCGTTCTGGCGCAGAAAGGCACTCCAAACCACCGCAACATGGCGCTTTCATCCCATCAGACAAAGCGATTTATCTCCGTGATAGCCGCAACTGTGGTTGCGCTCGCCTGTGGAACGAATGTATGGTATCCCTTCGCCAGTGGTTGCTATCTCAATCCGGTTTCTGATTAGATCAGTATGCATACTCCGCCTGGGCGCCGCAGTTCGCCCAACAGATGAAGATTTCGGCCACCCAGAGCAACTTCATCGTAAGAACATCCTTTCAGCTATGTTGACGGAGACTCACCATTGTCAGGGTGCGGCGGGAAATCTGGGCATGTATGCGTCGGGCATCCCACTGGGTCTATTGACGGATGCTCGAGGTCCTCGTCTGACCACCTTCCTGGGAGCTATCTCCCTTGGCGTGGGCTATTATCCCATCCATCTGGGTACGCGCTGGTCCGTCGGCTTGGTGAAGATCTCCCGCTAACGTACCGGATGCGTGCAGCATACGAGGGCGGGCCAGGCTCTCTCGGCACCTTTTTCTTGTCGTTCTTCAGCTTCCTGACGGGCTTCGGCAGTGCCTCCGCATTTTCAGCATCCATCAAAACTTGTGCGTTCACTTGAGATTGTGTCGGAATCTGTGCTAAAGACAATGGATGGCAGCGGCGTCGAACTTCCCCGAGCACCGTGGAACGGCTACTGCATTTCCTCTGGCCGCCTTCGGCCTGAGCGCCTTCTTCTGGTCGACGATATCCACCGTCTTGTTCAAAGATGATACCGGTCGCTTCCTCCTATTACTGGCGCTGGGAACGTGTATCCTGAACCTGGTTTCTATCCCGTTCCTTCGCATTTTGTCGCCCAGCGACCCATATTTGCCGCTCGGCAGAGACCGATCGCCGGGAGTCGAATCGCGTCGATTGCGCAAAACAAGGTCCACCGAGCTGCGATCGGGCGAAGACTCTGATGAAGCAGGTACGCAAAGATATGAAATCTCAACTCAACCCCCGGGCCATACTCGGTCGCAGTCGAACGCGTCGATCCCCACACTCCCCAGCCACAACCCCGATGTTAACGAGACCTCTTCCCTGGTACCCAAAGTCCCATTCAGAACCTCCCACGAATCCATCTCTGAGCACGCAGGGGAAGAAGTTGAAGATGATGCCATGTCTGATGTTGCTCCCGACTCACCTCATCCAGACGTCAGAGGCTTGGCGATGCTTTCGACGGTCGAGTTCTGGCAGCTCTTCCTGACAATGGCGCTTCTGTCGGGCATTGGCCTGATGACTATCAAGTAAGTATTCGTTGAATCGTTGACGGTGCATGCAGCTAACCTCGACCAGCAACATCGGAAACAGCGTAAGACTCTCTTGATGCCCGCTCCGGTTGGATGCTAATCTCCGCAGGCCAAGGCACTCTGGAAATACTACGACGACAGCGCGAGCCCGAAGTTCATCCAGCAGCGACAGGTCATGCATGTCTCGATCTTGTCATTCGGCAACTTCATCGGGCGTCTCTTGAGTGGTACGTGCTGAAACCCACCCTCCGTCTGCTTCCTGAACTCATGTCTTGTGTGACCTGCAGGGATCGGCTCCGATCTTCTAGTCAAAAAACTGAACATGTCTCGGTTCTGGTGCCTGTTCATGTCGGCTCTGGTCTTCACGATCACCCAGCTGGCTGGATCGTCAATCTCCAATCCTCACCAATTAGCCATCGTGTCGGGCTTCACGGGGATTGCCTACGGGTTTTTGTTCGGCGTGTTCCCCTCCCTGGTGGCCCACAATTTCGGCATCAACGGCCTTTCGCAGAACTGGGGCGTCATGACCCTGGCCCCGGTCTTCAGTGGGAATGTGTTCAACCTTCTGTACGGTCACACCTACGACCACCACTCCGTGGTAGGGCCGGATGGCGACCGGGAGTGTCCTGATGGACTGGCCTGCTACCAGGCAGCCTACTACACCACCTTTGTTTCTGGCGTGGCCGGACTGGTTGTGTGCTTGTGGACCATCCTGCGCGAAAAGCGCATCCATGGCGCTATGCAAAAGAAGTTCGAACATGAACGACTTGCTTAGCTGTCGTAGGAATGCCGGCTTCTTCAGAACCTCAGAGAACCAGTCTGCGAGTTCTGGCCTCTTGCGTATATGATACCCCGGCTTGTGATCCGGCTTTCGGGGAGAGATGCATACTTAGTATGTTTATCGAGAGAGGTTCGAGTCATTGTGAATGGGATGACCATAGACTTGAGTATAGAGCCATAGACTAAGCAAATATATTTGAGTGCTTGTATAACCTTCGAGGTGTCCACTTCTCCACGTATACAGAAAAGAGATGATTTGCTACGTGCGAGGCCTAGTTCCACCGTCTCGGTCACCCTGGAGTATCCCGGGGGAGAACCCCCGGACCCCCCTTTCTTTCAGCTTCCTGGCTAGACGTAGTCCTATATCCCAGTTCATAAGGCGTCCCGGGGGAGAACCCCCGGACCACCATTTCCAACCAGGCATGCTACGATATGTGCTTCGCTCCAAACTCGACTCCCTCCTAAGAACCCCAAAGACAATGAATGGCATGATTCATAAAAGCAAGCATAGGTCCTCTCCTACCCCTTTCAGTAATTAAGAAATAACTCAATCCCAACCCCAACCCCCAAACCATAAGTGGAAGTAATAGATAGAATCAAGAGACCACCCCCAGAACCCTCACAAAAACATTATTCTTCCCCGCCGCCGTCTGCCCGATGAAGTTATCCCGTGCCATCTCCACATTCGCGCGGCGCGTGTCGTGGAGGGCGAGCTCGTAGCGCCGGAACAGCGTGCCTAGCACGAGGTGCATCCAGGCGGAGTTCATACTATGAGCATGAGCATGAGCATGAGCACGAGTCACTAGCCCACAACTCAGATGGCATGCCAAGGAGGTGGACTCACTTCTGGCCCAGACACCCTAATGTCCCCTTGGAGGCAGGCACAAGATACCGCTGCAGGCGCTGCACGTCCGCGGGGTCGTCGAGTAGCCATCGTTCAGGGTGGAAGCGGGTCGGGGCGGGGAAGATGTGCGGGTCGCGGAGGATGAAGTAGGTGGACATGCTTACTGGAGTCTGGATTTGATTGTGAATTCATTAAGAAGTTCCATAATTTAATTATTGTGGGGGAGGGAGGGAGGTGGATTTTGTGGCGGTGGGGGTGGTTGGATTCAGAAAGCAGCAACGGGAAAGAAGGGGTTCAGAGAAACGTACTCCAGCTGGGATCTGCCACTGCTTGTAGTGTAGGGTCTCGTTTGGTGCGAGGCGCGGGAGGCGAGTAGTGACGAGGGAGGAGAGTCGGAGGCCTTCTTTGATTGTTGCGCTCTGAGGGGGTTCGGGGTATGAGTTTCTCGAAGTGTATGTTTCAGGTTCAGGTTTATATAACACCCCCCGGAGAGGGTATAGATCAAGTATGGTGAGAGTAAAGGATCAACCACATACAAGAAAAGGAAGTCGCTCCAACCTCTCCAACGCCGGCACGGTGCTCGCATCCGCAATATTGGCACAGAGCTCCGCTCTCAGCTTCCGGTGGACGGCCTCGTTATCCAGGATATGGAAGATGGTGATGGCGAGGGCTTGGGCAGGGGCATCCGTGCCGGCCATCATGAGGAAGATGGCGTCGTCCGCGAGACGGGACGGGGTCTTTTCGCTGGGGGGCACGGCGGGGTCTGCGAGGATGGATGGGTAGATGGCTTGTTGGTTGCTGTCTTGTGGATAAGAAGGAGAGGTGGTGCAGGGTGGTTGTTGGTGTTGGTGAATGGCGTGGCGGACGAAGCTTTTCACATCCTGATAGTTACTCAATTAACCCGTGAGACACACTCCCCCGCCATCTACGTGATACTCATACAAACTCTTGAGACAGAAAGACAAACTCAACGTACCTGCTCCATCCCCATGATATACCCAAACGGCGGACACAACTTCTCCGCCATCGCCGGCCACCTCCTCGCTAGAGACACTAGGAACGGCAGATGCCGATTCATGCGGCAAAACTCGAACATCCAGTTGATCCGCAACTTCCAAGTGGGCGCCAGTTCCGCATCCTCGAGGTAATGGAACCCCTGCTGGCGGCCGAAGCAGTACTGCGAGAGCGTATCCGCGGTGAAACACTGGAACGCCGTATGCAGCTCCAGACAGTCCGCACTGCCCACCACGGCCGCAAAATGCCGGAGCAGCAGCTCGATATTGGTGCGGAGGGCCGGCTCGATCTGCAGAATGGCGTGTTTCTTGAAGAACTGGCCCAGCACGCGGCGGCGGTCGCGGTGCAGCTCGTGGCCCTCGGTCGAGAAGAGCGACTGCGGGTAGGCGATGAAGCTGAAACCGGCTTCTTTGTCGCGGTGCGTGCCAGGGCCGGAGTACAGCGTGGCGTAGTAGTCGGGGTCGCGGATGTGGAGCTCGTTGGGCTTGACGCGCACGATGGGGCCGTACTGGTCGTGTAACTCGTTGATTTTCCAGGTGAAGATGCCGCCTTGGACGAGTTGATAGTACATCTCGTACAAGCCGGTGGCGGCGGCGAGACGCGGGCCTGGGAAGCGTGCTAGAGGGCTGAGGGTTAATCGGTAGATGATGAGTCCGGCTGTGAACAAGAGGCCCAGGAGGGTGAGATCGAGCACCAGCGTTGCTATCCTCATGAAATCCATCGTGCCGGGTCTTTTGACCTGTGCTTTGGTATACAGTAGTCAATGCGCTGCGTTTTTGCAGGAGCAACAAAGGCAAACGGGTCAGGGACGCACTGGAGAGGTATATCATCATCGGTCCATTTCATTGGCACACAAGGCACGCATCGCCAGCTTCTCAGCTGTACGAGCTGATCTTCTACCCGTGCCCCCGACCAATCGTTAATGATCCGTTACCCTCAAACCTTTGCACAAGTTGCAGTTGTGCGTGCTTGCTGGCTTGATGGGCGTTTTCCTATGAAGGCCATGATCATCCGCCAGGGTTGTACTTGGTGAATCCGCTCAGTGACACACCACTAGTACTTACCAATCATACATGCAGACATTCAAGGTTCGCAAGAAGCCAAGGATACCGCATAAGCACAGCCAATGAAGCATGAAGTAAGCAGTCGTCTGATTAAGAGGTCATAAGGTCGAAGATAAAGCACATTGTGATTGATTGCAGGGAATATAGATAAACGAATACTGAACATGAGACAGATCCCCTGCACAACCACAGGGTCAATCCTTTCTCTTTTTTTGTCATATCTCTCGCTTGTCCTGTTTGTGGTGTGCCGTCGGATTCCGTACCGCGTGCAATGTATGCTGTGGATCCCGACCAGCCGATCTTCCCCGTCCCATATCGGAATTAAGAATAAAACAGAGTGAATGTGTGCGGGGGTTTGGGGGATGGGCAAGAGAGTGTAAGAATAAGATCAATCCAAGGAGAAGGTACAATTAGTTAATCCGATATACAACCAGCCAATGACAAGACTCGTAAAGGGTATCAAAAAGACCAAGGAAGATCAGACCAGAGACCTCAGCAACGCGCGCAATGCACGTTGTGATCGACGGCGCGAAACGCTCGCGTCCAACAGACTGAACGCGGCCTTCCAGGGTTAGACGCTCTTGGGCGACTTGGTTGGGGACTCGGCGGGTTGTTCAACCACGTCCGACAATCGCATTCTCTTGGCTAGGGGCTCACCCGGACTGTCACTGTTCGCATTGGTGGGGGGAGTTTTGTCCACAAGCTGCCGCTCCAGGTCGGCAACGCGCTGTTTGAGATCGTCCTCACGCCGTTGAGCCTCCTCCAAGGACCGTCGCAGACGGACCTCCGAGTCACGAACAATCATCTCAGACCGGCGGGCGGTCGCATCGCTCCGCTCGAGTTCCGCGACGCGACCGCGGAAAAGTTCGTTGATGAACTCCAGCTCGCTTACGCGCGTCTTGAGGGATGTATTGGCCGCCAGGAGACCTTCATAGGTCTGGGGAGAATCGGGGTGACGGTCGCCCACCGCCGAGGTCGACGTCGGGGAAGGCTGGCGCACCTGAGCCGAGGGCATAGCATTTGGCGGATTCATGCCATGGTCACCGATGGTCACACTGTCGAACAAATGTTGTGGGGCGATATTGGAGTTGTGCAGCGATTGGGTGTGCGGTTGCTGCACTGGAGGCAGACCAGGGGTTTCCGTCCGCGGCACCGGCGAGTTGGATCGGTCGGAATGGCCTGGGGACGTCTTACGCGACGCGCGACGATTGCCATGCGACCCAAGCGGCGGAGTTCCTGCCTCGGATCGGGAGGCAGAGAGACCATTGGTATCGATAGCACCACCGGACTAATATACAAGAGGAGACATGGACCGTTAGCAACAGTGGGCCGAAAAAGAAGACGTCAGGGAAGAGAGAAAAATTTTCGAGTCGTGTACTCACCTTGCGCTTGGTGCCTTGACCAGCGGTCTTGACGCGGTTGCGACTTTTGATCACATCGGTCTTGAGGCTTATCGGACGAGGCCTCCCATGTAGTTTCAGAAAAAGACCACAGGCGTTGCAGAGCACGGAGCCGAGTTCGTCACGGCGCCAGAGGGGGGTGGTGGAGGTGCCGCAATTCTGGCACACAGGCTGTAATTGAGGACGTTTTTGATCAGCTAATGTGGTCGCCATGGTCTTTGAGGCAGCAAATGGGGCGGAAGAGCAGGGAAGAAGATGGGGAAGATGAGGAGACGGCGCTGATAGTGGATGGGAGGAGAAAGAGCGCTGGGTTGATAAGATCGGGAGAGATTTGATGGGCTGGAGCGATAAGGCACAGGTGGTGCGGCGCCAAGACCCCAGCGGCTGCTGATAACAGCAAGACGAGGGGATTCCGGATCAAAAGGGGAAAAATTCCTCCACCCCATTAATGCATGGAGAACTATTATGTCGTAGTACGTAGTGTGTAGATAAGGGGATTATTCTCCCCCACCCCCCGTTGTCATCGCGATAAGCCCACAAACTCCAGATTGACTTACAGGATTATTGCCTTGTCCTCCAGTGGTGGCCGCTGGGGATGATGTCGCGTAGGTCATATTAGCCATGCCGTGATTCGCATTGCTACTCGATGCTCTGGACACGTAAGATCCGTCAGCAAAGACCGTGCTCCAAGGCAATCAGGTCGACTCCCCCGGTCGAAATCACCCGACTCCGTCCTGGACCTGTTTACCACCTTATGGTTTCCCTCTGCTCCCTCGGCCAAAAGACGCTGCAAGAATACGTACCGCAAATTGGACGTGGGCGCCGATGCGACCGATGCCAGAGCAGACAATCCGGGTAAGGAGGGACCAAGCGAGCTGGGGAACGCACTGCCGTTGCTGTTGCTATTGCCGGGACTGTGGGTGAACTTGTCCAAAGGACTGAGTTCCGGAATGGCCCCGGAATACTGCGACGACGCGGATGAGACTCCAGTCACTGTATCGGTTGTAGATTGACGCGAGTCCAGCTGACTCTCTTCGGAGGACGAGCCCTGGGTGTAGGCGGGTTCGTGGGACTGAGGGTTCGACGGTGACGGAGGTCGGAGGGCTGGGTCGATGGGCGACGCCCGGAACAGGAGTGAAGCCACTGTGGAGGATGTCGTCGAGTATTGACTAGAAATCCGGCCTCAATTGACCGAACTGTGAAGAGGTCTACCCGTGTCGCGTCGTGACTTTGAGTAGTTGTATGGGTCGAGGGAGGGTTGGCGCTGCTGGAGGAGAGGACCAGCCACAAACAGGGAGGAATGATTCGGAATGTCTTCCTGCACCAGCAACATGCAAGTGTTCAGTAGACGAGCTGAAAAAAAAATATCCCGTCCGCGCTTGCTGAGGTCGATCGGTCGGCTGAATTGACCAAGGGTCTTCGAGCCGATATAGCAGATAAGGAGCGAACTAAATCAGCGAGGCTGTCCGTGAGATGAGACAACGAGACTCGACTCGAAGGACAACAATCGGAATGAGCGACAAGGAAGAGAGACACGCGCAACAGAGACCATCAATTGAACTGCCTGACAGGCGGATCAGATGATCATCCGGAGTTTAACGCGAAGAGGACTGGGGGGGTTGAAGAAGAAGCAGAAGAAGTAAAGGTGAGATTGGAGGAAGCGTGATGGGGGGTGGTCGGGGGTGGGAACGAGATTGATTGATTAACTTATCGCCTACAAACCAACTTAGGGAGACACTTATCGATTGTTGCCCTCTTACGGCGGCTGGGGGGCTGGACTGGACCCAATCTGGGCTCCTTTTATTTTATTCTTGTAAGTCAATTCGTGACTTTCAGATGCTTTCTAGTCGCTTTTCTTGTTTTTTAGTTAAGTAGCCGGTTGATGATGCCGTCATCAGATCAATAAATAAAAAAAAAAGAAGAGAAGTACACTACTGTACATCGAGTACATGCTAATAAGTACATGCTGTACTCGACACCTGCTGAACAATTGATTGTTTTCGTCTCGTGTCTTATCTTCCTACACGATTAACAATCAATGAACCACTTAACTAACTACTCCTCCGTACTTGGGACTGAGCCCGGAATGAGTCCTGGCAATGTTGTTGCCGTGCCCCTGCATACCCCTGTTCTCATCGCTATAATCTTCTTCTTAGGGGGTGATTGTACCAACTACGGAGTACTTACCAAGCGAGTCCAACCCTAAGATCGATCGCTTCTTGGGTTTGGGGCTCGAAGTGAAACCGGTTTCCCGCACGGGATCCAAACAGTCGAATTGGCCACGATGACCAACTTAACGAAGTACTGTCTATATGCATGAATTGATACTCAGTAACAAGACTGAGACTCGAGACTGGGGCTGATTGCCCAGGCTCTCTCCTGCGCTCTATTACTCGAGAATCTCCAACTACTGAATAGTAGTAGGCAATATCCCACCATACTGACCACTTGCACACGACGGTTCTTCGCAGTAATCATAACCCACCACCGTTCTGGGTCTTCAAAGCTCTGGTTCACTCTTCCAATGCATCATCTTCCATGCTCTTCATCCAGGGGGTTTTTTAATTTTTTATGTTGTTTTTGTGTCGATGTTCATTAAGCTTGGGTGGAGCCCGCATTTTCAAAACCATCGGAGGAGAGACGCCGTGGCGGTGTCGTATCGTCTGGTCAGATATGTGGCGGCGTAGGACCCTGGTTCAGTCCAGGACCAATGGTAGAGCCGGCAGGGGAGACCGGGGGGTTGGTATCTGTACAGTAACTTATTCTTCTGGTAAGAACAAGCCACAGCCGTACAACAGGAAGAAGATGACAGCGTGAAGTGAGTGAGTGAGGGAGTGAGGGAGTGAGGGAGGGAGTCCCTCCGCTTTACTCCCTCCGTACTAAGTTCCAACTTACTCTACTCTCCTTCTCCTCCACTACTCAATTCCACCCGCCCGTTTCATTTGCCGTTTCTGTTGCTAGTCCAGCTTGTCACCAGTAATGCCTTGAGTCTTCTTTTGTCCATTTCACCTCTCCTAATTTATTTCTTTCTCTTCGTTCATTTCATGCCCCTGTCACCCCCAATAGCTTTGCCTCCGCTCCCTTTCATATGAATTGAATGCTGGTTGCCTCCTCCTCCTCCTCCTCCTCCCCGGTCCTTGCAGTCCTATACCACTCGCTGCCACCATGCCAAAGAATCGACCCGCAACCTCCGGCTATGCCCGTTTGGCGCAGGAAGAAGAAGACCGAGCCCATGATCCTTATGATTATTCAGACGACGACGACCTGCAGCAGGACTCCCAGACCATCTCCCAATCTGCTCCCCGATATGCCCCGATCTCTGCACGAACCGGTCTGGCCTCGCCTCCCGAGCCGCGACGAAGACTGAGTGGACAGTATCACCGGCGGGGACGGAGGAATTCGGGCGTGGACATAAAAGCCATCAATGCGCGCCTCGAGCGCTGGGCCGAAGAGATTGCTTCCAAATTCAAGATCCATCGAGTCAAGGGAAAGACGTTCGAGGAGGAGAAGCTAGAGATATACCACTCAGTCTTTCAGGCGCCCGATGGGGTCCGGCCAGTCACGGCAGAAGTTCTCGAATCCGATGAGATCGAGGGCGCTGCGCGGAGAGCTCGCGAAGAGTTCGAAGAGGTCGTGGAGAGTGTCCGCATCGCGATCGAGATGGGGGTCCATCCCCGCATGATTTCCCAGGGTAGTTCCGGCAGTTATTTCGCTCGCAACAGCGAGGGTAAGGTCGTCGGAGTCTTCAAACCCAAGGATGAAGAACCGTATGCCTCTCGCAATCCCAAATGGACCAAGTGGATTCACCGCAACTTATTTCCCTGTTTCTTTGGGCGAGCGTGTCTCATCCCGAACCTCTCCTATGTCTCCGAGGCGGCGGCGTATGTTCTCGACTCCCGGCTGCAGACCAATCTCGTTCCATACACCGATATCGTTTGGTTATCCTCCAAGTCGTTCTTTTACGACTTCTGGGATCGCAGAAAAGCCTGGATGGGCAAAAAGTCCCTTCCGCCCAAGGCCGGTAGTTTCCAGGTCTTCCTCAAAGGCTACAAAGATGCGAATCTCTTCCTGCGCGACCACCCCTGGCCGGATCAGACAAATACGGGCTTTAGAGCAGAAGATGCTCCCAAGCGAAAGAAGCGGCCTTGGAACGAAGCATGTCGCCCGTCTGGGATACACTCGGATGACGAAGAAGAAGAGGAATACCACGACGGCCAGACGCGCACACCATCGCCGCGCGAAGAAAGCAGAGAACGGCGCTTCTATTGGACGGAGAGCCTGAAGCAGTCATTCAGGGAAGAACTCGAGAAGCTCGTTATCCTGGACTACATCATGCGAAATACGGACCGAGGACTAGACAATTGGATGATCAAGATCGATTGGCGGACTGAGGAAGTTTCCATCGTCGCCGAGGCGCCCAAGCCGAACGGAGCGCAGCAGACTCCTCAAGATGATGATGACGATGATGACTTACCCCCTGCTCGCCCGGTAGCGGTCAATTCAGACGGAGCGACTACTGCGCCTCACCCTTACCGAAGGCACGAGTCAATGCTTGCGGTCAGTCGCACGGGGACTCCCTTAACCACTACTGAGCCCTACGCAACAATCCAAATCGGTGCCATTGATAATAGTCTATCCTGGCCATGGAAACATCCTGATGCGGTAAGTGGTATTATGATGCTGACAGGGCGATGACTCCGGCTAATAACCTACCAGTGGCGGAGCTTTCCATTCGGCTGGCTGTTCCTTCCAGTCTCCCTGATCGGTCAACCATTCTCGCAGAAGACTCGTGATCATTTTCTACCACTTCTGACCTCGACTGCCTGGTGGAGCGGCACACAGATGGCTTTACGTCGTGTCTTCTCACAGGATGATGATTTCAAGGAAAGCATGTTCGCGAGACAGATTGCAGTCATGAAGGGTCAAGCGTGGAATGTCGTGGAGACGTTGAAGCATCCCGACCATGGACCACTTGAATTGACCAGGAGAACGCGGGTCTGCGTCTGGGATGATCTCGTGGATGTGCCGGTGGCGATTCCCCTCCGCGGCCCCTCGACGGAAGCACAAAGACGCAAAGTGAAGAGCTACGAAAATTACGACAAACACAGCACTTATGATCCCGATAATGAGGAAATGGATATTGGTGCCTCTATGTCCCTGGGATCAGGGCCTGAGGTCGACCTCCTTGGACTCAGCTCGCCTGCCAACGAATTGCCAAATCCCAACAGGTTCGAACTCTCCAGAGGGCGCGGCTCCGCGTCGGGCCATGACAGGGCGCTCTCCGGGAGCCCGGCCACCATGGATGACCGGTATGGCCGCAACAGCATTGACGAGCTGAGTCATGGCAGAGACCTGGAACGCAGCTGGGCCACGCTTCCTCCTCGGCCAGGTCACCGACACCAGAAACACAACTCCGTCTCGAGCAACCGTGGCCAGGCCCACCTGCTCTGGAGCAGCGATGATCTTGAGGGTGATCTTGGATATGCAGCCGCGGAAGGCATGGAAGGCAACCAACGGAAAGTGATTGTCGAACGGCTCGAGGCCGTCAAAAGCAAGAATCCTGTGTTTACCTGGTGTTAAACATGGGATTCGGCTCGACATCTCCTTCCCACCCCCCCTTCTTTTCTTCTCCTCTTCTTCTTTATACTCTTCGACCTCGGCTCCCCATTTAGCGTGTATTATGATAATCTGGCATGAGGAGTTCGTTTCTGATGATTTGCAAGGGACGGCAGTTGTTGGAAAATATTTTCTTAGACAATGGAAGTTGATCTTCACGTGGAATATTGTGGGAGACTTAATAGTTCAGACTTACACGCGGTATATAATTTGAGTTTTTTGTGTTAATGAGAAAACCAAGTATATAATTGAAATACTGAAACACTTCCAGCCCTGGGGATCAAGGATAGATGCGGTTTTGATTTGCCTAACATGATTCCATGTCTTCCGAACCGTATGATGTCTCTATTAACACAATCCATACATGATTCGTGACTCGCCCGCAATCTTATCTATCGCCGATTTCTTGGCATCGCCTCTCTCCATGCAGTGGTCATCGTCCATCATCATCATCCATCCTCCAATTCCCCATCTCTCACTTCACGCCCACCTTTCTCCTACCTTTTTCTTTCTTCAGCTAGTTTCCGCCGACATAAGTAGCCTCATGTAACGTCTACTCCATCTGCAGTTGTCGTCTACACTCACTCGTTCCTCATCTCGACGCCACCGGACTCCCGCCCTCCGAGGTGTATGCTCAGTCTGACCGTCTCTCTTTGAACCACCCATCCTCACTTGAGGACGCTTTGAATTTCTCATCACAGATCTACCCTGGATGCTTCTATCACGCTCTCTTCGACCGGGTTCCTCTTCGCGATCTTAAATTTGTCTCCCAAGGATCTGCATCACCCTCGCGCGCGTGTCTCGCCGCTGCAGTCGCAGCAGACACAATCTGACAGTCATGGCCTCCTCCCACGCCGCCATGCTGCTGGACCCACGGGCGCACAAGAAGCAACTCCAAAAGAAGAACGGTAAAGCTTCCCCGGAGCCCGAGCTCGAAGTATCCCCTCACCACTCCCACCCAGACCCCTCACCCATGGCTGCTGAAACCCCGCACGCCGAAGGACCTTCGTCTCCATTGCTCTTTTCGACGATGCAGAGCCCTTCCCCTCCCCATAACATCCTTGGACCAGAAACAGAAGACTCATCGTTCCCAGGATCATCGAAGACTCAACCGGACCCTTCCTCCACACTCGCCAGCCCGCGCAGCTCCGCCTCTTCCATCGCCCCGGCGGGTACCGCTTCCGCAGCACATCTGCTCCTCAGCAGCCCGCGCCGGCGGCAGCCGCGAGGAGGCAGCTCGAAATCCACCTCGGCCTCGAATATGTCAACATCGCGATCCGGGACACGCACCCCTTCGCTGGTGGACGATGCGGGGAGCGTTTCGTCGCAGGCCCCTCAGGTTGCGCCCACCACGATCGACGTCGAATTTGTGAGCGCGAGTCCGGACTTTGACGAGGGCGATCGCAGGAGCATCAAACGCGGCTCAGAACACCTCGATGTTGATGATGACGTCACTGGCGCGCGTCCTGGGAGCTTCATTGAGGATATGTATGGCGTGGAGAGACGTGTGAGGCAGCCGATCAAGAAAATCAAAGCAGAGAGGGACGAAGAAGTGAAGCCAGGGAAGACAGATACGAACTTTAGTGGCGGTGGAAACTCGGAACTAGGATCTTGGATGAAAGAGGGGCGCGATCAGGCGGATTCGTCTTCGTCTGCCGCGAACGTCGTGGACTTGACGACCGGTAGGATGGATCCCAAATCGCATCGTCGGTTTTCGGCTAACTCTTGCAGATGTCTCGGCTGTAGCGACCGACGACGATGAGATTCAGGTTACAGGGTCTAATGATCTCAGTCTACAGAGGGTGTGTTATGGAAAGATTGATGGGGCGACGATCCAAGCACAGCTGGTTCCAAAACCTTCCGCTCATGCGCTTTTCGCAGCCTCGCAGCATGACTGGCCGACGATCAAACTCGGGGTCCATCGAAAAACGCGCGAGAACAATCGGATTGAAGTATCCGATCCGAACGGGAAGATATTCGGTGCAGTTGATGCTCGGACAGCCGGAGTTGTTGTGCCTCTGTTGGATTCGTCTGCCTTAAAGGTGGATCTAACTGCACGGCTAGACTTTCGAAGGAGAAAGGATAATGAGTGGCCATGGGCACCCTGCTCCGAGACCTTTCGGGCCTCTATCAATTTATACGGTCTCCGCAAAGATGCCACCATGGTCGGCAAGCACCTCGGACAGCATAACGTATGGCTTACAACGCCTAACGCGGTGGAACAAGGCGTGCCGACGCTCAATCCTCATGCGGAGATGCGGAGGGCTCAGGCTACGTTCAAGCCATCGGCGGCCGCTAGAGGTCGCGTAGGGGTCAGCTACGAAATGCGGACCGCCGAAGAAGTCAACGATGCAGTAATGAAGATGTTCGATCAGCTGCAGAGCAATGACAACTTGCCTGAGATGGAGCCTCCTTCTGGCGTGGTGACCCCGTTGCTTCGTCATCAGAAGCAGGCGCTCTGGTTCATGACTGAAAAGGAGAAACCGCGCACCTTTGGTCCCAATGAGGCAGACAACAATTCCCTGTGGCGTAGGGATTACGGGGCCGGCGGAAGGAGAAAATACCGCGAGATCATCAGTGGGACGGTGCTCGACGAAGAGCCTCCGCAGAGCTTGGGTGGGCTTTTGGCCGACATGATGGGTCTCGGCAAGACACTGAGCATACTCTCGCTGGTTGTGAGCTCGTTGGATGAGTCTTGCCAGTGGGTTGGGCAGATCCCCGATCCGGCGCTGGTCAAAAGCCATCCGGGCATCCGCAATACGAAGACAACCTTACTGGTGGCGCCCCTCAGCGCGGTCAACAACTGGGTGGCGCAGATCAAAGAACATCTCCGTGACGATGCCATTTCGTACTACGTTTTTCATGGCTCTGCTCGGACCAACGACGTGGAAGAATTATCCAAGTATGACCTGGTCATCACGACGTACAGTATCATCCTCAGTGAACTGTCGGGGAGAGGAGCGAAGCGAGGGGTGAGTCCGTTGACCAAGATGAACATGTTTCGCATCGTCCTGGACGAAGCGCATACCATCCGCGAACAGAGCGCGGCCCAGACGCAGGCCATCTTCAAGCTCAACTCGCAGCGTCGCTGGTCAGTGACTGGAACGCCTATCCAGAACCGCCTGGATGATTTATTTTCGGTCACGAGATTTCTGGGTCTTTACCCCTACGACGATCGCAGTCGCTTTGGCATGCACATCCTGAGTCGCTTCAAGATGGGCGATGCCACGGTGCTGGCTAGTCTGCGGGTGCTTGTTGATTCATTTACGCTGCGCCGCGTCAAAGACAAGATTGACCTTCCCCCGCGTCAAGACCTGATTATCATGTTGAAATTCTCCGAAAAGGAGCGACAGCTGCATGAGTTCTTCCGGAAGGAGTCGAATGTCATGATGCGGGTGATCGCCGGCGAAACGAAATCGCAGATGAAGGGACGCATGTACCACCATATTCTGAAAGCCATGATGATTCTACGGCAGGTCAGCGCCCACGGCAAGGAGCTTCTCGACCCGGACGACCGCAAGCGCATCAAGGGGCTGAGCGTCCAGGACGCGATCGATCTGGAGGAAGGGGTGACTGGCGACAGCAGTGGCGCCGTCGACAAGAAGGCCTACGAGATGTTCACGCTCATGCAGGAGTCCTCGGCCGATACCTGCGCCACGTGTGGGAAGCGGCTCGAGGAGCCCAGCTCCTTTAATAATACAGTCGACCGCCAAGCGCCGGTGGCCATTGTGCTCCCCTGCTTTGACGTGCTGTGCCCGGACTGCTTCGCGGGGTGGAACCATGCCTTCGAGCAAGCGCAGTCGCGCCAGGTCCCTGACCTCCGGTGCCAGGTCTGCGACGGCTGGATCCCTGCCTCGTACTCCGTCATCACCGTGGGCGGGTTGGTAGATTACGTGGTGGAGCAGGCGCGCGCAAAGCAGAGCCGCAAGCAGGCGAAAACGCTGGGGGAGTACGAAGGGCCGCATACCAAGACCAACGCGCTGGTCGCGCAGCTGCTCACGACCGCCGAGGAAAGTCAAACCCAAAGCTTGGAGCGGCCGTACAAGAGCGTGGTCTTCTCGGCGTGGACGTCGCATCTGGATTTGATTGAGATCGCGCTGCGCGACAACGGGCTGACGGGGTTCACGCGGCTGGACGGGACGATGACACTGTCGGCGCGCCACAAAGCGCTCGAGGAGTTCCAGCACAATGACACGATTACGGTACTGCTGGCGACGATCGGGGCAGGCGGCGTGGGGCTGAATCTGACGGCGGCGTCCAAGGTGTATATCATGGAGCCGCAGTACAACCCAGCGGCGGTGGCGCAGGCAGTGGACCGGGTGCACCGCATCGGGCAGACACGGCCGGTGACGACGGTGCAGTTCATCATGACGGACAGCATCGAAGAGAAGATCTTTGAGTTGGCGAAGAAGAAGCAGCAGCTGGCGGATCTGAGTATGAACCGGGGGAAGTTGGACAAGCGAGAGGTGCAGGAGCAGCGGATGCACGAATACCGGAGTTTATTCAAGTGATTTTGCGTCCTGTTTCCGTTCGATACCCGGTGGTTTATTATGGATGGATGGATGGATGGATAAGTGGCGTTTACAATTTCTCTTTTTTTTTTTTCGATTGGGTCAGGGATCTACGGCATGACATATACAGAGAGAAAGAGCAGAGACATCATGAAGCTACACAGCGAGGATATCGACAAGACGGCGATTACCCATATAGAGGGATGTTACCTTTGCTTGCGTGCTTAATGAAGTACTACAGTATCTAGAATCCGCACTAATCATATCGCATTCCCCTCCATATTACTTCAACGTGCAATAATACATCGCCACTGCAACTGCCCTTCTAACCGTTGAAGAACGAGATCACAAACGATCTCCATAAATCCCCACCTCCATCGCTCCCAACACCCCCTCCAACCGTCCCCGTAACTGCTTCAACTCCCTAATCCTCTCCTCCCTTTCCCCCTCCCACCTTCTCAACTCCCCCTCCAACTCTCTAATCCGAGCTTCTTGATCGGCCTCACTCGACCCAATCCCCGGCAGCACCGAAATCAAATACTCAATCTGCTGCTCCTTGATGACCAAATCCCGTGCCAGTTCACGCTGCCGCGCCGCAAACGTCCGCGGCGAGTCCGGCGCTGGCGGCGCATTGGGATCTGCTGCTGCTTGTTGTCCTTCCGCACTCCCCCCTGCACCCGCTACTCCACTACCACCCTGCTGCTGCTGCTGCTGCAGGGTGGACGTTTCATTCTGGTTCTGGGTTTGATTGGCCTGTTGCGCTGCTAACGGGGCGCTGGCGGGCACGGGCGGCGCGGAGGAGTTCTTGGGGATTTTGGCGAGGGCGGGGGCGGCGGGGGCGTTATTTTGGGTCGTGGCGGGGATGATTGCGGGGCTGTTGTCGTGGTAGGTTGTGAGGTAGCCTAGAGTTGCGTAGAATTGGGTTGCAAGCTGGATTGTTGTTAGTGGGTGGGTGGGTTGGTTTGTTGGGGAGTGGGTTGGGGATTGGATTGGGACTGTATTCGGGGAGAGGGACAGACTTGGTCGAGGCAGGTTTGGAGTTGGGTTAAGATGTCTGCCATTTTCTTGTGCGCACTAAGGTGGTTGTCTGGTATGGAGAATGTTGACAGAGATGAAATGGTGTGTGTTGGTACGAAGGTCTGGTGAAAAGCGGAGAGAGGAAGAGGAGATCAGATGCCAAACCGCGATAAAGAAAGTCAGATAAGATTAAGAAAACCCGCCTCCGCTGCCTCTTTCTTTCCGCAATACTGTACGTATATCTTTTCTTCAGAACTCACCACCACCACCACACCCCACCAGAACGAACTTTGAACTGATCAAAGAAATAAGGAGATCATGAAACAATGACAACAACAACAACAACATCAACAACCACCCTCTCCCTCTTCACCCGCCGCGTCTACCACCTCCCCCCACCCCCACTCCCCAAAACCAAACACTCCAACCGCGCCAGCTTCCTCGACTTCGCCCGCCGCCACGACCTCGACCGCTCCTCCACCGTCTTTGTCGGCAACCTCTACGAATACACCGTCCAGGCCGATCTGCGCCACGCCGCCGCGCTGTGTCTGCACCGCACCGGCGGCCGCAGCGACCACGGCATCGACCACCTCGGCACCTGGCACCTCCCGGGCCACGAGACCCCGTTGCATGTGGCGGTGCAGTGTAAAGCGCACCGACGCCGCGTGGGGCCTGCGTGTATCCGGGAGTTGGAGGGCGTGCTTGCGCGGCGGATGCCACATACCTGGCGGCTTGCCGCCCACAACCCTCCGCGCGTCGGGATGTTGGTGAATTACCGCGAGGCGACGGCAGGCGTGCGCACCGCGCTGCAGCGGAGTAGTCTGCCCCTCGTCTATCTGATGGTGGATCTACGGGGGACGCTGCGGCAGGCGCTGTGGAATGAGGCGGTTGAGGCGCTGGGGGTGGCGCCGTTGGGGGTGGAGGTTGTGCATGGGTTGAAAGAAGGAGAAGCAGAAGCAGAAGCAGAAGCACCCGTAAATTTGCCAGGCAAACCGGAAGCGAATGGGGAGACAGAACTACGGAAACAATTGGCGTGGTGGGAGGAGGAGGGAGAGGTCATACCTAGCGGTGGGCTACCCGAGTTGCATTCGGGCACGCACAACAGCCAGACACCGCCGATACGCTTGACCTGGGATGGGCAGGAGTTGCCCGGGATGGACGAGGTGGAGGCGTTGATGCTGCGGCAGGAGGAGAAATGGTGGCGGCTGTGGAATCTGTGGCCGGAGGATCAAGAAACGAAATACGAGGCGCTCTCCGTGATCCAGAGCCGATTCCCAGAGGAGAAGCCGCTGCTCTGGGCGACGGGCGGGGTGCCCAGTTTGCTGTCGGAGAAGGATCGCGCGGGTTTGGTGCGCGAGTTGGAAGCTATGGGGTTGAGTAGGGGCGTTGCAGAGGAGCAGTCACAGTCACAGTCACAAGCCCCAAGTCCTACGTGAGAGAATACCAGTATAGAAGCCAACAAACACGCATCAAAACTGGATTCAAAGGGGGTATAATTATATAGATACAGTCAAGGAAACGCCACCAACCCAACGACTCCATAACACGGAACCAACCAACAAGCTCAACCCTGCATCGTCGACCAGAAGTAATTCGAATAAAAGAACCGCGAGAACTTCGGGTCGATGTTGACCACATGCACATCCCCCTTGCGACTATTCCGAATAACCGCTTTATTAAAGTTGCCCGTCTCGTCCGCCTCAATATCCACACCCAGCGATCGATAGATCTTCAATCGCAGACTGCTCAATGTTATCAGCTGTTAGCCATCAAACCGCTTCCAAGAAAGAGGCCACACAGGGCAACCCACAGCGTCGCATCATCCATCTCCCTCTCCCTGCGCGTCGGCTCATCGCCCTCGACCCCCTGCGCTTCCAGATCCGCCAGCCGCTCCTTCAGCATCTCCAACTCGCCCTCCAGCCGCTCGGACTCGATCTCCAGCTCGGTCGCGGCCTTGGCGATGCGGAACTTCTTGGTGTCGAGCTCGACCATCTCGGCGGCGTGCTTGCCGGCGTCGTGTGCGGCCAGGGCCTCCTCTTGCTGGTTGTTGAGGGCGGAGAGGTGGCGTGAGAGTTTGCGCAGGGCGGACTCGGCCTCGCGCATGCGCAGCTCACGCGACTGCTGAAGCGTGGCGAGCGAGTCATTGATGCGCGTGACGGCTTGTTTGTCGGGTTGAATGTTGAAGTTGCCGATAGTGTGGTGGATGAGCTATCGAAAGTTAGTTTGGGGGTGGTTTTCCTCAAGGGGCGATGTGTTGCGTACAGTAGCGGGGCTTTCGTCGAGTAACATTTTTGCTGTGGTTGAGTTTGCGATTCTGCTAGTGGTGGTGATGATGGTGGGTGGATAAGGATGTTGAATGGGGAGGAGAGTTGATAACGGAGGGGTTGTTGCTTCGAGCAACGCGCGCCACAGTTTGTTTACTTTTGTACTTTAGTATTATGTACTCCGTACTCCGAGAAGATTCCGCCAAGCCACGTTTAGTCTGCACCGCCACATAACCTGACGACACTGGCGTCACGGGGAAATGAGAGAGAGTTGCCTATGCTTCACTTTCACATTCAATAACAACAGCAACAACAGCCCTCTTCATCGGGTCTTTGTGTATTTCTGTTCCATCAGTGTGTACGATACTTCAAAGAAAAGCCAGAACATAGTTCCTCACGATGGGCTCCAACCTCCCATGTAAGTGAACCTCCTCAGATCAAAACACTCAACAGTCACTTGCTTGTCCCCCCGCAGAAAACTGACAGCCAGCAGATGCCGCGGATGCAGAGAGGTACAGCACCACCTTGCCCTTCTCTGACCACACCCTGTTCTCCTAGCTGAGCTCGACTAATTTCACTTATAGTCCGCTCAAACCTGCCGAACTCCAAGTCCTGCGCGCCCAGTACGAGAAAGAAGGCGACTATGTCGGCATTCAGACCAAATTCAACTTTGCTTGGGTGAGATACCTACCAACCTACCAACCAACATACACCTGCCTGCCCTACATTCCATCCAGCTATCTACACTCTAGCCAGCCTTCAACACCAATCTTCATACATGACAGACCCAATAAACCACGTCCAACTAACACCTCCGCGCAATCTAGGGCCTGATAAAATCCACCTCCCGCACCGATCAACAAGAAGGCGTGCGCCTTCTGTCCGAGATCTTCCGCGCCGCCCCGGAGCGCCGCCGCGAGTGCCTCTACTACCTCGCGCTGGGCAACTACAAGCTGGGCAACTACGGCGAGGCGCGGCGGTACAACGACCTCCTCCTGGAAAAGGAGCCGGCCAACCTGCAAGCGGCCAGCCTGGGGACTCTGATCGACGAGAAGGTCAGCAAGGAGGGGTTGTTGGGGATTGCGATTGTGGGTGGGCTGGCGTTGGCGGCGGGTGTGGTCGGGGGGATTGTGTTGCGGGGGACGAAGAGGCGGTAATCGTCCTGTTTCGGTGTCTCTCAGATCCTGGAGAGGAATGATGGAGGGAGGGGGAGGTTTGTGAGGGGGTGGTGTATATATGGTTTGGTGGTTGTGGTTTGGTGGTTGGGTTGTATGTCTGCTGCTACTGCTGGATGAATGATTCGATTGCTCGGTTTGTTATTTATGGTTTAGCATGATGGGCGTTGGGTAATGAATATGACGGTTGTTGCTCGTGGTATTGGTCTGAGCTTGGTCATGAAGTGAACTATGGTTGGTAGGAAGAAGCTACAGTAGCTAATTTGCCAGGAAATATGCTTGTCTTCTGGAGCTTTTGTATTTAAATCAAGCTCTTGCCGCGCCAATCGTTCAAATTGACAGCAAGCGCCAAGACGAATCGACGACTATGCTCCGCAGATGAAGCACCATGTCAACGCCATAGACGCAAAGCTTCTAACTTCGTCAGACCAGATTGATATGATGTATGATGAATGAATCAATTGGACCCAGAAACCGACACTCCAAACTCCATGCTGGAATCACAGCGAGACCGCCAGGGCATCACGAAATCATGGGGTCGACCTCCCCACTATTGGTCATTACAGTGTCGTTGGAGCCATTCTGACTGGTCCCAGGGTTACTGTTATGGCTGCTAGAGGTAGAATTATTGTCCCCCAAGCCAAGGTTCAGCTTCTCGGGAATATCCTTCTTAGCCTCGCGAGCCTTCTGCTCTGCCCAGACGCGCAGCTTGACCAGGTTGCGCAGGCGCGCTTCTTTACAGTCTCCTTGGTTTTGCAGGATCGCCTCGTTCACACGATTGGCAATATCTTTACGGAGCTCGGGTTGGAGCAGAGGGGCTAATGACGGGGAAAGATTATCCGCGGGAAAGATCAGGAGTGCGAGGGTCCTCTCGAGATCTTCCAAAAAGTGCGGGTTGGTGGGCGCCCGTGGAGCGAGTTGCGAGGTTGCGAACTCTAGGGCTGGACTGATGTCTCCATCAGGCGTAGAGGTGCACGAGCGGATCAGCTCAACCAGCTGCAGACGCAGCAAGGCAAAGTGCAAGGGAGGATTCTCATCCAAGATCTATTTTGGTGCAAGTTAGCCGGAGGCTCTGAACCAAAATGTGATCAAATTGTAAAGATGTGGCTTCGAATCATATAAGTTCTTGATGATGATGAGTGTTTATCGACCAAATCCCGAAGGATTGTTCCGAGTGGTGCATGAAACTGATCTAATCATACGAAGGGAATCGGCAGTACTGGGGATGTTTCTTACCTGAGGGTTGAGCTCATTGATCTTTTCAATGGCCATTTGTATATTCCCAGAGTGAATCGCAGTACGAATCTCGACTCTTTCCTGAATCGCTTCGATATCAGCTCTAGGTTGGATGTTGGCTTCCAGGGCAAATTTCTTCGCCGCAGCCGGGTAGCCATTGGTAATGAGGTAGTCCATCACCAAATGATTGATATCACTTTTGAGAGTATCACGTTAGCGAGCGCTCGTACTCCACGTCATGACAAAACAATGGGCACAGTGACAAAAAAGGTTCAGTAACACAAGTTAAATATTTTCTCCTCACATTGATTCAGAGAGATTCCCAACTTGATTTTAAGATCATCATGTAGAACGGACGGAAACAGAGATCAGGACAACTCACGTTTTGGACGGCTTCACCTCGTCGACCTTCCGCTCAAACGGATGCCATGTTGGCGTGGTTGTTGGGGAAGAGGGAGACATCTGTTTCCCGTTAAGATCAAGCCACGAGGCAAGCACGGTACGTCAGGACGCATACGTAGTTTGCTGAAGACATGATTGCAGCTGGAACCCAATCAAGATCCTTGACACTGAGCCACCGGCGGTCTGTGAAGATGGAAAGCTTCGCAGGCGCGAGCCATGAGGTGGTGGGAAGAGAAGCTCCTGCAGGGGAGAGAGTGTGGTTCGGAAGAGGAGAAGAGAATTGACGGAGGGGGAGAAAATAAGGAAAAAGTAGCGGGCAGCTTCTAATCACGTGCTACTCACTAAGCCTAAACCGCAAGCGAAGGTCACGGACTGAAGCTAATCTTGAAGGAGTCAAGCGGCGATCATTCAGACTAAACTAAAGTCCGTATCGTGTATCGCCGCCTGCCAAATCCCCTCTCTTATCGGGGGTCCCTCTTCCAAGCCTTATCCTCCTCCTCCACCACGATAATTTCTTCTTATCAATTCTTTTGTCCTCCCTGCCCCTCCCCTGCCTCCCAATCTTAGGGGCTTTGGGCTTATTTCTTTTTTGTATCGTCTGTCAATTCTTCAGGGAGGAACACTCACCATGCAGTCCATCTCACCGGTGTATTCATCCGCCACGGACAAGGATAAGAAGTACTCGCCACCATGGGCGGATTTGAGTATTATCGGAATTGCGGGCAGTTCAGGTTCAGGCAAAACTTCCGTGGCCATGGAAATTGTGAAATCCCTGAATCTCCCATGGGTGGTGATTCTCGTAATGGTACATCTCATCTATTGGCGATACCCGGATAGCTCGCCTATCGATCTATCGGGCTCTTCATGTGCAATATGATTGGTTTCTGACGGTCCTGCGGTACAGGACTCTTTCTATAAAAGCTTAACCCCAGAAGAGCATGCTAGGGCCCATGCCAATGAGTATGACTTTGACTGTCCCGAATCGTTGGATTTCGACGTTCTGGTGCAAACGCTGCGGGACTTGAAACAAGGGTACGATGACTTCTTTTGAGTGCAATCACTCACCCACCCCATGCTGCCATTGAAACTGACCGGGTTGGCCCGAATCAAACAGAAAGAAGGCAGACATCCCTGTATATTCATTTGCCAAACACCAGCGGGAGCCCCAAACAACGACACTTTATTCCCCGCACGTGATCATCTTGGAAGGGATCTTGGCTTTGCATGACCCGCGCATCATGGAACTGTTGGATGTCAAGGTAGGTCCCGGTGTCACCTTGGGCTGTATGCACGCTCATCATGGTGCAGATCTTTGTAGAAGCCGATATGGATATTTGTCTGGGACGCAGAAGTAAGCCCACACTAAACTTTCGGGGGCTGAACAATGACTAAATGATCGCTAGTCATGCGTGATGTTCGGGAGCGAGGACGAGACATTGAGGGGATCATCAAGCAGTGGTTCACTTATGTCAAGCCATCATACAAAAAATTCGTCGAACCTCAGCGAGCAGTATCAGGTAGGTCATCTCTTCCAACTGGTCTTTACAAGCTAACACCTCACAGATATTATCATCCCTCGTGGGATTGAGAACCGAACTGCAATCGGTAAGCCCGAGTGTCCATCTTGCGCCGGCTTAGACTAATTGCACATTGCACAGATATGGTTGTAAAACACATTCAGCGCAACCTGGACGAGAAGTCGGAGAAGCACAGTGCCGAGCTCGCTCGTCTCGGACTCCTTGCCTCGGAAGAGACGCTGTCTCCCAACGTCGTCGTCATGCACGAGACGCCACAATTCATCGGCATGAACACGATCCTGCAGGACCCTGCCACCGAGCAAGTGGACTTCGTGTTCTACTTCGACCGCCTTGCCGCTCTTTTGATTGAAAAGTAAGTGAATCTCGTTCAGTATCTTCATCACATCAAGGGACTAATGATCTGCAGAGCCTTGGATGTGACCTCCTATGTCCCCAAGCAAGTACTCACTCCTCAAGACAACTCCTACCACGGTTTGAACCAAGCCGGCACCGTCTCTGCCGTCGCTATATTGCGCGGCGGATCGTGCCTTGAGACCGCTCTCAAGCGGACCATTCCCGACTGTATCACCGGTCGTGTGCTTATCCAGACGAACGAGAAGAACGAAGAGCCGGAGCTCCACTACCTCAAACTACCCCCTGGTATCGAGGAGCACGAGAACGTCATGCTCCTGGACCCGCAGATGTCGAGCGGAGGTGCCGCTCTGATGGCGGTCCGCGTGCTGATCGACCACGGCGTGCGCGAGGAGCGGATTGTGTTTGTCACCTGTGCGGCTGGCAAGGTTGGCCTCAAGCGACTCAGCGCTGTCTACCCGCACGTGCGGGTTGTTGTTGGACGGATTGAAGAGGAGCGCGAGCCGCGCTGGATCGAAAAGAGGTACTTTGGCTGCTAAGGGGCGGAATCGTATATATCGAGATGATGGTTGGAAGCATCTTTCGGCTTGTCACCTTTACATAATGTTCTATATATGTCCATAGTAGTACCCATAATGATGATACGTGAACAGAGCAGTCGGTGGGGTAAGTCCAGCTTAGACTTTCCCCGACAGAAGTATTCCAAATTGCAAACACGACATCACTCTCTCTAAATCCTAATGACCCCCCCCCTCCTTGCAGATAGTCACGGACTCAGAGCTACATTGAAAGTAAATCACGGGAAAGAGTAAAGACGGGAATCCTCCTGGGAAGCCGATATCCCGCGTGACAGCCTTGGGTTGGCGGACATGGCATTGGACCAAGAGGCACATAGGCTTGATGTGTGTGTTCATTTTTACACTACATGTTTGTTCTGCAGTGCCCTCTCAGGTGGGAGATAAGGTAGGACTATCCTTATACACCGGTTGAACTCAAGAAGGCTTGACTTGAAGGACGCACTGGCTTGACAGAGCATAGGATTGATCGTGTCGGCTGCGAGCTGCTGACGTCTGGCTGAGTCGGGGAAAATTAAAGCTACTAAGTGATCAATCTAGGGATTAATGACGGCTGAAGTAAGTCAGACGAGGATATGGCAGCATATATGATGTAAGTGCAACAGGAAGTGTAGCTTGAGAGGTGGTCTGCGCTATACTACTGCTGCAGTGCTGCAGTTGAGTAAAGGGAGAATCTTTCTCTCTCTCTCTCTCTTTTTGTGTGTGTGTGTGTGTTTAACTCTCTCATGTGATCAAATTCGACCAGCTGCAGTCCTCGCCTTGGTATAACCTGAGGCATCTTTTATATAGTTACATCGGGGCCAGTTCTCCAGTGGCTTGCCCTCTTGTGACACACCCATCCACTCACCCCAAGCAAGCCAAGCCAGCATCATACGCGTTCAAGGCATCCCTCTCAACAGCCTAAGGGGCACTAAAGTAGGCAGGGCCGGTCGAGATGCCACAGCAAATCCACCAACCAGCCCAACTCAAGGGATAGACGCCCAGTGACGAATTTCCGCCCCTCCCCCAACCTTCCACTGGAAGATGATGTAATGGGGGGGGTTAGGAGAGAAAAAAAAATCAGAGCTTTTATCCCCGATTGGGGTAGTCCGCGTGCTTGCGGGATGCTACCATCAAATGCAAGGAGAAGTATAGAAAGCCAGGGTTTCAAGAATGCGCGAGCCTTCAACAAGCGCTTCATTCTTTATAATCCGTCAATTTGGACTTTCTTTGCTCGCACAGCTGCGCACTAAGCAGATCCAAAATTCTTTGGTTTTTTTTTTACCTTAAGTTCTTGTTCATGTTTCGTCAGAAGATAACCAGCTATGATCTCCGGTAAGTGGTTTGCTCGCTTAAGCAAGTGGCATGAAGTATATGAAGTATATGATGATAGTTGAACTGATCTGAAACTCCTCCTTCAATTCTATATAGGCTCGACCAATCATGTATATTCGTGCCCGAGACACGGAATTCACCGACAACTCCTTCGATAACGGGTTCATTTCACGTTTCGTTTCCCCCGGGGGTGCGCATCAAGAGCATCAAAGTGAAACTGAAAGGAATGCTCCATGTGTGCGTTGTATCGGATCGAGTCTACTTTTCTTGTTTCCTGGTGCATGGGCAACTGACTGACGGGATCCTAACCAGCCCGCGCGATGGCTTCATGATCGCCGAGGACCGGCTGCAAGGTACCTACGAGCAGAAGCAGGTGCTCGCCTCGTCCAAGACGCTGGGCTCGTTCCCCATGCCCGCGGGCCAGTATGAGTTCCCCTTCGATATCCCGTTGGCGGGCAAGTTCCTCGAAACCGTGACCGGGGTGAAGCACAACTACCACTCGTACACGGTCGAGGCGACAGTCGCCTTCCGGTATCGCCGGAATGTCGTCGTGTCGAAGCCCGTCCGCATCTATCATCTGTCGGAGCTGGAGACGAACTATCTCACCTCGGACTTTTCGCCGGTATATACCTTCCACACTCCCCCGCGCGCCCCATGGTGATGTATGATCTGCACGGAGGTGGCTAACCAGAGTTCCGTACGGGCGAAAAAGACAGTGGGAGGAACCCTCCGCCAGAAACTGCAGTACTCCATCTCCATGCCGAGCCATTACATCCCCTTTGGATCCCGGTTCCCCGTCGACTGCCAGTTCACCGCCCTGTCTAAGGATGTCAGATTGGTGGCTGTCACGGTCAAGATCGCCGAGAAGCATTTTATCCGCTTGGACGCCACGGCGGCGCAGTCTGCGCGCGATAACATCTACTCGATTACCTCGTTGAAGAACCATACGGTGTTCAGTGAGCGGTTCGACATCGCGGCGGGTGCAAGGGATGCTGACGAGAATGCGCCGTGCGACTCGGCGGCAACAGCGACCACGACGGCGACGGAATGGTGTCTCAGCAAGCTGGCTTGCTTACCTCCGAGTTTCGATGGTTGTTCGCAGACGGTAGCGACGAAGCGCATCAAGATTAGTCATAAGTTGGTGGTGAGTGCTGAGTTTCAGGATGCCGAGGGGGAGATTTTCACTGAGGTATGTTGTTGCTTGGGATGGTAAGAGTGTGTTCGGCTGTTTAGACGCTGATTCTTCTCGTGCAGACGACGAAACCCATCCCGTTTTGCATCTACATGACCCCCAGCGTGATCGGACAGGATGGGTCGATCTGTCATAAGACGATCCATGATATCAGGGAGCCGCCGCCGCTGTACGGGGATCATACTCTTCATCCGAAGCTGCTGGGGTCGAGTGATGATGTTGATGATGGTCGTATAAATGCTGCGCGGGCTGGGGAGGGATGTGGCCAGTTGGGGTGGGGTGCCTGGGGGCCTGCGCCTTGTTATGACACGCTTGAGCATCCGGCGCCCGCTTATGTTGCTTAAATAGTTGAATGAGTTGATTGAAACATGAGTTATGAATATCCGGCTGGGAGGTGCAATTGTCACGAGGATTGTTGGAATAATGGAATTGCGGAGCATATACTATACTCCGTGTTGAGGTTCAAGGCACGACCTTTTGGAGTACAGTACGAGAATAGTACGAGAATGAAACACAGACACACACAGACACACAGACACACATAATGTCTCTAACCTGAATCCTCCCAAGAGACAATATCAACCCCTATAGGTGCAACAACATCGGCATGAGTGCTCCAGGCTACCAAGTTGTTAGTTATAGTTACTCCAATAATGAATCCGCACAGACCACCCCATCGCTCAAACGCCGACAAAAGCAAAGCCAGCCGTGGCTGCTTCACGCCAAGATTTCTTTTGGTTCCAAAGCGGATCGGGAGGTTTTCCTCCGCCCGCCCGCCCCAAAAATTATTCTAAATCACCAACCCACCAACCCTTCAGGGAATCACAACCCTGCTGCCTCATTTACGCACAGTTTTGACTTCTGACTCCTCCTTCCTACATTCTTACTCATTCACTGGTTGCACATTCTTTCTTATTGCATTGACTTAAGTGCCATTCAACACCGAACAAGACAAAACCACAATGCCCGACAAAAAGAAAAGCAAAAAGTCCGCCGGCGGAGGCAAGACCGATGCCCCGGTTATCAGTACGTCCTCTTGTATCTTTTTTTTTTTTTTTCTTGTTTCTGGTCTACCTTGGGCTTTGGCTTTAGTCTACACTTGGATGTTAGCTTCTAGTCAACCTGGGACTCTAGTCAGCAAAGCGAAGCAAAAATCAAAAAAACAATCCCTCAGCAGATACAAACCCACCCTGATAAAGGTTTCTCTATCGGCAACCACCTGCTAACCTCGAGTTTCTTTGGAATTCTACAGCCGACTCCCGTTTCGCCAATATCCAGAATGATCCCCGCTACCGCCTCCCCAGCAAACGCCACACGCATGTCAAGCTCGATAAGCGGTTCGCGCACATGCTGCGCGACAAGGACTTCTCGCGCAACGCTGCGGTCGACCGGTACGGCCGGAAGCTGGCGCGGGATGATACGAAGAAGCAGCTCGAGCGGTTCTATCGGTTGGAGGATGAGGATGAGGCGGAGGGCTCGGAAGGTTCTGATAACGAGGCAGCGGAGGTCGAGGGCAGCGTGGCCGATGATGAGGAGGTGTTGGCGGAGCTGAGGCGGGCGGATGCGTACGATCCCGCTCGGGACGGAGGGTTTGAGTCGTCGTCTTCGGAGGAGGAGAGCGATAGTGATGAGGAGGATGAGGAGGAGAGTGCCGCGGACGGGGCAGAGGAGGATGGGATGCTCGGCGGTGAGGAGTTGGAGTTCCCGGATAAGCAGCAGCGCGATGTGCCTACGGGCGAGGTCACGGATCGCATCGCCGTGGTGAACCTCGACTGGGATAATATCCGCGCCGAGGATCTCATGGCGGTGTTTTCGAGCTTCGTGCCCGCCGGCGGGCGGGTGTTGAAGGTTTCGGTCTATCCGAGTGAGTTTGGCAAGGAGCGCATGGAGCGCGAGGAGATTGAGGGGCCGCCTAAGGAGATCTTCGCCAGTGCCGGGGACGACGACGATGGATTTGAAGGATTTGAGGACGAGGATGCGGAGTTCGATTCCGACGAGGAGGAGGAGAAGATTAAAAAGTCCATGCTCAAGGAGGATAAGGGCGAGGAGTTCAACTCCACCAAGCTCCGCAAGTACCAGCTCGAGCGTCTACGCTACTTCTACGCCATCTTAACCTTTTCCTCCCGCGAGGTCGCCAAGCATGTCTACGACCTCGTTGACGGCGCTGAGTATCTGTCCAGCGCCAACTTCTTCGACCTCCGCTTCGTGCCCGATGAGACCGATTTCGACGACGATAGACCCCGCGACGAGTGCAAGCGCATCCCCGACGGCTACCAGCCCAACGAGTTCGTCACCGACGCTTTGCAGCACAGTAAGGTCAAGCTGACCTGGGATATGGAGGACAAGTCGCGCAAGGAAGCCCAGGCCCGGGCGTTCCGCGGCAGTCGCAAGGATATCGACGAGAATGACCTGAAAGCTTATCTTGCGAGCGACAGCTCCGATGACGAGGAGGAGGAAGAGGAGGGTGGTGTCGAGATTATGGACGCTACGCAGGGTGACGGTGCCAGCAAGAATGTTTCCAAGAAGGAGGAGGAGAGACAGCGCATGCGTGCCTTGCTCGGGCTGAGCGCGGAACCCACCAAATCGACCAAGTCCGACGGCCCAGTCGGTGAAATGGAAGTGACCTTTACCTCCGGACTTGCGGGCGAGCCGGCCCGCGACAGCATCTTCGAAAACGAACCGCAGATCGAGGAGACTACGATCGAGCGGTACATCCGCAAGGAACGCGAGAGGAAGAAGCGCAGAAAGGAGAAACTCAAGGCGAGCAAGCAGGGCAACGATCCTGAGGCAAGTGATGCGGAGAAGGACGATACCAAGCCGTCTGCCCAGGAGCAGCCCCCACAGGAAGACTTGGGCTTCGACGATCCTTTCTTCGACGACCCGGATCCCAAGGCCACCGCTGCTGCTCGTCGCAAGGAGGAGAAGCGCAAGAGACGGGAAGAGCGTGCGGCCGAGGAAGCCGCCGCCGCCGCTAAGCGCGCGGAGCTGGAGCTGCTTATGGTGGACGACAACAACGCCAAGGGCATGAAGCACTTTGACATGACCGAGATCGAGAAGGCGGAGAAGCAGGCTCGTAAGAAGGGCAAGAAGGGCAAGGGCAAGAGCAAGCAGGTCGAGCCCGTGGCGGATGACTTCAAGATGGAGGTTAACGATCCCCGTTTCTCGCGACTCTTTGAGAGCCACGAGTTCGCGATCGATCCCACCAACCCCAAGTTCAAGCCCACTTCCGGCATGAAGGCCCTACTGGAGGAAGGTCGCAAGCGTCGGCGCACCCGGGACGACCAGGCGGATGAGGTGCCCAGCTACCAGGATCGGACAAAGAAGCAGAAGAAGCAGGTTTCCAGAGACGCGGGGTCGGACGATTTGAAGAAGCTGGTGGATCAGGTGAAGCGTAAGACGCAGCGCTGATTTGTTTGATGAAAAGTATCGTACTTCCGACTTTTGTTTACTTGTTATTGGGCCGAGGGCTCGAATATACCATGAAGGGTTTAGCATGTTTACTTTTTATTTTTTTATTATTATTTTTTTTTCTCTTCTATTTTCTTTTCCTTTTTTTTTTTTCCCCTCAATTTCCTTTTTATCCTGTGTAATTTTATTTATCCCGGTAGTCACGAATGATCTAACTCGGGACCAATGATTGGGGATTACCGTGCATCTCTCCTGAGCTGGTGGTTGATAAGCCGGCTGCAAGCAAGTGCTGTACGTTGCCGTCATCACGGAGGGAATTGGAGGAATCAGAGACACAAGAGGGCGAGGGGTGGGTGTGACGCAGCAAGAGAATGAAGCCAAATGAAGCCAAATGAAGCCAAATGAAGCCAAAGATGCAAACCGATCTGCGATGAGGCTGAGATCATGTGTTGTGGTTTCTTCTTCACCGCTTCTCCTCCTATACTCCTTTGTAGTGTGTCTCGCTTCACTGAATACTACTACTACTACTACTAACTAGTAGTAGACTATCACAGTAAGTTTTAAGTTAATAGTGAAGAAGTAATTTATTTAATTCTGTGCCGCGGGCGGCATCGGAACGGGAGAGAGTGAGAGCGCCCGGTGGACAAAGTAGTACCTAAAGTAGCTAAAGTAGATTAACTACAACTCACTAGTCACTTGTAGTAAGTAGTTCTGAACTAAACACTCAATTCCTTCCCTTTCCTCCACCTCAACTCGGACTCTCACCACAATCCCCCTACTCTACCCTCTCCTCTCTCCACTTGGTCCGTCCTTCTTCTTCTTCTTTCTTCCCTCTCCCCATTTCACTCTCTTTGCTCATTTCTACTCTCTCCCTCTCCTTCCTCTCTTTTCCCCCTTCCTCAAACTTCAATTCCTCCACCCGATCTTGTCGAGGGGCATCCCATCTGTCCTGTTCCGGTGTTCACCGCCACCTTCCGACATCTCATCCCACCTTCCACTCCCCCCCTCCTCCTCCTCCTCCTCCTCCTCCTCCCTTTTTCGCAAGACAAAACTACGATCCCTCTCCCTCGGAAACATACTCGTCCGTCTGTCTACGGCCTGATCATGGTCGTCCCTTCGCGAAATTGAACGATGGGGAACTACAGCTCAGTCTAGTGGATCGGTCTGACTGTTGGTTTCCTGCCTGCTCGGTGGTTCATCGGCCCATTTTCCTACTTACACTTTTTTGCGGACTCGATCTTGCTATCTTTCCTCCGCCTCTCTACCTACTTGACCCGTTCCGACACCCACTCAATCCCCCATCATGCTGGGTCGGCTCTTGAACACTGCAGCGGCCACTCTCAATCCCACGGCATACTCCGCCAAGAATCCACAGCCACTGGAATCGGTCACAGAGGAGGAACATACATCGGGCCTGCTTTATCCCGACGCGAGTCTACTTCGCCGCCCCAATTCACACGCCTACCCCCTGCATACAGCCTTCAATTCTCCAAATACCTCGACGGCCGGTGGCTACGATGACCGCGGCGGCGGCGTGGAGTTGGACCACCTGAAAGATTTCCGTGTGATTATCGCTCAGAACGCGCTCGGAGATCGGGATGCCTGTGTGTTGCTGGACACTCGGGCCACTCCGCACGGACAAGGTTCGCACGGGCTGGGACTAGAGCCACAGGTGTTTGAGAATACGGGGACCCGGCATGCCCGCACGCTCTCAACCTTGACCCGCGGCCCGCGGCGGACCTACCTGCCTCAGTCGTCGGTGGTGGAATCAAGCCCCTTGTCGGCCGCCGCAGAAACACGTCGCTCTCCGCCCATGTCTTCCGGCGCATTTATGCGGGCACGGGTCCGTAGCTCGACGATGGCACCGGGGGGAGGCTTCTCGGAAAGTGCCCATGCCCGTGGGGCGACGGATTCGAACGACTCCGGCTTGCTGAATTGCATCTTTGGAAGCAGTGCCTTCAGCTACAAGGGCTCCTCCACCAAGATGCATATTATATCGGCCGATGATGAACCGAGTCAAACCTCGCCCGCCTCGCCCGCCGCACGCAGTTCGCTGTCTCGAGCCTACACTACGGGGAGTTCCACGGCATTCGGGCGCGCTGATCGGGGCAATGATTCCAGACCCCCTGCCAAGGTTACTATCCTGTTGACGCGAATGTTCAGTGTTCACCTGCCTGAAGGCGGAGATGCTGATTCCCCCCCGGATAGACCTGACTTGTCGTCATCGGTCACCGACCCGCTCCCGAGCCCCGGGTTCCCGTTCCCAGACGTCTCAAAGCGCAAGAAAGTGAAGGAGAAGAAGACACCGATGTATGCCGTTGCTATCACGATCCAGATCCCGCTTCTATCCCGAAATGGTGGGCGGCCGGTGTCTCGGGTCGCGCAAGGCCCAGACTCTCCCAAGCCAGGGCTTTCCTGCTCCTTGGACTCGGACTATCGTTGGCACGGAGGCTTCTTCGATGACAGTCTGTCGCTTGCATCGCCTCCGGCGAGCCTCGATGAGCGGATCGATCTTCTAGTGGATCACTGGGACATCATCAACCGTACTTTGTCTCATCTAGAGAGGCTCTCTCGGAACGAGATCTTGTTTTTACTCAAGAGAGTAGACGCCTCGGCAGGGCCGCATCCGAAGCCGGCCAAGCCTCCTAACATGCAGAGGACCAACCAGACGTTCGTTCATCTGCCGGTCAATGTTCTGTCAATCAATTCCAAACTTCGCGACGAAGCCATTCGCAGCACTCGTCGCATAAGCACGGCGCTGCAAATGCCCTATGTCGTCACCGGCCAGAGCCGCTGGGGCGTCTGGCGCGAGGAAGGACGGTCGATCATTCGCAGTCTCGGAGACAAGGATCATAGTTTCTTTTTCCTCGTCCTGGTCACTGCTTTCTTGGGCAACCACACGGAGTGGCTCAACGCTTTGGGCCCAGAGTGGTACCGTCGACGGCACTACCTGCAACAAAAGGCCCAGCAAGACGCAGATCCGATCCTCGCCAATCGCACCGTAATCATCTCGCCGGATAAGATGACGGCTAGAAGGCTGATTTTCTTGTTGGCGGCATTTTTGCCCCCTAAACAGCGGTTCGAGCCCCTGCCGTCTCCGATCCGCCCCGGCACCGCGGCTTCGACTCGGGCTGTCTCCCAGAGCCCGCCGAATGTGCCTATCCTACGACAGGAGGCATTGCGGAGAGTGATGGAGCGGCGGTCTCGTGCGCAGCGTCTCAATTTGAATGAGCGAGAGCAGCATCAGCGCTCGGTGAGCGCCTCGTCCAACGAGACGGCCCATCGCTCCGCCGAGGAACCTGAGCCGATGGCCCCCCCGGATTTTGGAGCGAAGCGCAGAGGCTCCGATGCCCGTTCTATCCGAGCATTAGGGGTCCCTATCCATACGAGAGATATGCGTCCCCGGAACACGAGTGCCGCCACCACATCCACCACGACGCCTAGTAGTAATGTCCCGGTCCCGCACTTTGCTTCGCAGAGTCGGTCTGAGCGAATGGGGTCGGATCCGAGCGTGAATGACGGGCGTGATAGCCTGGCGTCGGAGAACCTCCTCAAGAATCTGCAGCGGTCGGAAACCTCGGCCACCTGCGGCAATGGAGCCCTACCCGCCTCCGGTCGATGGGGCACATTGTTCTCTGGGCTGTGGAGCTCACGCCAGGAATCCTCCGGGGCCGGCGATACCCCTGCACCGTCCGAAGCGCGTCGGCGTTCGGTGTCGGCCTATGCAAACCAGCCTCGACGGAATCCGCCCACACTGGCACAAATGGTCAGAGAGGCAGCGGAGGAGCCCTTGGCACCGGCAGCCCCAGCTACTACGAGCGGTAACATCTCCATTCCTCCAGCCTCGAACAGTCATATTGCCTTTGAAGAGGACACGCCGGATTTATCGTCGACTACAGATCAAACTCGGGCGTCCTCCTTGAAGATGGCTGTTCGTGGAGACGATGGGGTCGTGGATGTGGATTTGCCGTTGCCGGGTTTCCTGTCTCTTTCGTCGTCGGGAGACTCGACCCTGGCATCGCCGAAGAAGACGCGCACTTCGGTGACTAGTATGGATGCGATGGCGTCGACGCAGAGTAGTGTGTCTGGGTTCCACGGCAGCGTCAAGGAGAACGATGGACCCAATACCAATGTGGCAGGCTGGCTGCGCACCTTCCATGACGACTTTCTCCTGCAGGCGGTGAGACCATCTGCTTCGCTGGAAGCTGAAATCAAGCGCGCGATGCAAGCCGAGCCTACGCCCAGCCAAGCCTTGTGTCTCAACGCCGATGGCTCGGAACGGTGGGTGGATGTTGCGACCACGGTGATTGCGGACGTTCGGAATTTCAGCGTGAAGCGACTGCGTCTCCGACGTAAACTGGTGGGGCACGGGTCGTCGCGCAAGACGTATACTCCGTCGGTTCCTTCGCAGCCCTGCACTCCGCGGTACGTGGCCAACGGATCGGCCTCGGCGTCGCAGCTGACCGGCTTCTTTTCGCATGCGACCGGGTCGAGCAAGACATCGAATACTTCCTCTCTGGAAGACTTTTACCCGAGGGAAGTCGAGGAACGCTTTGTGGAAGAGTCTGTCATGGATCTGGATGGCACGCTGGTTGACGCCCTCGAACGGGTGCTCGCGCAGAGTGGGCCGTCTTCTCTGGTGCACTCTCGGGCGCCGTCGCCGTCGCGCGGGCGGCGAGGGGAGGACAAGCAGTCGTCAGATTCGTCGGCCACGATGCGCGAAGAGATGCGACCGGTGGAAGTTCCTCGCACGGAGTGCCGCAAGCTGGTGCTGGGCGCGCTGGAGGAAGTGGTGCGCAGCGTGACGGCGGAGCATTGCCGCGAGGATGTCGACGGGGAGCTGGGGCTGGCGGATCGAGAGCGCAAGCGTACGTTGGCGGGGACGGACAACACGCTGCGCGAGGGGGTGCGTAAATGGCTTCTGGATGTAGAGGAGGCGTGGTAGGAGATTCTTCTCTTTGATGCTTCTATGCTTCTGATGTGTTAACATGATACCCATGTTGAGTCTCTACTCGACGCCCTTGCATACATGATGCAGCTGAATTGTACCGAGTCTTATGTGCGGAGTCCCCCAGTGAATGAATTGTAATCTTCTGATTTCATCCAAATTCTGATCGATATCTCCATCAGCCCATCGGAGAAGAGGGGCAGTGATTGGTGGACAAATGCAATCAAGGATAAATGCAGGGTCAATTTAGCCAAATCGGCTGCTCTCAGCGCCTCCTTCGGTCTTCCGGCCCGTACAGCTGACTACTTGGGAGTTGATTCACCCGGTGTATCTGATGCTGCGGGGGTACCTTGTCTTGCCATGAAGTGCCCATGATTCTTTCAGTCTGCCTGTACTTAAACTGGAGGGGAAGTGCAATGAATTGGCCTCTTCCCCTCCCCCTCCATGATTGAGCATCAGCGTGAAGCTCCCCAGCCAGCTTGACTCTCTCTCTCTCTTTCTCTCTGTGTGTCTTCTGAGAACTCATTCACAATAACTCCAACTCACTCACCATGAAATTCACCGAAGGAATGTGGCGGATCCGAGTAAGTCATTCCCTATCTGTACTGCACAAACTCCGAGTAACGGTAAACTAACGGGTTGGCTGGGTCTTTTAGGAGGGGATTCGAATCGACTGGATGAATAATGTCGAGCGATTGCGCATTGAGAATGAGACAGTCGATTTGTTGTTGAATAAATTCCAGCGGCATCGGGGTGATACATTGAATTCGGGTGGGTTCAGTTCTTCTCTCTTTGCGTGTGCTGGGGATGAGGGGGGGGGGGATGTGAGCAGGAGTAGCACTGGCTAACGACTCTCGGGTACGCTTAATATATAGCTACGATTTCGGCACAAGTCACCTCGCCTTTGGAGGGGATTGTGGGAGTGAAGCTTGTTCATTGGTTTGTTCCCCCCTCTTCCATCCCAGAAGCCATACAGAACAATGTTTCATGCTAACCACTTATCCCCAGGGCCGGCGGCATCGGCAAAGGCCCACACTACGAACTCGCCCACTCCACCGGCCATGTGCAGATCCAGCACCACGATAACAAAGCCCTGCACTACACGAGCGGCGGCCTCAACCTAGCCGTGACGACCGCCCCCAACGAACTCGACTTTGTATTCTCCACCCCCGCCCCGACCTCCAAAAAACTCACCGGCCACTCCTGGCGCTCCATCGGCTACATCGGCGATCAAACCACCGACAAATCCCGCTGGGACGACGGCATCTTCTTCGAGCGGCAGGGGTACATGCTCGCCGCGCTGGACCTGGGGGTCGGCGAGAAGCTGTACGGGCTGGGCGAGCGGTTCGGCCCCTTCGTGAAGAATGGGCAGACGGTGGACATCTGGAACGAGGACGGCGGCACCTCCTCCGAGCTGGCGTACAAGAACATCCCCTTCTATCTGAGCAGTAATGGCTACGGGGTGTTTGTCAACCACCCGGGCAAGGTCAGTTTGGAGCTGCAGTCGGAGCGCACGACGCGGGTGAATATCTCCGTGCCCGGGGAGGAGCTGGAGTATTTTGTGATTTATGGGGGTACGCCAAAGGAGATCCTCGAGCGGTATACTGCGTTGACGGGGAGGCCGAGTTTGGTGCCGGCTTGGAGTTATAATCTGTGGTTGACGACGAGTATGTCTTTTTCTGGTTTCTGTGCGGTTGGATAAGTGCTGATTTGGGGGGGTGGCGGGGGTTATAGGCTTCACGACCAACTACGACGAGCAAACCGTCACCGGCTTCCTGGATGGATTCCGGGACCGCGACATCCCCCTCGGCGTGTTCCACTTTGACTGCTTCTGGATGAAGTCGTATCAGTGGTGCGACTTTGAGTTCGACTCGGCCATGTTCCCGGACGCCGCGGGGTATATCAAGCGCTTGAAGGAACGGGGCCTGCGGATTAGTGTGTGGCTGAACCCGTATGTCGGACAGGCGTCGCCCTTGTTCCAGGAGGGTAAAGAGAAGGGGTATTTCATCAAGGTAGGTGTAGGCAGGCTGGCCTCCAGCCCCATATTTTTCCCCCAGACATCTCCCACTCAACACATCAAATCAAATCCAACAAAACCAAACGAAACTAACCCAATCCCTCTCCGTCGCAGCGAACCGACGGCACCGTCTGGCAATGGGACTACTGGCAAGCCGGCATGGCGATTGTCGACTTCACCAACCCGGCGGCATGCGAGTGGTTCGCGCACCACCTGCGCCGCCTGCTGGCGCTCGGGGTGGACAGCTTCAAAACCGACTTCGGCGAACGCATCCCCTACCGCCACGTCCGCTACTTTGATGCCAGCGTCGACCCCGCGCGCATGCACAACTACTACACCCTCCTCTTCAACCAACTCTGCTACACCACCCTCGCCGCCCACCACCCGGAGGCCGCCACCAACCCCGACTCCAACGCCGTCCTCTTCGCCCGCTCCACCGCCGCCGGCGGCCAGCGATTCCCCATCCACTGGGGCGGCGACTGCGAATCCACCTACGAAGCCATGGCCGAGTCCCTGCGCGGCTGCCTCTCGCTGGGCCTCTCCGGCTTCATCTTCTGGGCCTCCGACATCGGCGGCTTCGAGGGCACCCCGCCCCCGGACGTCTACAAACGCTGGGTGCAGTTCGGCTTGCTGTCCACCCACTCCCGCTTGCATGGGAGCCACTCCTTCCGCGTCCCCTGGATCTACGGCGAGGATTGCTCCCAGGTCCTGCGCGCGTGCGTCAAGCGCAAGATCGCCCTCACCCCGTATCTGCTCGCCATGGCCTTGCACGGCCATCGGCGGGGGACCCCCGTGATGCGTCCGCTGTTGCTGGAGTTTCCCCGCGATAGGACTGTTTGGACGGTCGATACCCAGTTCATGCTCGGCGATGCCTTGTTGGTGGCCCCGGTTTTTAGTGAGAGTGGGGTCGTGGAGTTTTACGTTCCCCGAACGGACGCGGACGCGGACGCGGACGCTGACGCTTCGCCCTCCGGTGATGCAAGGGCGGGGAAATGGGTCAGTTGGTTCGATCACACCAAAACTTACGAGGAAGGGCGCTGGTATACCGAGACCCACGGGTTTGATACCCTGCCGCTGCTGATCCGACCGGGGGCCGTCGTCCCGGTGAATTTCAAATTGCAGAGGCCCGAGGATGATCCGCTGGATGGGTTGGAGGTGTTGGTTAATGGTGCCATCCCAACTGAAGGGGTGGAGGTGGAGGTGGTGGATCCGGTGAGGACGCATGAGGTGTTGCGGGTTGTAAAGTTGGCAGCGGAGGGTGGGGAGGTGAGGGCGGATGTTGAGGGGGTTCGCGTGCAGGTTGTTCGGTGAGATGAGTAGTTTCTGGAGGAGGAAACCAAAAGATGAGGGACGGAGTAGTCTCTGCTACATCGGTATAGGATGAGGAGTTGGTAGTAGTGCAGAGCTGGATTATTATGTACGGGCTGGCCAGACAGTCCCCTTCGACTGCAGTGGCCCCTGGCTGCCCTTCCAGTTGTTATGTTATGTTATTAAGTCCAAAAATACTACACACAGGGTATCAACATACACGAACGAACTCAAAAACCCGTACATCAAAGACCATGGACCGGTCGTTACATCACATCAAAGGCCTCAAACTCCCACTCCGCGGACTCCCCCTCACCAAAACACTCCCCTCATCCCGCGACCGCGCCCGCGCCTCCGTCGACGACGCGGTCAACACAGCCGCACTCGAATGGATCCGCTGCGGCAACCCCGGCGGCAGCGGATGCCCCACCACGCTATCCGGCAGCTCGAGCGAGGGGATATCCGTCATCTTGGTGGGCGGCACCGAGGGGGTCACGCGCGTCGAGACGGGCCGCGCATGCGACTCCTGGTAGAATTGCTGCAGACGGATGGGATCATTACAAAACTCCACGATGCCGTTCAAGATGTGCTCGGGCGCGCGGTAGAGATTCGAGGAGTCGATGTTAGGATGTTGGAGGTGGTTCGCCGGGCCGGTGTTTGTGTTAGTGGAGGTGGTGGTGGAGGAGGAGGAGGAGGGGTCTTTGGGAGCCGGGGTGGTGGGGTAGGTGCTGCCTGTGTTGATAGTGATGTCGTGGATAGGGCGGACCATCGGGGACAGACGCGGGGAGGCAGCGCGCTCGGCGGCGACGGGGTCGTAGGTGCCGGCGCGCGCGCGGAACTGCTCGGCGCGCTCGATGCGCTCCAGACGGGGCACGTCGCGGCTGGCGGTGCTGCGCGTGCTCACCAGGCGGTTCGCCAGGAACAAAAACTCGCCCTCGTCGGTGATCTGCGCCAGCAGACTGCCCGAGCGGTGGATGAACTGCGGGTAGCGGTAGTCCGGGATGCCCCACGAGTAGGAGACCTCGACGTCCGCGGGAAACGCCGACCGGGCCTCGAAGTCGAGCACGAAGTCGAACTTGCGCAGCAGCAGCGCTTTCTGGAAGTAGAGCGGGTCCGGGGTGAGGTTCTGCACCGAGACGGAGGCGGACGGGTTGGGGTTATAAGGCACCGGCACCGGACCGCGCGGCGGAGGGACCTTGAAGTGGACGCGGAAGGGCTTGCGGAAGGGCTGCGTCTGGTCGATCGCACACACCTCGGCGATGGGCACCTGCACCAGTTTCAGGCCGAACTTCTCCGCCGTCGCCGCCCACGACAGCACCGTGTCTTCGATCAGCTTGGCCGTCGTCCCCATCCAGCTCAATTCGATGTGGAAGCAGTTGTCCGGGTTGTGCAGGCGGTCGTAGTGGAGATCAATGACCTCGGGCCGGTTCGATCGTCGACGCGGGTCCACGTCGTACTGCATCTTCTTTGACAGCATGATCGTCGCCTTGTTCTTCGCCTTGGACGGTGTGTTGGGCACCGGAGGCATGGGCTCGTCCACACTCTCCGACCTCGACTCGGAGCGGGATTCGGAGCGGGACTCCGCGCGAGAATGATTGCTCGCGTGGTCGGCGGCAGAAGTCGAAGGAGTCGCCCTGTCCGGTCGCATCTGAGGGAACCAGCCGCCGCGAGACTCCGGGCGATGCGGGCGATATTCGCTCGACAGCTGATAAAAGTAGTTCCCGTCGCGGAAATTGTGCCGCCGTTCGACGTGATGGAACAGTCCGTGTTTCAGCAGTTCGTTGCCAAACTCCACTGCTTCTTCCCGCGTGTCGATGTCCCGGAAGGTCTGAATGAGCCAGGTCGTGAGCTCGAACCCGATGAAGCAGCTGTAGTGCAGACGCCAGTGCCACCGTCGATCCTCCATCCGTATACCCTTCTCGCCTTGAATGGCCTGCGCCAGCGTGGACAGTGTGATGCTGGAGCGCTCAAACTGCTCGGACTCGGGCAACAACTGGGCAGGCGCGCTCTCGAAGCTGGGGTCGGTCAATTGCATCCGATCCAGCTCTGCGGCCACCACCTCCGATGAATTCTGTGTATTGTAGATGATGTTGAGCGGGTTCTCTGCTTTCTTGCCATTGGAAGCATTGAACAGTTTCTCCTCCGGGGGAATGTACTTGTGGCGTTGCCAGATCCGCGTCAGCTGGTTGATACCCAGCAGATGGATCTCCTCCTCGTTATCTTCGTTGAAAGTCTGAATGTGACGACGGGAACTGACATGCAAGTGCATCGGGATCAACACGTAACGCACGCGCCAGAAGTGGAGCTGCTGCGACGGGTTGAAGAGATAATCTCGATGCCCGGCCACGTAGTTGTCCGCGTAGTTCCAGTTATACTCCTCGAGCTTCGAATCGAGCCGGACGTTCTTCGTCTCGTACTGGGGGCTTAAGATCGTCCGCATCGCCGGTGAGTACATGCTGAAGTCGTCCGTCTGCTCCGAGGCGAGAATGGAGGAGTTGCGATGAGTATACCGCGTCACTTCAATCTCCGCGCCTTCCACACAAATCAGTCGATGAATCGTGCTGCCTTTGGAGAGAAACACAATAGCACCGCCTCTCTCCAGCGCAGCCGTGTCAAACACATTAGGTGATTCAAGCGCGTACTGTCCAGACGCTTCAACAACAGCCTTCCCAACTACGATCTGGAAGCCGTGTGAAAGACGCAAGGAAATCATCTCTCGGAGAAGCACGCCCCTGGTCTTCGGAGCTTCGATACCTTCCGCATCTTCATTCGGGAAGACGCGATACGGGGTCTGGAAGTAGTCCGAGGTCAGCTCGCTTGCGGTGGGGAATTCTTCCGTGGTCAAAGGCAGAATAGCAGGGGACTTCAAGCTCTTCCATTTGACGACAGCCACATGAGGAGGCCGGGGATAGGCATGCTGCCAGCGCCCAAACCAGCTGGTGTCTCGCATGACTTCCTTCGAGGTGTTGCACGGGTTGATGGAGCGGACCCAGGGAGCCAACGCCGAGTTGTGCGGGCTCTTTGACGAAGCATCGCGTAAGCCCCCGTTCATCGTCACTGTCACTCGAGGATTCGACCTCCGAACCCGATTCTCATGGCGCGAATCATCGATGATTGGAATCTCCGTTGTCGTGGTCGAGTAAGATTCTGGGACCACTGAACGATCCGGTTGGTCCGCGTCCTCGGACGGTTGCTTCTGGGGAACCCTAATCGAAATTGGTTTCGTTGGGGTAGCTGTGGAACCTTGCACAGACTTTTGCGGCGTGTTCGAAGCGCTAGACGTGGTAGATGATTCGATCACGGTTCTCGTAGATGCGGAGTCGGACGTGCTCAAGGATTCAACGCTCCTCGAGTCGGTCAGCATCCCAGACAATTTTTTAACATTCTGCGTCGGCTGGCCTCTGACATGCTCCACATTGACTTCGGTACTTGCCTGCGCCCGTGGTGCGATGGAGCTTAGACCCCGAAGAGCAAAACTGATTGTTCGCGAGATGCGAGGCACTCCCGTGGCAGATGTTGGCTTGAGCGCTGGCTTTTGGGCCGATGGAGCCTGTGTCGAAACCGGACTCTTCTGCACGGACAGCGATGGCTCGATCTTGCGAGGCACAGAGCTAACAGAATGTGTGCGCCCATTGGCATTGTTCTCGTTCTCGCGCAAGCGGGTTACAGATCGAGCGGAAAGCCGTTCGTGGGCATTCGAGACCTGCACTTCGGGTTCGCTGGTCCGCTTTTTCTTCGCGGACCTACGAGGCTGCCGGCGCTTCGGTAAAGCATGGAACACGCCATCGTCATAGCTATCCATCCAGGTCAGGACCGAGTTCGACGACTTCTGCGTTTTCGCTAGGATGGCATCCTTAGGATGAGACATGTTCTGGAGGAAGGGCTCCGGTCGCAGACTGTCACTGAGTTGATATCTGAATGGGGAGTTGCGCTTCAAGGGCGTTTTCGCAGGACTGATACTCGAAGGGCTCAGACCGGTCGCTGGACTAGCACCCCGGGTAACGCCTTGTCCTTCGAGCAAATAAGGGATGGAAATGTTGGACTGCTCGCTTTCCATAACACCCATCATCTGAATCTCATACATGCGCACACGAGGCACAAACAGCTTCGATTGTTTGGTGACGGTGAAAGGAATCGGCGCGTTCAGGTCTTTTTTGAGGATCCGCCGAGCCTCTCGGTATGTCTCAGGGTTCCAGTACGAAATATCAAGCCAGTGGGGAATTCCGTAATTCCACTTCGTCGAGTGGGAAGACCATGGCTGCTGATCACCCAACCCAGGATACGAGCTATGCATGACCGTCTTTGGAGAAAGGTGAGAGGTGCGGCTAGCAAAGCTTGCGAAGGAAGGACGAGCCTCCGGAGAATAGCCTCCATTCCGAATGTCCCCATACGAGGCCGTTTGGGGTCGCTTCACCGGCTCGCGGTATTTAAACAAAGGCACCGAGTGCAGAGGCATGGGGCTTAGACAGACCAGGTCAATTGCAATTCCGCGGTTGGTGAGAGCCTCCGTGGTCGACGCCAGCGACTCGTAGGAGACCTCAAACACGCCGCTTCCCGGTGTAATCACGATAATCGAAGTCCCCGTGTGAAGCATGTCCCGATCGATGTGATCATACGCTAGATGAGAGGAAGCAAGGTGAATCGCTTCCAGGATATTGCCGCGCAGCGCAGTACTGGGTCGTCCTGCAATGATTGCAGACTGGGCAGGTTGGGCCTTAGCGTCCCCCCCGCTGCTATCAATCGTGGGCGTTGGTGCCTCTTCTGGAGGCTTCAGAATGGACACATCTCTCAAGAAGGTCCTAAAGTCCTTTTTTAGCTCATCTAAGATGGCAGTCCAGTGACCACTAGCCATATCATTGACAACCACTCGGTAGAAATCCCTGGTCGGAGCCGCGTTGGTCGTAAAGTCACTCTTCCAGCTGTCCAGATTGAGGTTGGACGAGGGCCCAATCGCCGTCGCATCATACTCCACGCGCGTGAACAGCACGATGGTGACCAGATGCCTGGCGTCCGAATTGGCCCACCGCTTGAAGAGTTCCGGAAGAAAGCCGTTGATGACCCGGCTGAACAGGATATCGCCCGTGCCTTCCGAGTCGAAGTCCCACATCTCCCGCGACATCTGGATGAAGAGGACATACTTGGCCGACTCGCTGCGGAAGACAGGGATAGTCTGCGGAGAGAAAAAGCCTGAGAGGACCTTCTTGCCGCGGATGAAGATATTCTTTACAGTCGCCTTGATACTACCCATGAACACGATCTTCTGGCCCTTGTAGACGATCTTATCCGCCAACTCGGACATGACAAGGCGCCACATGTCCGAGCGGACCAGGTACTGATCACGGAAGGAGATGTCTACATGGGATGCAGAGCACTGCGCACGCTCCACGATCGAGATATGCACAGTAGTCCGGTTCTTAAAGCCAAAGATATTGGCGACGGCACTGGTAACAGAGAGGTCGAGCTTCGGATGCCGTGCTTTGATGTCCTGTGGCAGCGGTTTGACGACAAAGAGACATCGGCCCTGCAAGGGGGTCTTGAACTTGGACATAGGATCCGAGTGAAGCGTCGGATTGGGCTCAACGTGGGAGTCCCGTAAGGATCGAACTCCAAGATTCGTCTTGAACGAATGCGCTGCATCGCCGCTGAATCGGACGGGTAGAATCTCAATCACATCACCGATCTGTACCCCAGTGTCGCTAAAGGCGGCCTGGTTGAACAGGATCTCTTCCTTGGAGAAGGTCTCATCGTGAACCCAGAGGGAGCATTGCCGACGATCGAGGCCCGTGGAGAGCAAACGGATTGTCCTGTCATCTGGAGTGGACGATTGCTGCTCGGGAGGAACCGCATGAGGGACCTCCAACGACCGTGCGGTGGAAAGGGTCTCTATACTGGCGGCGCTCACCTGTCTCAGATGCGAGCGCTTCAAGGGTCCTCGCAAAGACATGGTCCAAACGGTTATCGTTGCATCTTTCAAGATTGATTGGGTCACAATCGATCGGGGGGGGGGGGGGGGGGCAACGAGTCTTAGTGGCCGCCTCGGGTTTTGGGGGAGTGGGCTGATATTTTTCTCAATTTGGGGAGATCAATAAGATCGATGATACCAGTACAGTAGATAAGTTAAGTTAGATGAATCTGTACCGAGTCGGTGGACTCGATGGGGACCAAAACCAAGCCTGGTGGTTTGACCGTCTGACATTCCCGCGTGGCTGCATCAAGCAGGCGGTCAGCAGCCACCCGGCCCTGGCTGTGTCAGCTGACCATCACACAATCAGGAATCGGAAATTGATGCCCCAGGCAGCAATATCAGATCGGCACCGCCGTCAAACAACAGGCGCGAGGATTCATCATGATGTCTGCTTGTTTATCATTGCCTTATCTCCCCTATGCTACCACCCTGGACACCCCCACCGTTTCAACGATGAGAGAGTGTGATGATACGATCACTTCGACCACTTCCGATGAATGTCAGTGATTGGACTGACTGGGATCCATCCCAGCTTATCAGGGTATGGCACGATTGTATCCTTGATACGCTTCAGGACCGCAAGTTTTGCCCAATGCAGTAATGTACCGAGAGAGGGGGTGGGCCGTCAAGCAGCACCAAACCCGCCCAATTCATCCAAGTGTGAATTTCCACACCTGGGATAACTAACCCCCTGGGGAGACAGGCTGAGATCGAACTTTGGAAGGACGCCATTGCGGCAGGAGCCGGAACCGTGCCCAGTGTGGCAAATTCGCATCTTACGGAGTACGCATTCCAGAATCTCGCTTACAGCCCAATGGCGGATTTTTGCTATAACGGCCTCAACCACCAATAGCTGCAACTACTTCAATGGGGCTGTGGACGACTTGCAAACTTTTTTTCTTCGCAAGCATCATCTTCAAATAGAGTAGACTCCTTCCTTTTCAGTCGACTCTCGCGGTCGACCCGGGCAATCCCCCGACCAGGGCGGGTTCGAGACTCTCGGAATCTCAGTGTCGGTGGTGGAAGAGTTTTAAGATGGCAGGCGATGGGAGGATGATGACCCTAAAATAGGTTCTGCACGAGACAGGGGATCACTAGTGGTTCTACCTTCAAACAACACAGATGCAGGCAATGACCTCGCGAACATGACTGTGATGAGCTGACTGGTGCGGTCCAGTTTCCGACGCATCAACCCAATCTCTTATCCCTCGACTTCGAGGGAAGCAGGTCAATTGTGAGGTTGTTCTGTGAGCTTCTTTCTATATGCCCGTAATTGCTTCGATGCTATGACGCCTGTAGTCAGCCAGGTACAAACCCGCCAGTAGCTACCGGATGGGGATTAGAGCCAATTTTTCTGTCTCTGGGAGGGGAGGAACAGTGGGCTAGACGGAAATGCAATCCTGGGTTCCAGGCTGAAGAACTTCGGCAACGGAATAACCAGGCAGGAAGGATCTAGCGCTGCCCTCGTCGAGGTGCGGTATCACTCAGATTCATCCATCGGGTGATCCACAACCGATGCATATCAACTTCTTACCAGAGAGCATGAAGGGAGTTGATTTGTACGAATCGCTATTCGTTGACACAAGCTTGCCTTTCTGCAATTCTGCTGTCAACCCCAAAGTTTCACTCATCAGGTCAGGGCCGTGGGCCTGGACTCATCTCGGGATCATATTAATACTTCCGAGCGATCGCCGATTGCTCAAACAACTGATGACCACAAGATAGTGTACAATGAACCAGATTTGACTCCCAAGGCGTGGATCCAGCAAGACCTGGTACTCAGTACTAGCATGTAGGAATTCCGGTCCAGGGCCGACGTCGGCTGCAACCGTGGATCAGCCACGGTGCGAACTGCGCATTCTCCCAATGGCGACGACGGACGAGCAGCCCAAAAGTAATCTAGTCTTCAATTAACTATCCCACTAGAATGGGCTTTCCGCTGCCACGGATCTGAGTGCCAGCGAATGGAATGACGTAAATTGGGCAAATCCAGGCCCACCATTGGACCGGAAGCCAGGTAATAATGCATCGAATTATCCATGCAGGCGCTGCCCCCCGTGCATTGGGCCTGAGCGACACATCTCCGCGGGGATTGTCGTAGGGTACTCCGTACGTGATGTGGGTTTTCTGGCTCCCGTCTTTCAACGCGAAATCCTCAGGAAAAGGCTTCCGCGAGTCTTTACGGGAATGCGATTCGGCAGGACTCAGACGGGTGCTAACTGACAGTATTCATTAGCAACCAGGCCACACAAGGGCCACTTTACCAGATGGAGGCTAGCAGGCATAACCTAGCAAGGACGGGACCCGGAAATTGAGCGATCATTACTGGATAATAATCCATCCAGCACCCAATCCAAGGGATAGACTTGAATCGTGGGGCACAATGATCGACCAAGAATGAGAGCTTAGAAGACAGACTGCTTAGCATAGGCCAACAATCCACATGGCTGGGTTCAGCTGAAACCGCACCCCCACTGCTGGATTGTATCAAGGGATGGTTGAAGCATCCTGCCTTAGGCTGTGACTGATACCTAATTACTGTACTCTTGAATAGGATGTCAGAGGCTTCTTTAGTGAGTATTTGCTTTCTGCTCAGATGATAAAGAAGGAACCGAAAACCCAGTCGGGCAGATTTGGTTGCCTTACGAACCATAGATACCAAGCACATCCCGTTGGCTCAAAAAGCGCACCGTCTATTTGCACTCACGGCCCCGGGAACACATCCAAAGGTTCAGACTCAGATCAACTGACATCGTGGCACCGTTTTCCTTTCTAAAAAGGGGGATTTGTAGGTAGGGGTGTAATTGAATCAGCTAAGAAAATTGTAGACCCGTTGTAATGCCGAAACCGCAGGACCAACAGCGCATGTGCCATGTGGGGAATGAAGTCTTTCTAGAGCGATCGGTTTTGTCATGGCGCACTAAGATGGAGACGGCGCTAGTGGCTACTGGCGAAGTTGGTCTTTACGAGCGGACTTTTGTAGCAGCCAAGCCGACGATAGGGTCGCTCGGTCAGTTTCGATCTAAAATCAGCAGCGGTTCCGACTTGATCAGCAGTGGTCTCGACTCGAGTTCAGGGACATGCTCGGAAATCAGTTCTCGGCACACAAGCCAAGCTCGTTTAGAAGATGGATCTTCCAAAGACATCTCCGCCAGCCACCGACTTGACTTCTCAACCCGTTCAAGTACCTTGTGATACTCGGCACTTCCTGGCTTTCTAAGAAGCAACAATGCATGAAGTAAAACCGTAGTTGACTGCATCAGGTAATGCAATAGGTACCACCAAGGGGAGATCCGGTGGACCCAATCAAGGTCAGGGGAATCAGGCAGAAGATCGAGCATTTGATTTGCCGACTCCACGCACACCTCTGCCATCATTTCACAAAGGGTCCCCGGAAGTTGCTCATCCCCGTCGACTGTTTGGGAGAGTTGATTTAAGCAAGGCTGCGTTATCAGCATCTTGGCACTATACAAGTGAAATGCCAAATTTGTTCGTTCTCTCTCAAATTCTTCGCTTCCCTGTGACGGATGAAACGCCGCTGGGAGCCTTGCAAGCCAATCATCCACCCTGCGGTTGAGCATAGAAATAGTTCCTGAGGTCGGGGGAAATAACTTGCGAGCAGCACCCGGAGCATACAAAACCTCAACAGATTCATGCATAATAGTGGCAAGGTCGACGATGTATAAGAAAAATAGCGCAGGACTGGGCATTGCGAGCAGGGACCTGACAATCCCAGCCACATTCTGGTCGCTCTTGTTCCCATCCTTGGGCGCCTGGACGCCGAGGGTTTCGGGTGAAACAGTGTCGTCAGCACTGTGTGGGTTTTCCGAACAGAGACTTCTCACGAGATTGTGTCGAACTTCAGGTTGGGCGACCAATTGCTCCTTGTCGTCAAGCTCCTCTTCAGTAAACGGCAACGGCAGTGGGGTTGAGCAGAAATCATCGTTGATACTAGGCGGGCGACCAGTGATAACACATAGCGAGCAATCGAGCAAGTAAAGCGACCACCAGACATAATACTTTGTTTCTTTCATGACGCTCCTGATATCACTCCCGTTTCGAAGGTGAAAGCCCAGTGTTACAGCCGAACGGATGGCGTGGCCACAAACTTTCCAGGATCTGGAACAAAAACGAGATTAGACGACGAATTGCACGCTGACGAGCTTCATGAAATAAACGGGAAGCATGAGAAATCAGAAGAATATTTAGAGAGGCGAATAAACAATGAAAATAAGTTCAAGGGGATTTGATACCTGTTCATCTGTCCTATGGACATGAGGTAGAAGGACATTAATCCTTCCACCTGCACCTGTTGCGCATCAGGATGTTCTAACAGCACCGTTCCCATTATGCCGAGTTTCTGTGCTCGTGCAAAATAAACAACACTGTCATCGAGAGATCCTTCGGCATTTATGGACAGGCGATAGGTGTATTTAGCGGCAATCGCAAAGATCAGATTGAGCATAGCAAGCCACTTCCTTCCCGGCCCGACGCCTGGCCCAACAGGAGAACTGTAGTAAAGTGTATTTTGTCTCATGATAAAGGATTTGCGAACGATTGGAAAGGATGCATGCACGACTTTGAAGTAGGTGTCCAGGAGCTGCTTCGCGACTTCAAAAGGGGGCCGTTGAAGAGGGTCCACATCTTTGACGAGAGGAATCTCTGAATCATCCAAGTAAAAGCTTACGGATGCAATAGAGTCACCGTTTGAGTTTTCTGTGTCGGGGTCCGAACGCCGAAGGAATCGCTTTAATCTGTACAGCCATGCAATTTCGGAGTGCTCACCGATAAATCCCATGGCTTGTCGGTCAAAGTCCTCATCAATGCAGTCCAGGGCTCCGATAGAGAGGGCTGGGGTCACGCTAGGTTCTGCAACGCCATCCGTGACCGTCGCTGTTATCTCCAGAGACAGATCCTCATCATCAAAAGTTTGCTGTATCTATCCCTTGTCAATACAGGTCTACCTTTATGTCTGAACGAGAAAAAGAAAAGCCAAGTAAACAGAAAGAAGAGCAGAATTAGCCTTGCAAATATCGCAATAAGAAGGATCTTACTTCAAACATAAATTGCTGGGCTTGCCTCGCCGTGTCCGAGTCCAGCTTGGGCAACAGGCGCCGGAAATAGCCATGATATGCCCTGAGCTGGCTTGTCAGGTCGTTGATCTTCCTGACGATGACACACTTAGAGACTTCAAACACGACTATGCTAGTTTCAAAAACTCACTTGGCCACCTTCTCCCGTTTCCTGTCTCCGTAGGAGCAGGGGATGCCCGCCTCCTCGCACCGTTGACACGTCGGGCGGTGACCGCTACATTTGGCCTTCTGTTCACGACAATTCTCGCAAGCTCGACTCACGCGTCCACTAGTGGTCCAGGCAGCTGAAGTGACCCTGGATATACGTATCTTTCCAGAGGCATCGTATTGCAGACCCTGTGAGCCAGCCGATGAGTTTTCAGAAAAGCCGGAAAACACCTGTTCATAGGGGCCGGGGCCGGCAAACGGTTGTGGTGGGTGCAGCGATGCGCCCAAACCACTAGAATTGGAATCGTTGTCCAGCACTCCTGATGACGAAGATGAAGTTTGAGAAGGATAAGGCAGGTGAGGGGGACGGATGTTGTCGCTCATGGTCAAGGACGAGACGGGGGAGATCCCACCACGGGCCCTTCGTCTCGGCCCTCACAGCAGCACAGCCCGACAGCCCAGCGACTTAGCAGCTTTGGCGGTAACAATGACTAGTGCAACAAGCGGCCCAACAGATTCGAAGTATAAAAACCGAGCGAGTATAGACCAAGGGCAAATAATATGGACGGGGCTGTTTTGGGGAGGTGCAACAGCGTCTGGAAAGAAGCACTGGTCTCTTGTTGGTCGGCGGAGACCCAGAACCAGCCAAGATGAAGTGTGGTAGGCTGGAGACGACTGCCGGGTGGGCGACTTGCCACAGTTGGGCGGAAATCGGCTCGCGCCTCCCGAAGACCATTCATTGTTTAGCACCCATAACCAAGGGTTGTATAATGGAGAGTACCCCCAAATCTCTCTCCATCATTGTAGGCCGCAAATCAATCAGAATTAGACGATCAAAAAGAAAACGAAATCCATGTCTAGAACAATATTCGAGTGGGGTCGCACGTCGGACATCCGCGGAGGTGGGTTATTATTAAGAGGGGGGGTCAGATCAGATGGCCTTCAAAGGTCGTCTCAAATGGTGAACACTTGAGCGTTTTAGGAAGGAAAAAGTCGGTCTCTCCTTGATCTCGGAATCTAATCCCTTCGTCTCCTTTTGGACTCCTGGATTTGCGGTCCATCTTTGCACCAACAACAGTCAGGTCGGATGTGGAAGCGAGTGTTTATCCTGCAGAGGGGCGGGCTCGCTCCAATTACGCCACGATTGAAGAATTGCCCGCTGTCTCGTGTTGCAAATCCGCCTCAGTGTTTGCTGGAGGATGCTAAACATCTTCGAGGCTAGACTCGGTCGATGGGATTTCCAACGCCACCTGTACCCACCGGCATCAGGCACCATTCTCCCAAGCCATTTTGACGTTCGACGGGGGGTGGCGAGGATAACAGCCAGCAAAAGGTCCCGTTGGACATCAGTCAATCTCGTGGCGAACAGGTCAACAAGGGGCACTCGAGAGCGATAACCACCATCCCAACCAAGACACGCTGGGGCAATGAAGGCAGACTCTGCATACAGACCGTTGTTGTTGTGAAAGACGATGGAATCGATGGAATCGATGGTGTAGCTTGGCAGTCCTCAAGGAATAGGATGTCGACGGCCTCGGGATAGCAATGCTCGTTCTGTCGGGGTCTTTCTGCTCGAGGTGAGCAGGTCATAGCAGGATAGCCCCCCGGTCGCTCACTGGTATAACTTTTCCTTGTTCTTCATCTCCACTTCAGTCACTTAGATGTTTTGCTCGCATCACAACCCGGTGCTCTGGGTACTAACTCGTCTCATCAGTCACGCTGAGCAGTGGAAAAGAGTCAGTGCAGCCACATTAGTCCCGTTACAACACGTCTACTCCCCTTCCATGTGCGAAAGTCGAGACCTGAATGAGCTTCAATACCTTATGCTGGTGGTCGCCTTCCTCGAGCCGAATGTCAACCGATAGTCCAACTGACCTTGACCCGGTCATCGCTCTGTGACAGAGCAGACGCACCACTACCTCGTTCGCGTAAATATACAACTGGATGAGTCGATCCCCAAGAGTCATGCTTCGGATGCCTGCTTCCTCGAGACATACCAGCATATAGGCCTGCCATACACTTCACCGGGCGGTGTTGTCGGAGCACGGCATGTCTTTTGGGGCTTGCCAGGGCTCATCTCATCGCATGCTTGGCATATTCTAGCAGACCACTAGTTGAGTGGATGCTGACACGTATGGGTGATGGACAGGACAAGGATACCCGGCATAGCCCAGAAGACTATCGCATAACACCTTGGCGTTTGTGCAAGATGTGACGCTACTGCCAAAGTTCTCGAGTGCTTCCTCCCAATGCAATGTCTGTTCTCAATTATCGGAAGACTCGACAAAGCGTTTCCCACAGCCCCATAATTTGGTTCGACCTTACTCCGTCAATCCTCGAACATTAATGCTGCTTCTGATAACAAGACCAACACCAGCTGAGTGTCCTTGTCGGCCACGGAACATGTGAGTCTAGGGCTTAGATTGTTGCGCAAGGAATCCTAACAACGGGCTGTAGAACAATAGGAGGGATATATGAGAGTTTTGTGAGCGAGGGCCGTGAGATGCGGCGAACTCAAGGTCTAAACAGTCCTGGTGCCGTCGCCCCGTCCTCTCAACCATGGCTCTCGGGAAGGCTCAGGGAGTCTTATGACTTCACACTTCTTCCACCGATCGATGAATTATCACGCATGAACTGTCACCCCGTTTGTTGAGATATGGCCTTGGTTGAACAAATGGTGGTTGGGGGCGATGGTGAACCAGCTGCCCCGCCCGGTCGGTGGGAACTGCCAAATATACTAGCGACTTTGGTCAGCGGTCAAGCGATACAGAAGACATAGGATGTTAGCTTCTTACTCCAGATAACACTGGGCTGCATACCTGAACTTGCTGCTCTTGCCCGAGGCCGCCCAGGAGAAGAAACCGACCCCCCTGAATGTCTCATGCCGTGGTGGGTACAAGTCCGCATCGCACCCCTTTGGTCTCCTGTAGGTAGAACACTCGCATCTAGACGAATCAAAGTCGATGAGAAGGTTCAGATCAGAGTCAAAAGCGTGGAGCAAGCAAGCAAAGCAGCGACAGAAACGAGGAAGATGAGGGGAGGAAACAGAAGACAAAAAGCTTTGGTCTGGGCAGACAAGGAAAGTCTAGATCGCCACCACGATTACTCCCAGTTCAGGCCAGGTCAGGGTCAGCTAGCCACGTTGTGCGCGGGGCGAGATTAAATCGCCTCTCTTCTTGGTATTGAGGCTAAGCACTAGCCACGTGTTGGTCTCTTCAATCCTTTGTGTCTTTTCAAGATGCAATGCATTGGCGACGCATCTGTCTACCTTTCGGTAGGCGCCACCCTACCGTAGATGGAGGGGGAAATGGATTGATCGATGTTGGCGGAAGATTTGACTTGGCGTGGAAAAGAGTTCCGCGGCGACGCCAGACTGAGTGTCCCTGGGTCCACACACCACGTACTCTTAGTCGCGCGCACACCAGGGGCTTGTTCTGCGTCTCTGGTTCTTCCTTCTTCCTGTCTCAGCGCCCGCACTGAGCAGTTGAAGAAGATGGAGGATTGAAGAAACGAAAAAGAATAGGAGAAAAAAAGGGGAGGGCTCCAGTTGGGCCTCCAGGCATCTGAATCGGAGCAAAACAGACAAATCTCTCCCGTGCGATTGGAGGGGGTTATGGTTTGTTGCTGCAATCTCAGTTTCTTTCATCTTCTCCCGGGTGGTTTCGAATATCTCACCGAACCTCTATTGCTCAAGGGTCCACGATCTTCAGGGCCCTTGAAGCTTAGACTCCTTCCTTTCATTTTGTTTCTTCTGAGGATGGGGATCAAATGGTGGTGGGCTTTTCGAAAGGACTGACTACTTTATCCATGCGATCAGGAATCTGAAGGATCTAAAGTGACATTCCCTCTTCCCCCCCCTCTTCCCCACATCAAGAACTGCCTTGGTTTTGTTCCAACAATTCCCGCCGGTAGGCCAAGGGATTTTTCCACTGGCCGAGCATTTATGACCCGGTGATCGGCATAGAGGGTCGGCCGTATCTGCTACAAAACTCACCTCCTCCGTTTACGGGGACCAGTGTAGCGCATGAAGGTAGCCGCGCTCTTGCAGAAGACGATCACCACTTTCTGCAATGTCGGATCTACAGCACCACCAGCAAAACCATTTCCGCAACTTTAATGGGCGGGCCGAGAAGCCGAGCGCGCGGTGAGTGGGCATGGAAAGTTTCCAGCTTGGACGATCCACCGGTCTCACCATGAGAGGATTATAATCGACCCGAGTAAGTGGTATTACATAGGCAAGCAAGGCAGCCTATGCTATTCGTCGCGTCTTTGAAGTCTGCATGGGTTTTCCGGGTGAGTCGGGTTTTCTTGAAGGTGGATTGGTGTGGGCTTCAAGCGGCAGTGTTGAATCTCTACTACCAATCTCATAGGCAGAGAGACAGCCAGACAGCGGGAAATAGGGGAAGGCTGTGTGGATTGCGAGAGTGGCAAGACTTGGGGAGCTGCTACGGGGGGAGAAGTACGGAGTAACTACAAAGAGGTGGAAGGGCAGCAGTAGTTCAGCCAGTCATGCTCCGGTTACTAACACCAACCTACAGAGTATGTACACGACTGTAGATCCCACACACACACACACACACACACACACACACACACAGACACACACACAGACATTACACACAAATATAGGATTATCACCGGGTAGAGCCGACTTACGGCCGTAGCAAAAGCTTGCGGAACTCCTTTCTTACCTGGTATAAATCAATAGTTAGTTTAAGTGGACTTATTAACTCTTACTCACTGCATTTCCGACGGGAGCACCCCATTCCATAGCTTTGCCTAATCGGGCATCGGCCAAGAGGATCGGTAGTTTTCACCGATTGCCGGCCGAACTCAACTTCAACAACTCCTCCCTACCATTCATTGTTTTGTCTTCCCATTCGTTCCTCAGTCATGACTGATGAACCGTAGAAAATTCTCCAGAACGTCCGAGGAGGGCGAGATCTCCAAACGGCCGAAATTCACCGCGTATGTTTCCTCCCCCCCCCCCCCCCCCCCTTGCAGATAGCATCCCAGCAGATCGGCTGATGAGCCAATCTAGATGCCAGCGCTGCCATGCACATAAGATCAAATGTTCAGGGGGTCAGCCGTGTCTCAAATGCCGGCAGGTCGGTTGTGCCGATGAATGCCAGTACACGCCTCGCGATCGACAGGTGAAAGTGAGTGAGAGGTAGGTAGTTAGTGCATCCCCGCACCGACAGACTCAACCAACGACCTACCTCAATCTAATCTAATCCACACATTCAGCTTCTTACAACGCCTGCTAGCGGAGAACCAAAGGCTGCGCGAACAGCCCCAAGCGTCGGGGCCACCAACCGAAGCGGATCCAGAGGGGGCCGCCTCGGAGCGCGGGCCGTCACAAGCGGCAGCGGCGGCGGCGGCTGCTGAAGCACCGGACCTGGAGACTGGCAATCCCAACAACGTGCGCAATCCCCTGATCGGAGATCGCGCCTGGTTCCATCCTTATGATACCTCCGCGCCCCCCATCTTCATTGGTGAAGCTGCCTGCACCGCGTTTGCGACGCGCTTCCGGCGCTTTCTGACGGGGAGTAACGCCACCGCTCATATCCCTCGCACCCAGTACGTCCACGATGAGAGCATCAGTGCGGCCTCTGCGGGGGAGATAGGCTGGCCCAGTCCGCAGCAGGCCCGGCTGTTGCTGAAGATTGCCCTGCGGCAGATCGGGTCCATCTATCATCTGGTCCTGCGTAAATCGACAACAGAGAAACTCGAAGAGATCTACCAGACCGGTGACTTCAACGTCAAGGTCTACCAGTGCAAGTACTTTGCACTGTTTGCCTTTGGTGAGGCCTACTCGATGCGCAATGAGCCGTCCTCGGGGTCGCGCGTGCCGGGGACGAGGTACTTTGCGCGAGCCCTCAGTCTCGTGCAAGTGTTGCCGGAACGAACGAGTATTACCCATCTGGAGACCTTGTTGCTTTTGGTATGTCCGATTATCCTGCAAAGTCTCGTCGTTTGAATGCGAAAGATCTTGCTCACAGCTTACTAGTCTTTATTCTCCTATTATCTGAATCGGAGACATTCAGCCTACGTGCTGATCGGCAGTGCGATGCGTTTAGGGCTGACGATCGGCCTCAACCATAACATCCCCGAGTCGCAGCTGATTGACCCGGTGGAGCGACAGCATCGGGTGCGCATCTGGTGGACAATCTACATCTTCGATCGGATGTGGGGCTCCAAGATGGGCGTACCATCGCAGATACTGGACGACGATATCCACTTGGACATGCCGTCGACGATCAACCCGGTCGCTCTACATGAGGAGCAGTTCTCGGATACAGAGTATCTCAAGGCAAACATCAGTCTGGCCCGGATTGTGGGCGAGACCATTGCCAAACTGTACAGTCGACGCAAGTACAGCGAGACGTTTCTGCAGCGCGTGCAGAAGTTGCTGAAAGCGTTGAAGAACTGGGTGGAAACGCTGCCGAAGCATCTGCGGTTGAACCAGGAGGAGCCCGAAACCAGCCGAACACCGGTCGGGTCGTTGCATTTGTCGTTCAATCAGGTACGTACTATCTCCGACTGGATCGGGTTTGGTGGCGAATCATCACCAGGGCTGTCTAGCATTTGGTGCTAGGGGACTCTTCTGGTCCCTGCCCAAACCCAGATAGATCTTCTACGGCCTTTCCAAAGGCTAACAATCTAGTGTGTCATCATAACCACCCGCCCTACTCTCCTCCACATCCTCATCAAACTCAGTGAGGCCGAGTCGGACGAAATCTCTCAGCCAGTCCTCACTCTCGGCGAGGCATGCGTTCACGCCGCCCGACACACCCACTCCATCATCCTCACACGCTGGATCAACGGCTCGATGCCCACCTTCGGCTACTTCCACGCGCACTACCTCTTCTCGTCCGCCCTAGTTCTAGCCATGTCCAGCTTCACGCCGATGGGCAGCGCTGCCGACATGAGCTCCTTCGAGACGGGGCTGGAGGTCCTCCGCTCGATGAGCGAGAACGGGAACCTAGCGGCGTCGGAATTTCACCAGCACCTGAAGGTGGTTAACGAGTGCTTGGCCCGGTATCTGAGTGATCGCCGGCGCGATGGACGTGGTGGTGGCCAGCCGAACGCGGCGGCGGCGATCGGGCCCGGGGTGGCGGATGCGGTGGTCTCGTCGTCGACGCTGCTCGGGGGGTCCGGGGGTCCTGGAGCGCCTGGGATGGAGGACTCGTTTCTGCCGGTCGAGTTGCGGGATAGCAGTGGGGGTTTCACGACGGCGATGGCGTTTCTGGAGCCGACGATGCAGGATTTTCTGGCGCAGAGCGATTTCGACTTGGGGATGTTGCAGGTGGATACTTATTTGAATGAGGTGGGGTATGAGGGGATGACTAGCGATCATTGACACTGGGCAGCTTGTTAAGCAGGATGCGTTCTCGCGGACACCGCGCGATAAGTATCGAAAGCATGAATACCCACTATCTAACTGGATGGAACTCCGACCCCGTGATGCTGAGCCGTTTTTCCTTGCTACCCTGTCACTTGGGCTTTGGAACCATCGAAGCACCCACTAGAAGCTCAAGAGAGTCTGCTGTACAATGCTCCAGAGGTGGTATTCCAATGGTAAAAATCAGGATGGTGGCATGTCTCATCAATCTCGCTCCCCAAATACACATCCTCACCGGCCATCATATATATAACACATCCACTCCCATACTAGTACTACTAGTACTACTGCTGTATGACTTATATACGCAACACTGTACATACCACAAGCTGTTGTAGATCACATATCCTGTGATGTTTATTTCAAAACATCCTCCGGGGTATTACCTCAAAGGCGAACCGAAGTCCGAGTCAGATGCCGGGTCTAGAGACATGGACAGGACCACGTTCCATATTCAGAACAACATTCTTCGCCCCAACCCCGATAGTATCACCAATTTTTTTAAAAGAAAGAAAATCATTGGTAAAATAAAACCTAGACCCTATTTTTCTCAAAACAAAACAAACAAGAAAAAAAAAAAGGATCGGGTATCCCATTGGAAACGGCAGCAGTCAAGCCTCCCCAAACAATAACAGTATCACAGCCAAGTGACCGACCAGAAACTCGATTTCGAAAGTCGTAACATAATATGGTACATGACATAGCAAGAAAGGAACGTCGGAATGATTAGTTTAGTTTAGTTGTATGATGTGTCAAGGCCGTTGCGCTCTGCAGGGGTTTGAATACCCTTCAGCTGACGCTAGTTTTGCTGGGGTAGAACCTAGAGGGGTGGTAATGTTAGTGGATACCTAGTCCGCCCTAAAAAAGAATTCCTGGCGACTTACCAAGCTGCGACGGCGATGATCAGATACATCATCATTAGCAGGACACCCTCTAGCCAGTGGGATTTGCCGTCGGCGATGAGGTAGTTGACCTAATTTCCATGTTAGGATCATTTCCCTGAACAGTTTGCGAGGGCGGGGGTGGGCCAACATACCAACAGGACGGCGACGAAGAGCAGGATCACCTGGAAGGCGTCGAAGTAGAGGGTCATGTCGTCGTTGCCTGCGCGGACGATTGTTAGTTCTACCATCTTTGCTCGGAGTGTTTTCCTAACATTGGGGACACATTACTGACCCATTCCCCATCCGATCACAATGATCAACGGCAGCACCAGCAGTGCGATCTGCATGCTGGAGCCAACAGCCACTCCGATGGCCAGGTCCATCTTATCCTTGCAAGCCACGGTGACGGCTGTCGCGTGCTCGGCCGCGTTGCCTACGATCGGGAGGAGGATCAGACCCACAAAGGTCTCGGAGATATTGCCCTGCTCCGTGAGAGCATCGATCGAGTCGACCTAATCATCGAGTTAGTCGTTGCACTTGGGGAATCGAATGGACTAGAGAAAATGGTCTAGCGTACCATAAACTCGGCACAGAGAGCGACAAAGACCGTCGAAATGACGAGCGTCAGGATGGCCACCCAGATGCTCAGTTGCGGCTGTTCCTCGTCATCAGGTTCCTGCAGTTCCACGTTCTGGGCGTGCTCGCCGGCCATCGAGGCCGTCATCTTGCCGATCTGCGCGAGGCCCCGGCTGGCGTCGCCCTCGTTGACTTTCTGCCGTCTCCTCTCCACCTTGGGGCTGGGGGCGTTGTAGATTTCAGTGTGCGACTTGAGCTGGAAGAACAGGTAACAGCCGTAGACGACCAGCAGAATGACGCTGGTGCCGCGAGACAATTCCGCAATGCCAGTGTCGCCGGCATCGGACCAGGCGTGGAAGGCGGTGGGGATAATGAGACTGGCCACTGCCAGAGCCAACAGACTGGCTGCAGTTTGTGCGACGACGGGGTTGAAGTGTTGCTCCAGGCGATCGATGCCACCGAAGAAGAAACACATCCCCATGACCAACAGCAGATTGGACAGCATACTACCGATCAGAGACGTCTGCACAATGACCACTTCTCCGTCCACCAACGCGATGATGGCGACGATTAACTCCACTGCGTTCCCGAAGGTGGCATTCAGCAGACCACCGATGGTCTCCCCCGTGCGCATGGCGATTTCCTCGGTCGCATAACTCAGCATGGCGGCAAGAGGGATAATCGCAATGAAGTTGACCACGAACACCGCCACCGGAGGTACGTCGACATAATTCAGCGCGATTCCCACGGGCGCGGCGAAGAGCAGGACATTGATCCAGGAGTTGAACAGCGTGGCTTTCAACTGGCCGACCGCGGTGAACTTCTGCTTGTCGGGCATCGAATCTTTGCTGGAGTCGGCGACCATGCGATCTTCATCAGCGCTGGAGTGGAACGTATTGTTCAGAAAGGTTCTTCGCTTGCGTGGCCGCGTCTCATCAGGCTGGTCGGACTGCGGCACATTAATGGGGTCCTGGCTTCGCAGCGACCGCTCCGTATCGGCCTTTTCGGCGCTGTCGACGCGATTCAAGTGATCGGTCCCAGCAGACTGGGGAGGGAAGGTGTCCGCATGCTCTGGACCAGCCAGGCCTTGGGTCATATCTCTGCGACGGCGGCGCTCCTCGGAAAGTCGCAACCCGCCTTCTGAAACCACAGGGGTAAGTCGGTTTTCCAGCTGGATGGAGTTGGTCCGCCGCGGTCGCGCCCGAAACTTCTTGAAGGGATTATGGGTCGATGGTTCGCCCTCATTGTCGTACCAGGCCAGTTTCCTGGCTTGTCGGCGATATATATCTGACGGCGGGAGCACGGTCAGCACATCGGCCCCATCGTGCGAAAAGGGGCAAAACACTCACGCATGATTACGATGACAGTTGGAAGGTTGGATGTGAGATAGAGGAGAGACCTCTTCAAGGATGGATAAGTTCTTATACTACATGGATATTAGGCGACAGGCACTCAAGTAGTAGTAGTATATCATTTTAGGTGGAGGCAATCGTCCAAGCCTCGGCGTGCTGCACACCCAAGGCTTGTTAGGCTACCCAAGAGTTTGGTTCCAGCTGCCATGGCAGGGGTGATCCAATGGGGATGAGGCTGTTGAAGCACTTACAAAGCGACGTGGAGACTGAAGCGAGCAGTGAGAGAGTGATGAAGTCTGGAGAAGTGTGGCTGAAGCAGTGGAGGATGTGCGACACAGCCGCTTCGGAGTGCCACAGAGAAGCTGCTGAGGGCAGTGAGGACACGGTCTGCTGGAAAAGTACGGAGTACAGGTTGAGAGAAGAAGTAAAGCGAAAGCAGTTCTAGTCAGACCACCCGGGAGGATAATTAAAAGGAAAGACTATCTACCCAAGCGAGGGGGACTCGAAAGAGGGCACGCTGGCGGTTGGGTTTGCAGTGAATGACCCAGCAATGACAACAACTCGACAGACAAGAAAACGAGTGACAGCAGCAAGGGGAGTGAAAATCCACATTCAAAGGGGAATTGAAGATGGAGCAAAGATAAAGTTTTGGTGAACGACACAAATCACACTGCATTATTGGATCGGATTCCAGTAATTCGGGGCGACACAGCCACAATCTGGAGCGCCAACAATCTCCACGGCATACTTAAGGGACTCACCGTCGCTGGGTTTTCCACGGGTGAGTTACGCAAGTAGCTGTGTTGGCCAATTCTTTGAGAGTCTTCTTGTCTTTGTTTGACTGCCTGTTTTATTGTTTGTTCGACATTAAGAAGACAGGTTGTGGTCGAGGCATCCAGGAAGTAAAGTGGTTGAATGTTGTGGTGGTGATGATTCAGACAATCTCACTGCGATGGAGAGAACAACAACACAACGCGGCAACACAACACGAGGAGACCGACGACGTAATTACTTACCTCTGCCAAGCCCTTTGATTGTCTGCGACTAGCGCCAGAACCAATTGTGCATAACTCTTGGCCGCCACCAAAAGAGGACCTTGCCCCCCCGTTTGCCTATCACACTGCTCGCTTCCAATTTCTGCGGCGCACTCAGCAATCTCTGACTTTTTCGGGCAGCAGGGAAAGACGGGATGATGCCACGAGGCGCAACTGTGAGTCGGACCTATTGAGGGGTTGCAACGGCCTCATTTCAAGATGCGTCAGTCTGATCTCTTTGATGCGGGTGCCATTTTCATCATCATTTATGATTGATCCATGATTGATCAAAGTTCAAACAAATCCGGCCCCCTGGCGTGTTTCAGCGCAAAATTGGCGCAATGCGGAACTTGTTTCTTTCCGATCCCTTAACCTCACGTGAGTGTACTGCCACATGTGGCTGATGAGCAGTCAACTTTCATCTGTGCCACGGATGAGCCACATCCGTCAGCCACCTCAGCCACATGTCCTCCCCTCTCAAACTGTGCTGGGCAAGACATCTCCAGCGGTGTTGGCCCATATTTGAGGCATGGACGATGAAGTGCGTCCGTGGATTTCTGAGCCGTCTTCTACTGGCGCGCGCCAAGTCTGCAAACTGCTGTGTCACTATTAAACTGGATCGAGCGCCGGCGGCAGTGAAGACCCTCCCTCTCTGATTTTCCACAGATGGATCATTACGCAGACTGCGCTGATAGAACACACATATCAGTTGGAGATGATCTTGATATGGCCGTGGCACCTTGAAAATTCCACGCTCACGAGACGAGGGCTGAGGGTGCAGCGGCAGAATGACCTTTTGACCTCCTTGCCTTGGTGTCGGTGCTGTTTCGCTTGCATCCACACAATGAGGTCATTTCGAAATTGTTGGCATCGGGATTGATAGACAAGAGGATACCAGAAAAAAAGGGGGGGCGGACAAAAAGGAGAGAAAGCGACCGCTGGTCAACAAACAAACAGAAAGCAAGACAGACCAGTAGTGGGCTAGTGATGCCACTAACATGTTGCTCCTGGATGATCCCAAAGCTTGTTCCTCACTTGGCCGATAGTGCGAAGGGCCGCGGTGAGAGAGGACTACGGACTTACCTGCATAGGTACTTATTGCACAGTATCCTGCGGTCGGCCAGTCAGCCGGGTCGCTCGGACTCGCTTTGGACACAAAAAAAACAGGGATCAGGAAACAACGAGCATCACATTCATTGTTGACAATTGGGAGCTGTGCCTGAGGCCTACTACACATCAACACAGTACTCCGTACGGAGACTGGCCATTTTGCTGCATACTACTGCACTGAGCAAGTTACGTCGACGGAGTATTGTTTAAGCCTTGATCCACCCAGAATAAGCCTTTTTGTCCATCTATATTCGACACACGCTCGATGGATGAGGAGGACATGCATTGGCATCCTTTGCCGCAATGGGATTTGTTTTCTGATGGAAGAGGTTGTATTACATACCAGCTCTTACCTGGTGTTACTGATCTTACATGGAGGGACAGGAAGGCGACGTAAGCTCCGGACCACCTTGAACCCTTAGACCCTGGCGCAGGGTCTAAGGGGGTCTGTCTCTAAATTTACTCTAAGTTTACCGTACAGAACATGGTATGGTCACATTCCCTTCGATACCTTCCTGGAGGAGATTGAGGAGATTGCCCAAAATTTGCCCCCCCTCCTAGAGAGCCCGCTTTACTCCGAGCGTTTCGGATGGCTGACTGGGGCGGCCAACAAATCTGAATCACTTGGTCCCCCATTGAGATGTCTCGACTGAGCCGTGGGCGTGCATCTCAATAAGCCACCGACCCACCAAGCATCAGGTGAATGGCCAGGTCCCGGAAAGATTAGCCCCCCTCGGCAGCTTGAACGAAATTGGCATGTTGATTTGTCGAGAGAACAGTGGATCAGGAACAAAGGCACGCTTCCATTCTTTGCTGAAATGGTATGGACTGGGTATTTACCCTGGGTATTGTATCCGTGGTCAGGGTCCTGGGCCAATCAACCCTCAGGGTCCTGGGGAGAGTGGGTCGTTTCTTCGGGGTCTCAACCCTGGATTTGACCCCTGGCTGACGGTACGAGTCAAGTATTCGCCCTTCCTAGAACCGCCCCGATTACCGTGTGTCGGCGGTGGGAGCACAATAAAGGATCATGGAAGATCATGGATTGTAATTGAGTCCGCCGCCTGGCGCACGATAGACAATATGAGGAGAGATGCTGTCAATGGGATCGAGTTGATAGACTAGAATGGCATGGAGAAGAAGAAGAAGGTAGTCCGATAGTACTCCTAGTTGGAAGACAATGAGTAACAAGGAGTACAGTAAGCAGTGTTAGTTTCCTGCTCTCCCCTGAGTTATTTCTCAGTAACTACTAAGTAAAGTAACGTACCTATAGTTGTGCTATTTTTACAGGCGTCGTAATCTGGTTCCTCTGGGACGAGGTCTCCATCAATGATCACAGAGTGTCCAGGCAGGGGCCAAACTGGGCCATTCGCCCTGCCTTCCCTTCTTATCTTCCGCCCTCCCCCAGCCATCGCCCTTTTCTCTCTCCTTCCTTCTTTCTTGCTTCCTTGTTTCTTCCTTCCAGTCTCCATCCAACATCATCCCACGTCAACGGCGGAGTGTTCGCCGTTAGTCACTCGTTCTCTCTCTTTTAGACATTGTTTCTGCCCGGTGCGGTTCAAAATCTCTTCGCTTTCCCCTCCGTTTGAATTCAGCACACTCGTTCATAACTCCTTCCACCATTGATCATGAAGTACAACTCGCTTGCCCTGGCTGGGGCTTCGCTGCTCCTGGGCCGCGCCGTTGCGGCTGACTTGCCAGAGATTGCCATCAAGGTATGTGCATGAGAGTGACAGGAAACACAGTGAGTTGGTTTTAACGGGCTGGTGTGTGCAGGGCAACAAGTTTTTCTACTCCAACAACGGCACCCAATTGTGAGTAATCCCCTCAAGTCAAGATAAGAGGGAGTAAGCTCATTCATGATCGCTAACCATTTCCAGTTACTTGCGTGGTGTTGCCTATCAACGTATGTAGACAGATGATCTGATGAGCCTTTCGAGGTACTTGAATCTAACCGACTCGCAGAGGAATACTCCGGGGGCAATGGCAACACCTCGACCTCCACCGACTACACAGATCCCTTGGCTGATGCCACCTCGTGCAAGCGGGACATTCCCTACCTGCAGCAGCTCCGTACCAACGTGATCCGTACCTACGCCGTCGACCCCACTCAGAACCACGACGAGTGTATGACCGCGTTGGCCGACGCTGGCATCTACCTGATCACCGATCTCTCGTCTCCTTCTCAGTCCATCAACCGCGACGATCCCGAGTGGAACACTGAACTGTACGACCGCTACACCAGTGTCATTGATGCCTTTGCCAACTACACCAACGTCATCGGTTTCTTTGCCGGTAACGAGGTGACCAACGACAACAACAACACTAATGCCGCTGCTTACGTCAAGGCTGCTGTTCGCGACATGAAGAAGTACATCAAGGCCAAGAACTACCGGACTAGCCTCGGTATCGGTTATGCCACTGACGACGATGCCACCATCCGTGACGACCTGAAGGACTACCTTGTCTGCGGTGAATCTGATGAGTGGATCGACTTCTTCGGTTACAACATCTACGAGTGGTGCGGTGACTCTTCCTTCAAGACCTCTGGATACCAGGCCCGTACCGAGGAGTTCAAGGACTACCCTGTGCCCGCTTTCTTCTCCGAGTACGGTTGCAATGACCCTTCGCCTCGTACCTTCACCGACGTTCCCGTTCTGTTCGGTAGCGACATGGACGACGTCTGGAGCGGTGGTATTGTCTACATGTACTTCCAGGAGGCCAACGATTATGGTCTGGTGACGGTCTCGGGTACCAGCGTCAGCACTCTCCAGGATTTCGAGAACCTGTCATCCCAGATGAAGAGCGCCACTCCCACTGGTGTGAACAGCAACAGCTGGTCTGCCAGCAACACTGCCACCAGCACCTGCCCCAGCGTTGCCAGTGCCTGGGAGGCCAGCAGCACCCTTCCCCCCAGCCCCAACGACGAACTCTGCACGTGCATGGAGGATTCGCTGAGCTGCGTTGTCAAGGACTCTGTTTCTTCCTCCAAGTACGGTGACCTCTTCGACTACATCTGCGCTCTCAAGGACGGCGAGTACTGTGCGGGTCAAACCAGCAACTCCACCAGCGGCACCTACGGCGCCTACAGCGTCTGCTCCACCAAGCAGCAGCTCAACTTCGTCATGAACCAGTACTTCAGCGCCCAGGGTGCCCAGGCCAGCGCCTGTGACTTCAGCGGCAAGGGTACCACCACCTCTGCCCAGTCCGCCACTGGCACCTGCTCCTCCTTGTTGAAGGAGGCTGGTACCGGTGGCACTGGCTCTGTCACATCTTCCCCTACCAGCGGCTCTGGGGCTAGCGCCAGCTCCAGCTCTTCTGAGGGTGCTGCTGGTATGGTTGCCAGCCCCATGGCTGTCTCTGTCGGCAGCTGGCAGCTGGGTGCTTACGCCGTGACTGCTGTGGGTGCTGCCCTCGGCATGATCTTGCTGTAAGCATGCGATGGAATGGTGACGGTGTGGAGGCAAGCAGCTGGAGAAATGATTATACCTGTAACCTTTACCGTTGGATTCTTTCGCCGTACATAATTGAACTGTTTCTGTATACGCTCATTTTAGTGTGAATTGATGATGTGTTGATGTTCTAAGTATATCCTGCCAACTCAGCCGACTCATGTTGTTGCTGTTGCGAGTAGACCAATCTCGGCTAGATGCAGTGTAAGTTAAGTGTGAGCTTGGAAGTTATGTTATCAGCTGCTTTGCGGCCTGACAGTGGGCCCCGGATGCATACAATATCATGCAAACTTACTGGCAAGTCCACCGACTCGGCGGGGCGATCCGAGGTCGGCGCATGGGTGCAAAATCACCGAGCGGTTCGATGGAGTCCTCTCGGCCACACTGTCGGGATGCCGAGAGCAGAGCAGAGATATAAACCGGCCGCAGCCCGGGACTCGAGCCGATGGATTATTGCAATCATTATAGATTGACTATTGAAGACACTAACCATGCCGGCCATGGAAAAGTCTTGTGGCGCCGACCTCGAAAGAGCCGCCCGACCGACCGAGGAGACATCAGCATCATCAGCACAGACACTCAACACAGACACAGACACAGAAAATGATTACGCAAAGCCCCAATTATGGAGCCTCCAATCGGTGTTCACCCTCCATCCGACCCCCAAGAAAGGCTACGACCTCCCCTTCTGGCATAAAGCGGTGATCTTGTTTATCGTGAGCTGGATGACCCTCGCCGTGACTTTCTCGTCCACAAGTCTTTTGCCTGCAACGCCGGAGATCGCGGCCGAGTTTGCCACCACGACGGAGATTATCAATGTAACGAATGCGGGCGTGCTACTGGCGATGGGATTTTCGTCGTTGATTTGGGGGCCTTTGAATCAACTGATTGGGAGGCGTGTCGCGTATCAGTTGGCGATCTCGGTGCTGTGTGGGTGTTCGGTGGGTGCGGCCTGCGCGGGAGACATGCGGGTCTTCACTGCCATGAGGGTCTTGGGGGGATTGACTGGAACGGGGTTTATGGTGACGGGGCAGACGGTTCTGGCGGATTGTTTCCCTCCTGTAAGTGCAGGATTTTGATTCATGTGTAATGATGTGCTCCTGATGAAGAAAGAGGGTTCTGGACTCATCACCAATCATGTTCTATTGCATCCAGTATATACTTACTAATACTATATTATTTCCCAGACAGTGAGAGGTACTGCAGTTGGCTTCTTTATGGCAGGAACCGTGAGCGGACCAGCTATCGGTGAGTTTCATGGCCCAATGTACTGTACTTCTCCCCAACCATACTTACTATTGACTCAGGCCCCTGCATCGGAGGCATCATCGTCACCTTCGCTAGCTGGCGCAACATCTACTGGGTGCAAGTCGCCATGACCGGCTTCGGCCTCGTGTTAGCCGTCCTCTTCGTCCCCGAGCTGACTTCGGTCGATGCCAAAGCCCACCCTGTAGAGGCAACCGTCGAACCCTCCAACCAACTCCGAACCATCCTATATGCTTTCAATCCCATGCGTGTCTTCAAGCTGTGGATCTACCCTAACATCTTCCTTGCTGTACGCCCCCTTTACCATTTTCTGGTGCCTCTAGAACTCCCAAACTAAGTGGACAGGATCTAACCTGTGGCCTCCTCTCCACCTTCCAATACGCCATCCTCACCTCCGCCCGCTCCATCTTCAACCCCCGCTTCCATTTATCGTCTGCCCTTGTCAGCGGCCTCTTCTACCTCGCCCCCGGTGCCGGGTTTCTGGTTGGCAGCATCGTAGGTGGCCGACTCAGCGACCGCACCGTGAAACGCTACATGGCCAAACGCAACGGCACGCGCCTCCCGCAGGACCGGCTGAATAGCGGTCTCATCACCCTGCTGGGGATCCTGCCCGCTGGCGCCCTGGTCTACGGATGGACCCTCCAAGAAGGCAAAGGTGGCATGGCCGTGCCAATCATTGCCGCCTTCTTCGGGGGCTGCGGGCTCATGGGCAGCTTCAACGGGCTGAACACCTATGCGGCCGAGGCGCTGCCCCATCGGCGGTCCGAGGTGATCAGCGGGAAGTATATCATCCAGTATCTGTTTTCGGCGGGGAGCAGCGCGGCGGTGGATCCGTTGATTGGGGCGATTGGCGTCGGATGGACGTTTACGATCTGTGTCTTCTTCTCGATTGCGGGTGGGGGGTTGGTTATGCTGATCACGCGATGGGGGGTGGATATGCAGCGGTGGGTGCAGAGGAAGACTGGGGTTGATCCATGAATGAGTGGGATGGTCTTGATCTGATGGATCTGATGAGATGATAATGACTGATGAGATTATTGCTTGATTATGAGCTGTCGGGGTGGTAACATGATAGAGTCGGAGGTTAGAGAATATAGATTGTGATAGATTCATTTTCTCACTTCTGGATTCCTGATAAAATGCCAGCCTGTCTTAAGAATATTTGTTAGTAGTAGATTACTGGCACCTTTTCTTCTTTATTTTGTTCGAAGGGGCCAAGTTGTGAGGGTCTGTCTATCCGGGTGAAACTGAGACATCCAGACTCACTCAGCGAGCAAACGCCTTCCGTTTGCTGAACCCCTCCTCCCCTCACCACGTCTGCGCCGCATACGAAGGCCCAAGAACAACTACAACTGATTGTGGTTCCCCAGAAGTTTCTGTAACGCCCATCAATTCACTGCCTCCACCAGTCAACAACAGTATGCTGCGTCTTCCAGGGGTATAAATATGTCCATCGAACCTCTGCCCAAGTCTTCTCATCTTGCAACCATTTCTCTTCCTCATCCATCTCATCCTGCTCATTATTTCGTCGTGTCTTTATCACTTTTTGTAAAATGCAACTATATCCTGTCGCCTGGTCTGGGGCTTTCGTCTTTCTCTTTACTTTGATCACTTGAAACCATGGTCCTTCTTCTCGCACCCACTAGAATTCTTTTGTTCATCGTCCGCACTCGCAACCTTGGAGTCAATGCAATCCCCATCATAAACACATGAAAGTACAGTTCTGATTTGTGTTTTTTTGTCTCTACGTGCCTTTTGCTTGTTCCTTCTATCACTGGATTGACCAGCTTCTACCCTATGCTCTCATCATCCGGTCATACACAGGTTTCAAGAAAGATCATTCCCTGTCTCATAAACCCCTCTCTTTGAGGTGTCCGTGAGGAATTTCTTCTAGTACGTTTAAACGGGACAAGAAGAGATGAGCCAACTTCGCAACTTTCTGCTTGTCAGTCCCTCCCTGCCCCTTCGCACGCTACGGGTGATGGTAATGTTGCTCAGTCTCTGCATTCCTGCTCACAAAAGTGGGCGGTAAGACATCTCTAAGGTCGCAGGGGCTTTGAAGGAATCAGGGGAGCGACAATCTCCGTCATCGGGGACTTTCAAGTCATCAGCTGAAATAAAAATGGTAAATGCGGAGCACAAAATCTATAAGTTACAAAGCCTTCTTGGGCAGGACTACCGGTTCAGAGAATCAGAAATCGACCACTGCGAAGAGTCAACTAAATAAGGCATCTCTGCTCAACAATCTGCGGCTCTCCAAGAAGGAGTTGTGTAGAGTGGTGGCAATCAGATCTGGTAAATTCACACTGGGTCGAATATCGGGACAATTGGTAGCAATCTCGCCGCCAACTTTCACATCATCGCAAGAGCGACCAAATTACCGCCAAGTATCAAATGGAGCCACAGTACGATTTCCGCGGGCAGCTCGAACAGCTTGCTTGAGACGAAGTGGAAAACAAGTTCATACTGAAGGATTTGACCAATTCAGTGCGCGTTACGTTGGGTACGACAACGGACAATGCCCCTTGGGCCTCAAGCTCCCGATCACCAGCGCTGAGATTGTCATTCCGGACGAGCAAGCCAAATATACCCAGAATGTGGTATCAGATCCGAGCGCACGCAATGCTGGAGCTCAGCAGAGTTCAGAGCCTGTCAGGCGAATTCTAATGAAACACACGACGTTGTACTGGGCGAAGAAGTTAAAGCTTGAAACCTCGGCAGGTGTACATCTGATACCCGTGAATGACTGCACAGGCTCGCCTCCCTGCTACGTTCGGCTGTTGGGTAGCCAAGTACTTTTGCAGTATGCGCCACGACCGCAGGGAGATGAACCATATTACGCCGTACTTCAATATTACCGACCATCTGCGAAAGGTAGACAGAGATCTCAATAAGTGTGGAGGGCCCACTGTCATGGTCATCTCATAAATGGCTTCAGACCAGTCAGAGATTGTCCCAGCTAGATACCGAAGCCATGCTGGTTCTTAAGCTATGGACACGCCAAGAGCTGTTCTACGCTGGTTGCCTCAACTCAGTCCAGAATGCTGCTTCAGGCTATGGACATGCCAGGAGATGTACTACGCTGGTTGTCTCTACTTCTACTACGAAAAGGACAAAAAATCAACCTACCCAAGCCTTCCTGATACTTGACTTTTGTTGCTCGTCTATCGAAAAAGACCGGCTTGGCTCCGCCCTACCTTTGTCGGAACATTAACCCGGCAACAGAAAGCGCAGTGCCTTTGGCCCACAGCCGCGAAGCACGGATACGTCTAAAGTGTCTGCGATACTTGTGCGAAGTTCGAATGGGCCAGAAAGATTATGCTACTTAAATATGTACTAAAAGAATTCAAACCCCATCATGGGTCTCGGAAAACATGTTCTCGACGCATACGCTAAGTGAAGGGCCACCTTGACCTATACCTAGCACAATGGGCACTGAATCATCGGTATGGCTTTTGATCAAGCGCTTGGGAATATAAACCCACGGCGGTACATATAAGTACCAATAAGCAAACTCGCCATCAGATGTATATCAAACCACGAACGCAATTTTTGATCATCCTTGACCATATGCAAAAACGCTAAACAATCAACCAACGCGAGAAAAATGGCTCAGCTGACGCACATAAGCCAATACCTGCAATACAAGCAGGACATACGAGACGTGGCTACCTGGCTTCTGAGGGCGGATCACGACTTAATGTCCAGAAAACCCGGCAGACTGAAGGGCAAGGCACGTATGGCCGCCAGGGATCTGCAGGCAAATAATGCCCTGCCCCCTGAAAGCATAAACGACCCTCTTTCAAAGGAAAATGAGCTTTATTCAGCGGGCGACGGCGATCGTGTCCGGCCGATACAACACGGAGGTGAAGAGGAAGTCGATGACTATGTTAAAGCAGCAGTATTAGTTAACCGGTTCGAGGAGCTTGACGGCCGAAGCCTCCGGGCGCAGCAAGACAACTGATACCAAGAAGACTCCACTATTGATTCGAGTTCAATGCAAGATTGCGGAGGCGTCGGCAAACACCCTCTTCTCTCATACTTGCAATCGAGATGTTCTTTGAGGACCTCCACAGAGATATCAGAGAGCCTCAGAGCTCGAGTCATTGGTCGATAGCTAGATCCGCAACCGACACCCTCGTATCACTTACGAAGATGCTCCGGAATCCACAATCCAGAGTAAGAAGCACTTCGTTACCTCCCAAGCAAGCCATACAAAGTTGCCCGAAAATGCCCATTGATAAATTCAAGGAGCGCTGGACCAGAGAATCGACTGCGATGGGAGAGAAGAAAAAGAAAATCGTCTGGACACGACCCAATCAGGGCCACAGTCCGCATCAAGTCTCTATTCCTCAAGCAAAGCAGCCTCAAGAGCGATCGGGCGGGTTCACCGCACCGGATAGAGCCAGACCGAGAACTGACTGAGCTCGCAGCACAATCCCATAATGAAAACCCATCATGGCTTCACTCGCAGACGTTATCAAGAAATTGCCGGGTCAAGAGGTCTCCTCACGACAGATGGGGCATCTCAACTCGTCACTGGGCTACTGGAACAACCAATATAACCGGACCAGCATCAACAACTGCATGCGCCGTCAGGTTACATCCCAGAGCGAACTGGATGTTCCTGGCTCAATGGATACCACGAACCATCATTCAGGGCTTTAGATCGGCAACAATTGCGAAAGACAAAGAGGTGCGAAGACTTGGTAGGTCGAGTTTGTTAGTCTGTTTATAAGTGAGAAAGTAATGGGATGTTCGGTGATGATCAGCATTTTGGGGCGGACCAGTCGTCGTCACCAGCGGGACTTTCCCCTCATTCAACTTATTTAGTAGTCGCCCTCCCACTCCCTTCTATTCTAACTTGTACATCAACCAATTCAATTAGTTATCATGTATCAAGATTTTACCACCAACCTAGGTCTTACTACACTCTTTACAACTCTGCTCTCCTTCATCACACCCAACAAGCAGACTCCTGTTGTATATCAGCCTGTACTTCCTCCTTCTTATCCTCTGGCTGTGCGGAGCCCATACCTATCAACATGGATGCCGAGCAATCAAGTTCACTCACTCCCTATGGCTGAGCCACAATTCTGGGCCGGCCAAAATCTCACCTGGTCCATCATGGCTCGTATAGATGGCCAGGCTTACAGTCTGATGGGCGTCAAAAGCTTCAACGAGGGTAGCCGCCCTGCTATCGTTCGCGATGCTGAGTACACGGCCACCCATTCCATTTTCACTCTCACTGCTGGTTCGGTGATTTTCACCCTGGACTTCTTCTCGCCAATTGCGCCTTCGAACTATCTTCGCCAGTCCTTGCCATTCAGTAAGACCGACGCGCTCCGTAACAGTTAACCCGACTAAGTGCTTACGGCGTGTCTCCAGGCTATTTGACCGTCTCAGTCTCCGGGGCCTCGTCCAGCAATGTTCAGATTTACTCGAGCATTGACGAAAGATGGACAGGGACAACAGACTCTACGTCTTGTCACTTTCAATACACGAACACAACTGCTGTCTATTCCTTACGAGTGAAGAATTCAACCCTATACTCCGAGGAACGTGACATGGCAACCTGGGGCGAAGCAATTCTAGCCTCGCAGCCTTCTTCAAATTCAACCCTCTCATATGCCTCGGGAGACCATGGGCAGCTGCAGACCCTATTTGCTAAAGCTGGAAATCTGACCAGGTGGGATTCATCATGGGGGCCTGGAGCCGTGGTTGCCATTGCCCACGACTTGGGATCGGTTGAGAACACGCAGTCGGTGACTTTCGCCGTTGGACACGTGCGGGAAGAGTCAATCAACTATTTGGGCAAGCCATATACAGGATACTACCGGGCCTTGTATCCTCAAACTACCCAAGCGGTTGCGTACTTCTTGAATGATTATCCTGAGGCCCTTCGGGAATCGCACGCTCTTGATTTAGAGATGCAAAAGCAGGCAGCCGCGGTGGCTGGGCAGAAGTACGCCGACATTGTGACTTTGTCGGCTCGTCAGGCCTACGCAGGTATCGAAATCACAATTCCTGGTGATACCCTTGACACGGCCGATGTGCTAGCGTTTATCAAAGAACTATCGAGCGACGGTAACATTAACACGGTGGACGTCATCATGCCTTCTTTCCCAATTTACTATATCCTGGATCCGGACTATATCCGCCTTTTACTGGAGCCCATGATGAGGTATCTCGCCGCCGGACGCTGGCGGCAGCCCTACGTGATCCATGATATGGGCTCGCATTACCCCCATGCGATTGGCCACGACAATCAACGAGCGGAACCAATGCCAATCGAGGAATGCGGCAATTTGTTGGTGCTTGTGCTGGCCTACGTTCGTGCCACGGGGGATACAGAATGGGCGGCTCAGTACACCGGGCTTCTCCAGGGCTATGCAGATTATCTGGTTGAGAACGGCATCGACATTGCTGAGCAGCTGTCCTCGAACGACGCGGCCGGGCCTCTGGCGAACGAGACTAACCTGGCCATCAAAGCTGCTGTGGGGATCAAGGCTTTCGGGGAGCTTACCGGCCTTTCTGAATACTCCCAGATTGGCGATACAAGAGCCAAGCTGCTCTTCTCGCAGGGGCTGGGGGTGGACGCGCAGAAGACGCACTTTGTGCTGCAGTACCCAGGGAAGCCGGCCTCGTGGAAAATCCCATACAACCTCTACCCGGATGTACTATTAGGCCTGGACACTTTCCCCCCGGCTGCATATGACATGGGGCCTGCTTTCTTCAGGTCGGTCCGAGCCGAGTATGGTGTACCTTTGGATGATCGGCAAGATTGGGCCAAGTCGGACTGGAATATGTGGCTGGCTGGGACGCTGGATTCCACGACCCAGGATGAGTTTGTTGATGACCTGTGGCGATACATGACCAACGGCAAGCATCACTGGCCCTTTTCCGATCGATACATCGCCACGTCGGCCCAAGGGGGCAGCCCCGGGGTGCCCGTTTTGTGTCGCGCGCGGCCTACAGTCGGAGGACATTTTGCTCTGCTGGCCCTGCAGGGTCCCCGGTCGCTTCAGAAGGCCGTCAGTAGAAGGCTTGAAGTGCTGAAGCAGGAGTCTGCAAGCGAGCAACCATCCCTTTGGGTACAGAGCGGAGAGCTTTGAGGCATTTGAGTCCAAGATAGTAACTATTGTCCTGTAGTTATACGAATGGTGTAGAATGGTTGGTCCATCGGTACTTGTTTTCCTGGTCTTGTGTTACAGAGTAGTCGTCCACCACTTGGACAAGTGACCGGTTATGAGAATCATATTAAAGAAAATTGGACAGAACTCTTTGTTTAGATGGTGTTAAGGAGATCAAATTGGGGGCTGTGGTCGTGTTGTCGCTGAAAACCAATTTCAATCTGTCTGTGTTTGGCCAGGATCTCAGATGCTTAGCTAAGCGGGGAGGTGGTTGTGTTGCCAAACCCGCCAAACCAATCTTCCCCCCGTTGTTGCTTCACAACTGCTGGCTGTTGCTTTGCTTCTCCTCCTCCTCCTCCTCCTCCTTCACTCTGCCTCAACTTTCTTCCTCCGCTACCTCTTTGTGTCTCTGTCGCCTCATCATCGTCTCCTTTTCTTCTTGCCTGTCTTTTACAGCCTCATTTTGCTTTCTCCAGCTCACTTTTCCCCCGACTTAATCCTCCGTCGCCCCCTCGTCATTAGATTCTCCCCCCATGGCTTCTGTACGTCTTGCCTGATCGATCGCCTTCACCGGCTTAGCTGTTGATTGAAGCTCTCAACGTCATGGCTGCTCCTTCTTCCCCCTCCACCCGTTCATTTCATGTTTTCGGCCATCTTGCGAATGCGCTCACTCCGCGGTTATAGCTTGTGCAACTGACTGACTTTTGACCTCTTGCCAGCCCCGTCCTCCTCACAACTTCGGTGCTCAAGGCTATCCGCTTCCCAACGGTGCTGTCACTTCTGGTCCCGTCCCCGGCGCCACTCCCCTTCTTCCCAACAACGGCCGTGTCTTGCAAAATGGCCCCGTCAGAGTTCTGTGTATTGCTGATGTTCGAGGTATGTGTTCCGGACCGACCTTCGATGTGTCGGTCGCATCGGGAGGACACGACCGAGCTGACTTGGGGAAACTTTGTTTTGCTTTTTCCGTGACGTAGGAAATCTCAAGTCCCTGAACGAATTGGCCAGACAGGCTCGTGCAGACCACATTATCCACACCGGTGACTTTGGTTTCTACGATGATACATCGCTGGAGCGCATTGCCGATAAGTGAGTGCTCTCCGGTACCTCAATGGAGTGCTGTCGTTCTTCTCGGCCCTTGGCCTCCGTGCATGCAACACATGTGATCGGATCAGGTTCACTGACCGATTGGGCTTTCAACCTTAGGACCCTGAAGCACGTGGCTCAATATTCACCGTTGCTACCGGAGAACGTGAAGCGGACGATCGCCCAAACTCCTCCCCAGCAGTCGATCAAGCAACGATTCACCCCCGACCAGCTTCCCCTGTCAGAGCTCCCCATGCTGCTGGACAAGCGGCTGACTCTCGACGTACCTGTGTACACTGTCTGGGGTGCTTGTGAAGATGTTCGCGTCTTGGAGAAGTTCCGCTCGGGGGAGTACAAGGTCAACAACCTTCACATCATCGATGAGGCTAACTCGCGACTGCTGGACATCGGTGGTGTCAAGCTGCGCCTGTTGGGTCTCGGTGGTGCTGTGGTGATGCACAAGCTATTTGACAATGGCGAGGGCAAGACTACAATTGCGGGTGGCCAAGGGACAATGTGGACGACCCTCCTACAAATGGGTGAATTGATTGACACGGCCAACCGTGTCTACGATCCGTCCGAGACGCGTGTCTTCGTCACGCATGCCTCTCCCGCCCGTGAGGGAATGTTGAACCAGCTCTCGGTTACCCTCAAGGCCGACTTCTCGATCTCCGCCGGTCTGCACTTCCGCTACGGTTCCTCCTACAACGAGTTTTCCGTGAACCCCTCGCTGGATCATTACCGCGGCAAGCTGGCTGCTTCGAAGGCCTCATTCAACGATGTGTGGGAGACCGTCCGCGGTGAGGTTGAGACCGCTATCTCCCAAAATGAGGCCCAGAAGACTCTGCTGGACAACGCTCTGGAAGTGGTGAACCGGATGCCTACTGTTGCCAACGGCGGCAATCCCTTCGGTGGGCCTGCCGCTCCCGGCAACGCGGCCGGCCAGGTGGACGAGAGTGCCTTCAAGAACATGTGGAACTTCAACCTGGCGGATGCAGCTTTCGGTTTCCTTGTGCTGGAGATTGAGGCCGGCCGCATTGCCACCGAAATGCGCGCGCAGGGTTTCAACTTCGCTCACCGTACCGGAAAGCCTCAACCTGTGGCCTCAGCCCAGGCCGCCCCCGTTCCTGCCGCTGGTCCCCCCGCCGGGGTTGCTTCCCCCCGTATCCCCGGTGCTGCTCCCCAATTCGGTCAAGTGCAGCCTGTTTCTGGACGTCCTGGTGTCCCTGCCCAGCAAGCTTCTCAGCCCGCCCCGACCAAGGCTCCTGCCGCCGCTCCCGCCCGCACTTCCCCGGCTCCCGTGATTCCCAAGCCTGCTACTCCCCAGCCTCCTAGCGCCTCCGCCGGGCAGCCCTCCGTGGCCTCCCCTGAAAGGGCCGCCGCTGCAACCGAGGCCAATGGCACCGCTCAGCCTGGAGACAAGCCGTCAGAGTCTCCCTTGCCCAAGCCCGAGAAGAAGGCAAGCAACGGTCTCTTCGTTTCCAATGTCGACAACGAACAGGCCGTGCGCGATCTCTTCCCCGAGGAAGACCAGGCCAAGATGGTGAGAGTGGAGAAGTGGGGCAAGTTCAATCACGTCGTGACCTTCGCCACTGTTGAAGAGGCCAAGTCCGCCCTAGAACGTCAGCCCGCGGAACACAAGAAGCCCACCCCTCCTGGTCAGCCCCGCAAGCCCAACATCAAGTTTTTCGAGGATCGTGGCAGCCACCGTGGCAATGCCGGCACCTGGCAGAGCAGCAGCCGCGGCGGTGCCAGCTCCTCTCAGCGCGGATACCAAAGTGGTGGTGCGAGCGACAGTGAGACCAACAGGGGCCGTGGATTCGGTGGACGCGGTCGTGGCCGCGGCGATCGAGGTGGTCGCGGCGGCCGAGGCGGTCGTGGTGGCTTCAACAAGGGAGGGCCATCTGAGGCGTCGGATAACAAGCCCGCTGCCGCTGCTGGAGGTGACGCTTGAGGCATGGTTGTTGTCGCGTCTTTTTGATCTTATCGTGCCCTTGTCGCCTTTCTCTTTCTGTGTCGAAAGCTTTCCAAAACCTCTTTTTCCAGATCCGTGCTCCCTACCTCTCTCTTCCTACTCTCTTATCATGTCTCTCGTCTGTCTCTTGCATCCGTCCTCCCCGAAATCATCACCACCATGTTCGCTACGAATCTTGCACGGTTTTCGTCCCATACTTTAATCTTCTTTGTGCGGGATATTTCTTGTTTGCAAAAATGACGTCTACTTTTCTTCCCTTATCTACCTTTCCACTACTTTTGTTTTCTCTTAACCTCTTGAGCGAGATGCGTTTGAATCTTGATTGATTTTTTTTCTCTCGTTCTTCCTTCTTTTTCCATGTAGACATCATTTCACCGTGCAACGATGGTAAAGATTGTTCCACTAATTAGATCAGTCTGTCCTGGTCTCGCAGAGAGCCCAGACCCATCGGGAGCTTACGGAGTTATGTTATTCGTTGGTACAGAAGCCACGCTTGGGACTGAACGCTGAAGGTGTGGAAACTGGAAAGGAAACCACCCCACCGGTGGAGTAGAGACAGGTGGGTTGGGTCGGGGAGACGATGTCACGATACGGACGGGGAACCATTGACAGGTGGAATGGGACGAGGAAAGTAACTGGAGTACCGAAGACGAGAAAAGAAGCGTTGTGAAAGGAAGAATAGGAGTGAAGGGGAAGAAGACGGCAGGTGTTCTTTTTTTCCTTCTTTTTTTTTTTGTACTCTAAATTCCTTTTTCATTTTTTTTCTCGTCGGTTTGTTTTTTCTCTATCTCTCTCTCCATAGGGAGATGACGCTACCCAATATCGATACCCTTGTAACTTCATTCTGGGTTCTTGGTTGGATCTTGATTCTTGGATCGATAGTTGCTGTAGACTTTGACACTAGGTAGAGTGAGGTAGTTGTTGTAGTTGGTGTGTTACGATCATGGGAGCGTAGATAAGTCATCAGTAGTGGTTCTTTGCTTGTTTAAGTTGCAGGTGCACTTACTGTATGTACCCTTTCGGTTCAAGTCATCCTTCTCTCAGGTCTCGATGCGGGTCTTGGGTCTCAGTTTGAACAGGGACTTGTCCAGACACCCCCGGGGTGTGTGATTAATACCTAGGATTGAAGTCACTGTACGAGAGATGAAGTATGGAAAAATAACAATGCTGAGAATGGAGACATACTATCCTATTGGTACCTATGATGTAACTAGAAAATGAAGTGCAAAACAGACAGACACCAGGAAATGACAGATAGAATGAAATCTCAAGCATCAAACCAAAAATTGTCAGATCCCCAGAGCCAAACTAAGCATGTCCCACCTCCATCTACCTTGTTGATAACGCAGAACGCAGATGCGCCGTAGGATCTCAATCCCGTCCACAGTCTTTCAATCTCCAAGGTTGAACATGACTCCTAACGTGTACACAGCATGGACAGTGAAATTGGGCGAATGAAGAAAAGTGCAAGCAAGGCCTAAGACGAGAGGATCAGGTTCCGAACCAAGCAGAGCAAGCAAAGGAAGCAGAGGCCTCAGGAACTGTCAAGGACAAAACTGCATCAATCAAGAGCGATGGTGGTGATGTACAGTCTCTTCCCCGCGGAAAGGCGGGGATACGGTGTTATTCAAATTGTACAAGCACGCCTCCCAGAATCGTGTTCAAATGTGGCAGCAAGGTGAATAAGAAAGACAGGGATATAGAAATGGAATGTAGGCAAAGAGTGTAGATGGAAATTTGTAATACGTGTGTACATGGTTTGATCCACCTGGTCCAAGAAACAATTGAATATGGATCGGTTAGATTGTGCTGGTTGCATTCGGTTTCTGTCCAATTGTTGCGCTCTTTTGTGAAGTAAAAACCTCCCATTATCCAATATGTTTCCCCTTGGGTCATAACGACATCAATAGCAGTAGTGAGATTGTACTTGAAGTGGTGGGTATCTGAAACGCAGAACGATAGTGTCGGAAGCGATGACGCCATGTGCAGAAACTACTTGGCGCGTCCCATGATGTCTTCGACGTCTTGCTGGTTGACGACCACACCGCCCTCGGAACACCGAGCCTTCATGCGCAGCTCAGAGCAGAGGTTGTCGACATCGAGTTCACCGTTGCGGAATTTCTCCATAGATTGCAGGCGATCCCTATTCTGGGTTGGTATGCTTGGATTTATGCCAGGCGAGGAGGGAACGTACCATATCTTGGTGCAACTGAGCATCTGGGTTTGATCTTCCCCAGGCACCACCTCATCTTCATCCAGCTTACTATCGATCTCGTCGATCAGAGTCCTCTTAGGCTGTGGAGGTTGCTGTGGCTGTTGACTGGCTACCTCGCTGAAGTTATGCGAGGGACTGCCTAAATCCGGCAAGGGGAATGCATCGTCGAAGAAAGTACCGAAATCCTGGGACAAGATTGCGTCTTGTGGTTCGCGCCAGTCTCCAAACAATACCGGATCAAATTGCCCTCCATTCTGCTGAGCCAACATCTCGAGTGCGGGCTCGGGCGGAGGAGTCTCCTTTGAGACCTGGTCCGTCTGATTGGGAGTGTTTGTGACGCTGACACTGCTGTGTCTGACGGCCGGAATGGGATTCTTGATGTTGCCGCAAGCCATACCGAGTTGTGCGCAGAAGGACTCCTCGCCGTTGATTCCATTATATGTGCAGTTGCTGTGGTCACCCTGGTGCTTGATGGCGGGGGAGTTGACCGACGGTTCTGGGGAGGTACCGCTGGAAGAGAGGAACTGGCTCTGATGGGAATCGGACGAGGATGATGGTGAGTCGGAATTCGAAATATCCTGCACAGAGGGAGCGTGCTGTTGAGCATTGGGAAGCTTGGGGGTAGCACTCTTCGAACCCAGGCGATCCCCGTTCGACTGCGACATGGGGCTAGGCGTATTCGTCGCTGATCCATTAGCCTTGATTCCGTTCAGCGGATCCCGGCTCAAAACGCCAGGCACGCGGGAATCGTTTCGCGAACCAGGGTCGTTCTTGAGCTTGTTCTGTTGATTCTTGCCCCATTGGGCATTGTTGAAAATGTGCGCACCCGGAAGGTCACCGAACTTGGGGAAATCAAACATGAAATCATTGTTCTGGAGACCGTTATAGTTTCCCTTGGAATAAGCCCCAGGGATAGCGTTCATGGCCGTAAGTCCATTTGTGCTGGTGACCCAAGAGAGGCGCTTGCGGTATTCCTTTAGCTCAACTTGCAGACGCTCGATCTGGGCTCGGAGCAATCCATTTTCCTGATTCGCATCATCTGACGCCTTCTGCAGTTCGTCCACCTTTGTCTCCAGATCTTTCAGGTGTTTCTCCTTGCGCTCGCGGAATGCCCGTTGCGCCGCGCGGTTTTGTGCTTTGCGCTTCTGTAGAGGTATTAGCACAGAGCGGTTATCCCGAGACTGGACAAGATACGTACCGAAGTGGGTTCGGAAGTCAATGGCTTTCTTCCGGGCTTCTTGGCTGTTTTGTCATCGCTTTCCCTCCGTTTCTTGCCGGCGCCTTCATTTTCTTCAGTAGGGCCGTCCATGTCCTTCCTCTTCTCGCCCGGTTCATGCTCGTCTGGCAAGGCAAGGCCTCCAGGCAGTTCTCCAATCAAATTCTCTGTGCCTTGATAGTCGAAGTCTAGCTCTGGGTTGAAGTCGAGAAAAGGAGACTCATCATCAGCGTAGCCCAAAGTACCGGAGTTGGGTTGAGCGAGGTCGAACCCAGGCGATACATTGTAGCTGCTCGACGAAGCATTACCGGGGGTCGAGTCTGGTTCTGAGTTTGATCTTTTGACCTGAGAATTAGGCTGTTGCTTGGAGGGAGGGTTGTTGGAAGAAAGCGCGGCCAGCAGAAGGTCTTGCTGGTCCGGGGACAGGTAGAGGCTGTGTTGATAGAGAGAGTTGTAGTCGGCCATTGCGAAGGAAGGATACGATTTGTGCGGGGGAGGAATGCGTTCTCAATGTAAAATGTGATTAGATGAGCTGGAGCGAGTCGGCGATGGTTGTGCTATAGCACCTGGTAGATGAAGCTGATAGATACAAGGACCGTGTCAGAATTCGATTCGACGTTCGTTGAGCTATCAGGGCCGGGCTTCCCGCCCGTTCGTTGTATCGATGTTGAACCCCAAAGGCTGTATGAGGTGATCGAAAGGCTTCTGGATGATAGCACCCGGAAGAGGAACGGAGATTGTAGATAAGAGGGCCTCAATCACCGAAGCTGCACCATGCAAAGAGACCTTTGACCAGTATTGATGCTGAAGATGATTGAAAGTACCGAGGACGACTGAGCGGAAAGTCTTGTTGAGGTGAGTGGGTAGGTAAGAGAGATGTGTCAGAGACGTTGTCCGACAAGCGGTATCGAAGCAAGTAGCAAGCGAGTGCACAAGCCGCAACGAAGGCTGACGAATGATTTGAAGACACCACGGGATCAGGGGTTAGGTCAGAAGAGAGAAGAGGGGCGCGGAGAAGGCGTGGAATGAGAGAAGAGAGTGATGATGCAAGGCCAGTGGACACGGACAATGAAAGGATAGGAGAAGAAAGAAGAGTGAATGTAGAGGGGAGGGGAGGAGGGAGGGGGGGGGGAACTGGGCTGGAAGGCAGACGAAAGGACACTAAGGCAAAGACGGTTTCAGGATCATGGGGGAATGATTCGCTGCCTGGATTACTGAGGGCTCAAAGCCTAAGACGAGAAGGGCGTAGTTCGGTGGAATTACAGATTTGAGGCAGAAGTGAGTGAGTGAATTTGGATGAAAGAAGAAAGATGATGGAATGGAGAGGGCGGAGGGACGGGGGAGCCAGGAGGAGGGGGCAAGTCGGTGCCTAAGGCGATGAGAGCGGTGAATGGAAAATACAGTCTTCATTGGACAGAGGGGAGAGCGGGGGTGGTAGACACGCCAATCAGAGCAGACTGGGCAAAAACCCTTGGGATGGTCTCGCCTGCTTATAAATCGAGGCTGACGATCCCGAGTGGTTTTTCTCTCTCCGCCCATTCTCTTCCACGCCGCATTGATTGGTTTCACTTTCACTCCCTCATATGAAAAAAACTGCCTGTCGGGGTCATACGCGGGCGGCTTGTCTCTGTGCTTACTACTATCGCACTCCACCACTAAAATCTACTCGATTCAGCCAAAGGGGAAATGACTCATCGCGCGTCATGACTTCTACCTCGTGCTGAGAGCCGCTGCGTTACATAGTAGTAAGCTGCACCCTCCATTTATCGGGACTCTCGTACCACTCGCATGACTCGAAGGACGCGCGCTGTCATGAAGGAGAGTGTTCACTAGAGCCCCCATTACCACCTCGAAATCAAAGGAAGTACAAAAGAGGCAGCTCGGAAAGTCAATCTCATCTTGCCGAAACTACTCATCTCGGTTCAGTGCCACCCGGCAACCGGGGTCGAGGGGGGGGATGGATGCTCGAAGATCCGCATTTCCGGCTCCAATTCAGCCCTTTGAATTAGACTATGCTGATTCGATCGGTCCCTGGCTTGGTCGTTGGAGCCCTAGGTAGGCACGAGGTAGGAAAATACTTCAGCATCGTACCATCGGAGTAGACCCGTCTTTGCTATCACTAGATATCACCGGAGAAGATGGTCGTGGACGACGGGGAATATTGGCGGATCCATGCTGGCCCTGCAGTAGCCAATAGTTCCCGAACCCGAATGACGTGAAGATCGCCAATCAACTAAGCCTTGACCCGTGTTAGTGGATTGCTCTGATGGGGTCTGGCAAGCTGAAGCATAGTTGCAAGGACCATTGTCAAGAATGAGAAAAGTGTGCTAGGGTAATTGAGTCTTACGCAAAAGGAAAGAGCCAGGATTCTGGTGTCTGGAGTGAGGCAGCCTCGTATTTCTGCAGTCTTGGAGTATGCAGGCATTGAGATGTCAGCGATAAGCACAGCTGCAAGTTGCCAAGCATGATGAACGAGCCCCACGTCTTCCCGTTGAGCCATGTGGCGGTGCATCTGTAGTCACGTTACTCACCAGCCGCTGTGGGGGCTCCGCCACGGGATCTTATCCCAACGCGACTTCTTATCTGCAACTTCGTGATTCATCCCCGTCTGTCTTGATTTTTACCATCAGTAAAGCACTTCGTCTCACCTCTTCTCATACTACTCCCCTCCTTCGTCATACCCTCACCCTCCCCAGAAACCTTTATCTTCTCACAAAATGTCAGAGATTGCAGCCCTGGAGGCTGAGGTCAAGGAGTTCAAGCTTCAGGTATGCCCGGGCGCAAAATCTACCATACCCGTGGACTTCATATAAATCTGACCATCATCATCAGCTTGAAACCGTCCAATCGAGTTTGCAGGTAGACCCAGACAACACAGAATTACAAAGTCTCAAAACTGAGCTGGAAGAACTTATAAACCTCACCGAAACTTCTATCGCCGAGTTGAAACCGTCCGCGCCACCAGCACCCCAGCCAGCCGCGACGAAGGACAGAGGACCGAAGGACACTTACGGCGCACAGAACAACTACCGCAAACCGACCGCTGAACAGTCCGATGAGCCGGCCCCATCTTACCCGGCGTCTTTCTCGGTCAACGAACATGTTCTTGCTCGTTGGGTCTCAGGCGACAACTCGTTCTATCCCGCGCGCATCACCTCCATCACCGGCTCGTCGAGCAATCCCGTCTACTTGGTCTCGTTCAAGTCGTACGGGACGGTGGAATCTCTGACCTCCAAGGACATTCGGCCAATCTCCAGCAATGACTCGCGTAAACGCAAGGCTGATGCAGGCTCAGGCAATACTTCTTCCCAATCTCCGGCACCCCAGCCACCCCACTCAAGCGTGATCTCTGCGGCAGCGGACATCAATCCCGCGCTGGCCAATCAGGCGCGTCAGGAGCCGAACAAGGTGAGCGAGGGGTCCGCACGGCCCAGCAAGGTCGCCCGCAAGGTGAAGGCCAACAAGGAGCTGGAGGAAGGCAAGATGAAATGGAAGGATTTCGCTAGCAAAGGGAAGTTTGGACGTAAGAAGGAGAGTATGTTCCGAACAGGAGAGGGAGTCAATGCTCGAGGTATGCTGTTTTTAAATCCCATCTGTCTCATATATCGTCGGGCAGCGACTGATTCAAATAGTGGGGTTTACGGGGTCCGGTCAACAGATGCGCAAAGATCCGACGCGGTCGCGACATGTCTACCAGCAAGGCGAAGACGAAGGATACTAGTTCTCTGAGTGTTGATCGATGGAATACATCCCACTGTCACCTCGTGTCCTTTACCGTGTATCAAATCGCTAACGGGCTCTGGTGACAGATCTAGTGCAAGTCGAGCCTGTCGCTGATCGGGGTTGATCCTCGATGACCACAATTGATGATGCGATTGAACACCATACCATTAATCATGAATGACTTTCTCTGTGTGATTTACTTGACCAATATCTTATACATTTCGACAGCCTCATAGGGGGCTGCTTTCCATGTTTTCTTGTGTCCCAAGCGAAGCATTTGCTATGCTGCGTGTACCGCGCTCCCCACTAATAATTGTCTATTCTCAGTCCACACGTCTCTTGGGCACAAAGGCAAGAGGTGTTTGGAAGTAAAACCGCTGATTGGCATGGGATTTACTACCGCGTAGAGTGAGTGACCGTCACTGCCACACCAGCTCAGCCTTGCGATGACTGGCAAGGCTGAGCTAAGACCCTCAACCATGTCTGGACGTCTTTCCAATCCTTTTACCCCGTATGTTTCGTCCCCACAGCTGCGGTAGCTTCTTTGGCTCAAATCCGTAATTTAGCCCTACCAAATGCCACGAAACCCCAGAGTGGCGCAGATGCTGAGTTGTGTCAAACACTCTCATCCATGCAAACGAAGGTCATCATCGGTGGCGCAGTCTTGTGACGTCTAGAGGCTGATTAGCCCTGCCAATTCCCAACATACGCAGCATGAAAGCATGCAAGATCCCGATAACATGTACGAGCGAGCCTTCAGCCTTTCCGCTTCGCTCAGCCCTCAGTCGTAGGATGCTTAGTGAATGAATGGCCTGTCACTACGTTTCCAGTCAAAGATAGGCAACGACTGCCATGTCCATGACATGGACAGGCTACTGCTGCCTTGGCTAGAGATATCAGCAATGATGTCCTTAGCAACCGCAAACACAAAGAGCAAGGAACAGGCAACATATATAAAGTAAAGTAGGTCATTCCCCTGACAAGGCTCGTTTCTCTTCCTTCAATGCACTTCAATCCGCACTTCATCGCATCCCATCAAGCTACTCTCCAACGTCATTCAGAGAGACTTCATCACATTCACTAGCGGTTATGTCCCTTGAGTCTATTACTGACTCTTTGAGAGACATCAACATCAACCGTGCTGAGGTAGAGGACCCTCAGTACCAGCCTCTCCTGTTCCACCCACCGGCTGGTCTTGAAGCTACCAACAGCTCTCTCTCCGAGATCCCAACCTACCTGTTCCGCGTGGCCTCTCCTAAATCCAGCGCCACAACAAGCAGCACATGGGTTCGTCCGCCCGCCACCCGACGCAACGACAATGCCCTCTCTCATGAGGACATTTTCACCATCCGGGACCCAGGCGACAAGAAGCGCAAAGCTGCCCTGCTAAACGACCATCTTTGGTGGCAAGAGCCCTCCGACGACCCTTTCGTCTCATGGACTAGCTCCCTTCCCTTTGCCCTACAGCTCATCTACTACCGCCATCAGAGCAGCCGCGACGGATCGCCTCTGAGGGAGATCCGCCTGTACGTGGTGGACACCAAGAAATTCCCTCGCGGCACCTTCATCCGTGACGTGGACTTGATCAATGCCTTTGTGGATGTGGACCCTATTCCATCTGGAAACGGCCTGAAGAGGTTAAGGCGGTATCGCACTTGGGATCTCAACTTTGGTGAATATCTCTCGCAGGGCGCGCTGAGAATCGAGGGCAAGTGCCAGATGATTAGTGGCCAGTCGATCTTCGAGAACAACAGGCTCAGGCGCATTCAGCCTAACTTCACTGACATTGACGTACGTGTCCCCGAGGGAAATCCACGATGGGCGAAGGAGGTCTGCCGGCTGCGTAGAGTGATCTGGAGAGGAAATGGGGGCCCCCTCCAAGTGGCTGCCGCTGTGCCGCACGATCGCATGCAGGCCGTCGGCGAAATTGCGGACCTGTTCGATCATCCAGCTTGGAGGCTTCCCATGGCGATTTACTTTGCAGCGTTGGTCGGTAGTCGGCAAGAGCTGGCGACGGTCACCACCACGACTACACTGCTTGAAGCACTAAGACCCTATTACGCATCCTCCGGTACGTACTTATTCTCTTTGAGCGTGGGACATAGTGAATCTGACGGTAGCTCATGTTCCAGATATCGGTCTCGATCGCGGCGACCTGAAGGTCAAGATCGTTGGTTTCCAATCGGTGCCCGAACTCGAGCAGACAGCGACGATCTTCCAACATATCCGCAAAGACTATACTCTCAGGAAGACACTCGGTGAGTGGGTCTCTCTCGCAGTAGAAACAGTGACTCAATATACCTAGTTACCACTCAACCAGGTTTTGACTAACACCAACACCACCAGAGACTCTCCGGCAGGCTAGAACGTATCTCGAAAGACTTGGAGGCATAGGAGTATCTGTCCCAGCCATCGATCCGGACCGAACCATCACGGCGGCGATTCGGTCGGAACTAACAACCCTGAACGACACCTTGGGAATCTTTCTCTATGCATTTCCAGTACGATTGCCCGGCCCAGTTTGAAGTCAAACCAGTTACGCAGATAAGATTCTCAATTCTTGATTGATCGAATAATCGGAAGCCGCAGGTGCACGAAGAACTAGTTACTGTATGGTACGTTAGCGGGAGCTTATCGGAGGCGAGGAGGGGTCCGATCACTGGGACTATCACCAAAGCAGCTCTTCGGTGTCCCCCCCCCACTTTCTATATAGTCTCGACTCTATGCATGCGCGTTTACCCTCTCCTTGGTCGATTTGATTTGCGTTCGGCACCATATGTAGGTTCTGCTAAGTCTCGTTCATTTAGAGTTAGTCGTGCGCGGTAGGTGCCATGTGGGGGGGATATTGAAGCTTGTTTTGACATCTCCCCTCGCTTTCTCTAAAACGAGGTCTTTTGTTGATTAATATCTAGTAGATAGTTCTACAACAAATCACTTCTCCTGAGGGATTCTGGTCTATATCAGTGCATGGAACTACTTCTGATGTTGCCCCAGCACTTATATTGGTCACTTGCGCAAACAGAACTCTATCCTACACCGACGTTTATCACATAATCAGATCTCGATCGCTTTCTTTCGAAGATATGCAGAGAATGGTCTTACGCACAGTGTTTATCTTATGCTTACCTAGAAGGCGACACGGAGTACTACTACTGCATGTTTGCTGCGTAGGTGGATTTACTGCACACTCAATTTACCTCTTACAAGAAAAGAATAGTCAAGGTAATCGTCATAAATCGCGGGAATTCAAGCCTAGGTATGCCTCCGGTCCATCCAGAACAACAAGATAAACCCCCATGAACCCGAACCGGACGCCACGCTGGTCAAATCAATTTTCAGAAAATCCCTTGTCAAACCACCATAAGTAATCATTCCCATCAGTGTCATGTCACACCACAGACAACATGTGCGCCATTGATTGCAAACTTCAATGCTGCTGAAAAGCCCAGAACTCGAAACGAAGATAGGATACGAAAAGTGTCACGCAGAGAAATCCCTCTGGTGTGCATAGGAATCCACATAGCTCTCACTCAAACCCTCCAGCAAACATTGCGTCAATCCCCAAAGCATTGCGTGGTCTCGTCAGTCCGCCGAAGCGCGCATACATAATCATACAGTACAGCAGCCGCGGATGTAGCGTAATAATACAGTCAAAAAAAAATTGCTCAGTCGTAGAGATGCGATAGGATAAGAAAAAGACAAAAGAAACGGGTGAATCAGGTTGATGGTTGGGACGAGAGGTTCAGCGGGTGAACTCGGTCCACACGGTGGTAAGCCACCCGGTCGAAGTACTCTCCGGAGAGACTGTGGCCGGGAGTTGGTCGTACTCGCACCCCTCCAGGAAAGCGAGGACATCATCCCCGCCCAAGCTCGTCGACCACAGGCTGTTGGTGTTAACGACTTCCAACCCATCGACAGTTACTGGCGGGGATGCACCAGGATGGCCGACGGAGCCGGGGGGAGGTAACAATGGCAACCCGTGTGATGATGCCGCCGCGTTGATCGGAGGGAGTGACTGGGAATAAGGAGGGGGTGGCTGCGTGCGGCTAAGCCAAGAGTTTAGCGGCTGCAACCGATTAGAAGCTTGCCCTGGACCATTGTACTGCGCTGACGACGGAGTCGAGGTCGACTGAGGAACCCCATATGGTCCAGGCGGTCCCAACGAAGGAAGGTTGGGAGACGACGAATTGTACAATGGGCCATCCGGATGGTGCTGCAGAGACGGCAGGGAGTAAGGTGACTGAGATTGCAAGGCGCGATTCGGGGGCATTGGAAGACTGGGTCGACGTTCGCCGTCGGGTCCTGGCAGCGGCATACCAGGGCTGTTGATGGGAACCCAAGACTCCCGTCTACCTCCCGCGCCATCCAGGGGTGGCTCTCCAGTGTCTCCAGTCTCACTGCGAACAGCATTACTGCCTGCGTCGCTAAGAATTGTAGCCCTTTCACTTGCAGCGCCAAGACCGTCATCATCGGCGCCAGCCTCTGGAAGTTGGTCTTCGATGATGCCAAAATCAAGGAACAACTTCTCAAGAAGCTTGAATTCCTCGAGACCGCCGCCCAAGCCGCCCTCACGGACCGGCCGAATTCCATTGACATGGGTGTCAGCCTGGTCAGCCGGATCGAATTTGCGCGATTGTCGTCGGAAGTCACGCTTGACCTTGGAGAAGTACGTGTGCAGCCGGTTCAGAGTGCGAAACCAGTCACGCGCCATTTTGAGGCGAGGCCGCATCTCGCGCAAAACGTCAAGTGCTTTCCGAGCTTGGGCTTGTCCCTGCAAATTGCGATCACCGATATTCTTAGAAGCCAAGACCCCATCAGGGTCCATGTGTGGGAAATGAGCAGCGTAAATGCCGATAAAAACGGCGTTGTACACCGCAAATCCGACGAGAGGATTTTCCACCAGAACCCCGCGGTCCTGGCAAGTTACCACCAAATCCATCATTTGTCGGGCTGCATTAAACAGTACTCGAGCACTTTCACTCCAGAATCCATCGGCAACACCAGCCTTTTCTATCGGGAAAAGGGGTTCGTCCAACGGGCCGACTGGTTCGGTGCACCGTACGGGAAGGAAAGGGATGTAAGCACGATGAAGAACAATCACACACAGAAAGTGAACCACATGCATCACAGTATAAGGCGCGAGGGTGTTGTTCTTGTACATGATGTGGGTATCAGTGTTACGAGGGGAGTATTGCAGGTTGCGGGACAACCCATCCTGGAATTCGCTCAGCATTGCTCGTAGCTTTGCAAAGCGTGATTCCGGGTGCCACGGAGGCCATTGTTCGGTTCTACCAAAGATTAGATGAGAAAATTTGAAGAGGATAAAACGCAGACTGACCGTCTTCCGCCAGCACATGACCATTTAGCGATACTGCCCCAGATTCGAATGATTCGAATGATTCGACTGTGCACGGACTCCTCTGCACCCACCTCCCATCGATCGATCTCGTCCTCGCTGGAGTCTTTGCGACGGGAGATGGGAGACCATGCCTTTGCATCGCCAGGACCAGCACTCGGCATTCTATCGTCGCCTAAGCCTCCCAAACTTTGTCGAATGCTCGGGATCTGAACTCCTTGAGCGCCGAAGCTCGTAGGGCGGCGTACGGCGGGCTCGCTGAGGCGTGACGTCCGGACCCGTTCTCCAAAAGCAAAAGCGTTATCACTGGGAAGCTGAATGGCGAGCTCCTTAACGCGGATCATGCGTGGGCGGTACTTGCCACTGCTCAAGCAGCGGTCAAGAATGAAACACGCCCAAAAGGTACGGCGCTTAGTCTCCTGGGCGATGATATCGTCGGACGTTTGTTCTCGTTGTTCGACAGGGCGTCGGGGAAGTCCAAATAGGTCGGCTTCGGTTTTGAGGATGGGGGACCGAGGCCCCTCGCGGAAAGGCATGTCATTCTCTAGCTCAAATGGCAAACCCATCGCCTGAGAAAGTCGAATAGCCATTCCCACGTATAGCCAAGCACTCTTCCCACGACACATTCCCCACTCGTGTAATGCCAGCATCAGCAAAGCTTGGACGCGCGTCAGGTCGGGCACAGCCAGACTAGCACCGTCGACACCGGCCAGCCGGCTGCGCAACGCTGTCGCATAATATTCAGACGCAACTAAAGGGTTGGACGGGTTTCCAGGAGAGGATGGGGAGTGGTATGCGACAAGCTGTGGATGAAAGCGTGCGGTGAGAGCGAGTACACCGAGGGGGATGAGCGGGTTGAGGTCTGGCTTTGGCGCTGGAGGACTTTGGGCAGCATCCCGCGTCGCATCGACATTGTTTGAAGGTGAAAGGTTTGAGGAATTCGAGGAAAGTTGTCGCGCTTGACCGATGAAGGATGCGGGATGTACGAAGGGCAGCATAGTCGCGAAATGGGATTGGAAGAGGTCAAAGACGGCATCCCAGACTTTGTTGGTTAGGATCGATGCATCTAGCACATCCGCACCACTCTTGGACGCATCTTTAGCAGCGGACGAAGAGAGACCAACCGTCTTGCGCGAACGCTGTCGCTTCGGGCTATCCCAGTCACCGTTGCGCTCCTCACCCTCCGCCAGGGCGGCGAGGTCCCGTTTGGCGGCACCACCGCCCATACCGATTGCGGGGGCGGGATATACACATTCTCGACCGGAAGATTCACATGCGCGACAAGTTGTGTCAATGCCAGCGTTCACACATTTTATCTTGCTCCGCCTACAGCGAGCACAGGCAATACTCGACCGCATTGTGGTGAAGAAGGTGGACACGAGAGACGGGCGACCCGTCCCTCTGATAAGATACTGGGGAAGGAAAGGACTGAAGGGCGGGGAGGGGAAGGTAGATGGAGGGCAAGAAGAGTGGTCAGAGAAGGGACGACAGCCCCAAGGACTGCAGGCACCAAAAGCGAGTAGGTAGCAGGAGTAGGTGGTGGCTTGTGTCTCCGCAGGTTGCTACAGTTCCCGTCCGCCGTATTTCTCCGGTCAATTTTCCCCGGGATTCCGAGCCAGACGCCAGACGGTCTGGGTTGCAAGGGAGGACAACAGTGATTCCCGGGCTTTTCACGGGCTGTTCTCCATTGTTCGCTGTCAGTACTACAACCCGGTTTTGAAGAAGGACCGGTGAATCCGTGACGAAGGATGCACTTACAGATAACTTGGAGAATGGCTATTGGCGCAGGATCTTTGCGTTCCTATGCCGGTGGCACGCAAGGGGAGGTCTCGAACCGGGGAGTGGTTGGTAAGTTAGGGAGTTAATGTGGGAGTAGAGCTGGCGAGGGTGAGATTGAGATGTCGCAACCAATGCAGGAAGATGCGACTGAGTAGGGGGAGATGTAAGAAAGAGAAAAGAGAGAAGAAAGAAGTCCAGTGAGGAGTGGAGAGGGCGTGGGATGGAGTACAAGAAGGAAGGTGGCCGTAGTTGAGGTCAGGTAGGTAGGTAGGTAGGTAGTAGACGGCCGGGAAACGGGAAAAATGAAACCGAATGCGATAGGCGCGAGAATTCGGGCACACGAGAAATTAAATTAAAACCCCCGATGTAAGCAAAGTGTGCGACTGGGGGAGTAAAGTGGAGGGAGGAGGGAGAAGGGGAGGGGGGGG